TGGATTAAACTTTGCCAAACACAGAAACCCCCTGGATTTAGAGCTGGCTAAATATGCATGGCCCTTCAAGGGGGGCAAGACAGCCAGGCAAGGGGAGTTGCTGCCCCTTCTTTGCTGAGTGCTAGTGGGAAGAGGCAAAGGGCAGGTTCAGGGTTTCAACTTTGAATGACATAGGCTAGGAGAGGCCCTTCCTATCAGTTAGCAAGGAGAAGGAGGATTAGGGGCAGAACTCCATGTGAGCAGGGGATGACAGGCTGGAACTAAGAAACACTGAAGGTGGCTTTTTGCTGTCTTATGAATCCAATGCTGCCCTTAAGCCAGACGCTCCAAGAATGTGAATGCAATCCCTCCATCTATATATGTGCAAATAAAACCATATTTCAAAAAGACACCACAGTCTCTTGGTGTGCCTCCTTGTCCCAAAAGGGAACACAGACTGAACTCCACATGCTGCAACCCCTGTAATGTTGCGTCGCTCGTGGAGATTGGGGTGGCGTGTTACAGTATTTTGCAGACTTCTTCAATGGCTAGTGTTGAGCATGAAGGGCTGGGGCCAGGTGCACTTGCTCCAGAAAAGGGTGCAGCTGACATGCCAGATGAAGTTACTAAGTTGCCCCCTACCTGCATACTTAGTGGGTCTAAGACAGGGGTGGGCAGAAGGTACAGTGGGATCTATTGGTAGATCTCTGGGTGAGTTGCAGTAGACCAACAATAGATTCTAACTGCTATTTAACAATATCAACAACAAAGAAGCTTGCCCCTGTAAAGGATAAATGTTTCTCAAAAAGAATGTTTGGGGGCGTACCAGAAGTGGTGGCTGCTTTTTGTAGGTGGATTTCACATGCTCAAAGGTTCCTTAATTCTTAGCATTTGTCTCCCCACCCCATTTTAGGAGTCTCCCCAAGCCAGAGCAACCCCAAGCTGCAGACCTATTGCTTCATGGGAATGACAACCCTGTCTAACACACCTGGATTAGTAGATCCCCTGACCCACAGAGCCTCCATCTTCTCTGGAGTTTATTCCCATCCCATCCAAAATAGCTTCTGGATATTGGTAGCCAAAATCCATGTTCCTTATGGCTCTGCCAAGTCAGAAGTAGCAAGAAAGCAAAACAAATTATCTTATTATGCACTGGTTTGGTGGTTGTTTTAAGATATGCTTAAGGATTAAGCCTTTAGACTTGCTGTGAATCCTGCTCATTGAAACCTTTACAAGTGCCCAAGAGTCCCTTTCTTCTGCTGCACCTATCCCAGATTTCTCATGCAACCTCCTCTCCCCTTGCCCAACACATCTCTAGGACAGATTAAAAAATCATAAGGAAATGAACAGTAGAGTAAGTGATCCATCCATCCCAGTGCCCTAATACTAGCATTCATCCAATTAAATACATTGACTATTAAGTTCATTTCCAAAGGAAAATGCTTTTTCACACGATGGAGAATTAACTTTGGGTACTCATTGCCACAAGGTAAATTTATGGTCACAAGTCTAGATGGTTATTAGCCATGACAATTGGACAGAACCTCCATGTTCAGTAGCAGTAATCCTCTGATTAGCACATACTGAGTGCAAACACCATGTGGTAGGTATCACTATAATGCCTTGCACTTGTAAAAAAGGGGGGGTGTCAGCTCCTGCAAAATAAACAGAGATGCTCATACAGTACAATACCATGTGTGAATAGGCTGTAGTCTTTATCATTCAAGGTAATTGGCGAACTTCATAATTTGATTCAAATTCATTACATTCCCCCCCCAAAAAAGAAGAAAAATAAAGAAGAGCCCTGCTAGCAATATTTGATATAATTCATGAAAGTCTTTGGCTCCCACTCATTAAAATTCTAGATGGTTTAGGGCTTTTTTAAGTTTAATCCTTGAATGGCCATTAGCGAAGATAAATTATCTTTCTGTTCAATAACTTTATAATTTAAACTGGTACCAAAACCCCCCCAAAAACCCTTAATAGTCTCATCTTGAGAATATTCCAGGAACAGTGACTGTCCACATGGACTTTCAGTGCTGTTGAAATGAACCTTCTGCCAGAAGTCCCTATGTACCATTCAATGAAAATTCATTTTCTATTAAGTTGTAAAGAATAGGCTATGAAATCACAGCTTTTCTATGGCCTTACAGTCCCACCCTAATATATATATATATTCATTCATAAACCTATAGGGAAAACCAATTCAACTTACCAGATTTGCATAAATATTATGTAGCTTTTCAACATGGCTATTCTCTGCCGCAGTTCCTTATTCCAGTTTGCATTGAGACAGCAGTAATCAAACTTCAGCTTTTTAATATTTTTCCTTCTAAAGCACCTCAGATATTTGCAAAGCAGCAGTGTTTTCAATTCTATGGAGAATACAGGAACAAACAAACCAGCTACAGAGCTTAGAAAAAAATATTCTAGTCCTATAAAACAATGACTCTGACATTGACTTAGATTGCATACTCAAGATCACTTAATGTCAATGAGTTACCCCTTAAGACATTTATTGATTAATTTATTCAAAGCACAGTACCAAAGGAGTTTGCGTAGTGCAAAGGTTAAACAGATGAGAAGCATGAATTAATTCTACCAGACTCCAACTTACAATTTCCCAAATGTCACTTGTATGTTCCAAGCTCTACCAATATATGCTATCATAGAGTCACGGGGCTAGTATGCTTGATTACTGCAGCATCAAGCGGTGCTTTGCATGTGAGAATGAGTAAATATGCATCAAATGACACAGACAGAACTTTGAAAGCACTCCCAGCACAAAAATGTCTGGAGACCCCAGGTTGGGGAAGCCTGAAATGACTCGGGGAGGCAAATTCAAATATGTCAGAAGTGTGTGCATACATTCTTTTATCAAGCCCCAAAACAGCCCTGGAGCCAAAAATATGTGCAAATCATTCTGCATGGCCAAGGCATACTGTATTTCTCAAATAGCAGTTTCCTACTCCACTTGGCAACAATGGCAAGTTTCTTTTGAAAACTGATAAAAGTTTGAAGCCGTTTGTGTCAGAAATATGGCACTTGTTGGCATCCGTCTGTCTCCCGAGACAATGGAGGAGTGTGCCTTTGAGGGTGAAGTTAAACTGTTAGGCTGTATGCCAATCTGGTTGAGCTCACAACTTCTGAGTTTATAACTTTATAACGCCTCCTGTGTTGTTTTTGCTGCTTTAGCCTAGGGAGTGTGTATCGAGGTCCTGGGTTGCCCAGACAATATCCCCCTCTTGGCCTCGCTGATGTGGTCCAAAGGAAACCAGAGCAATACACTTGGCACCAGTTGGGCTGCAGGAGTTGCCAGAAGGAGGCATACAAGACGCCATCCAGTTGCCTTAGGGACTCCACTCTTGATTTGTGTAGGATTTACTACTTAGCCTTTTCTTCTCCCGAAGATGTACCAAAAGGCAGTGGGTACAGATGGTTCTTCAGGGTTTACTCCCAAATCCTTTCTCACAAATGAGTATAGCCACAAGGCAGTAGAGGTTTAGGATCAGGAGTTTTCCTTCTCCTAGATGGGCTACCTTCCCAGGTTGATGAGCCCCATCTGTCCCTCATTTCACTCAACAGAACATGCAGAAACCACCTTCTTGACGTTGGATCCACTATTGGTCTTGTCTGCTCAATCCACCAAAGCCTGTCTTCGCATGTAGGGGATACTCAAGTAGTTATGGCACTGGGGTCTGTAGTTCAAAAGCCCCCCACCCCAACTGTAAATATCCATCCAATCCTGAGCGTGCTCTTGAAATAGCTCTATGGAACCCAACCATGGTGACAAAACAGATCAGTACCAAGAGCAAGACTGAAGTCCTTCCCCTCTCCACAAATAACAAGCAGATCAAATATGTACAGTAGTGCAGGGAGAACACATTTATTAGAAATATATCTCAATACTGCTTTTCACTTAAAATCACAAAGCAGTGTACAGCACAATATAAAAATCACAGTAAAGCCAACACCTAAATAATAATCATAAGAACAGTGGATCCAAAGCAAACAGATCAAGAATAGACTGACCATTAATTGTCAGAAATGGCCTGGGAGAGTAAACGAGTTTTCAACAGGCGCTGAAATACTATTAATGTTTCTGCCTGCTATAACTCAGGTTGTATGCATGCCATACATATAAAGCAAACTGTTTTCTCCAAATAATTCTGGGGACTGTAGTTTACCCCTCAGAGCTACAATTCCCAGCACCCTTAGCAAACTACAGTTCCCAATATTCTCAGAAGAAGTAATGTGCTTTAAATATATGGTGTGTATGCAGCCTCAAAGGTAAGATGATTCTGTAGAGGGCATTACTAGAAAAAAAGGCCCCTTTGACATACACAAATGCACCATCAATTTGTTTAATTTTTGTTAGTCTTAACAACAGTGAAGATATTTCAGCCAATAATCAGATTCTCAATTTTTTCTTCCAAATGTCACTTTGGACCATATTTGGTTGCTCTAACTATAACCTCCTCCTGGTTACAGTGGGCTGCCACCCAATAATACATCATTTATTTTATCTGTACATTGACTGGTGTGTGCATCCCATTCCTTTCACTGCAACAGGCTGTCAATTTTGCCCTTTTCCCGTGAAACAAAATGAAAAGGTGCTTAAGTGCAATATGTACTACATTATTACAGAACACATTCAGCATGAAAGGTACAGATTGGGCCACATTAACAATGTTACTCAACCTCCTTCCACCAGCTTCAGGGGCTCTGTAATTGTTTTTGCCAAGCTATAAATTTTTGAGTAACAACAAAATTATTGTGATTTTTCTTACTAAATTATTCATACATTACAAAGCATATATGTAACAAGGCCCATGAATCACAAGGCATATAATGACCATATCTTAATGTCAGTTCTTCAAAGAAGAGGAATTCAAATAGATTTATGCATTCGGGTTAACTAAGGCATGTTGTTTTTATAGCGTTCATAATTCTACCTGTTCCTCCCAACCCCCAAAACAGAAACTTTATATGTTCTTTTCTTTAAAAGTGCTATTTTTTTAAATGAAAGCTTTGGAGGGGGCAGAATAGCAGGCAAGCCAGGCATTTGTGTTAACAAGTGCTTTATATCACGTTGTGCACTTGGGTTCAATTAGTAGTACTAGTATAATTGGAAGAAAAGTTTTGTAATGAACCAGTCCAGAGCTCATAAACTGTGCTTGAAATGGTGAAAGCATCATTAAAGCAAATCTAAGGCCTGTAGACAGCCTATAAGTTTGTGGGTAGGGGGAACAATGACAAAAAAAGTAGGGAAGTAGATTATCTGGTCTGCAGGCCTTTTTAAGGTAGGTTCATAAACTGCTTTTAGTTAACCCTTATTTTTTGCAGCCTTACTGCAAGTTAAACATTCAAACAAATTCACTAAGCAACTTCAACAATTGTTACCTTTCTTGCTACCAATTAGCAAAAAAGATTAAAATAAAAAATAACTCACCAGTAGAAGAAACAAGAATAAGCTACAACTGGAGTATACTTTATAGCAAAAGTTAGTTTAGAAATCATAATTTATAACAAACATTTTCTTCAATGCTGCAAAATGTAGTATAAGTTCATTCAAATCCAGGGCTCCAGTAAAGTCCTTATGATAACTTAAAAGAACAAGATCAACTTTACGCTGATATAATATTGACAGTTGCTATGGATGTACCATAAATGTAATTATTTAGAGGGAAATTTAGGGCAGGCTACAGATAAAATTTAGGGAGGCAGCCCACCCGGTTGCAAGCCTACTTGGCTGTTTGTCCATGCTACCTTGCTTTTTTTAAAAGCAGAAAGACTGTTATACTATCTCAGGGGTCGGCAACTTACGGCCCATGGGCCACAAGCGGCCCATGGGGGTTGTTTAACCTGCCTATGGACCCCCGTCGCCTGGTCAGGGACCGCCTTCTGCGACGCTGGCCGGCTTCCCATTGGCTGCAGGAAGCTCCTGCAGCCAATGGGAAGTTGCTCACGCCTCCTCCACACCAGAAATAGCGTTTGTGCATGTGTGTGTGCGCGCACACACACACTCCGGCCCACCATGGCGTCTGCGGGACCACGAACCGGCCCAACCCCTGTACTATTCCTTACTTAGCATTGTATATGAGTGTCAATCCACATTTCCATTTTAAATAGCAAATGCTTCTCACCTCATCTTTGTTTAGCTGTACATTGTCAATGGAACATGCATGCCATCAGATAAAGTATTCATGACCTATTCAGAATTCCTCAAGAGCAACTTCTTAGCATTAATATTATTTAATTAAATTTAATTATTTTATAAAATATAGCACCATGTATTTAACATTAGAATTTTAGCAAATAAGTGATGTAAATAATCAAGCTTCACAAATCTATGTAGCATAAGAATATTCCACTGATAGATTTTCCTGACTAGTTTCAACTCAGGGTTTGGTGTTGATGTACCTGGCTACCTGTACATTAATTTAATCTAATCTATGTAAGTAGCTTTACTGTGTTCTTCCAAACTGTTCATGGAAGATTTTTTTAAAGTTACAAAATACCAGGTTTTGCAAGGTCAACAACTCCAAACAATTGGAATGGGTCAATTAATCATGAATGACAATAGGCATTCATTTACTTTCTGTGTACAATTAAGAGTTTTTCAGCAAATAGAACCTAAAATACCATTTTACAAGACTATTTTGAAAGGTGAAAGTCACTGGATTTCTTTCCTTTTTTTGCTGATCGTGCTATTTATTGTACCTTAGCACTAATCCTTAAATATCTAAATGAACCGCTTCACTAGTTTACATGTTGGCTTATTTATTTAAAGGATTTTAACCCTGCATGCCAGTCAAAAGAAGACTCCCAAAGCAGCTTACAAATATCAATAAGATAAAGCCAACCTTAAGGATTACAGTCTGAAAGATATGACACAAAAGGAGACGGGAAGAGGAGGATGAGGGGAAAAGCAAGCACAAACACGATGAATCTGAGTTACAAAGTTCCTGCAATGACTAGCTAAAATACTGAGTTCAAGGAGAGTAGGAGCCAAAACTTGCTGATATCTCAGCTGAGCTGGCAGGTAAGTTCTACAGTCCCATTTACATTATTGGGCTCAAAAAAAACACCACCAAGACAAATGGGTTTCCAAGTCTATGGTGTATCTACGCACATTTTTAAGAGCCAAAATGAAGCAACTCTCCATGACTTCTGTCAGTTTTGTTTTTTCATTGCTTTTAATTTAAAATGTACAGGTTAAAGCTAGGTTTAGTTCTGGAATTAAAATAAATTCCCATCAGATCTGAGAAATCGATCTTTATACAAACATAGATGCTTAGGACCATTACATATTGACATTAGTAGACATTAATGCAAGCAGGACATTAACACAAATACACAAAACACCCAAGAAATCCCAGCCATTTGGATTAGCAAACAATACTCCATGGAACAGAGCTTCTGTTAATAATGTTTCTTATTGTTGGGAAATCTCTAGTGGACCAAATTTGTCAAACACACAAAAGGTCTAAAAGTGAAATATAGTAATTAAGACTCTCACTTTATTGATTGGGCAGCTTAAGTAATTTTTCATTACTAACATAAGATTTAATACATATAAGTAGTTAAAGATTCTGCCTTGGCACAAGCCATTAGCATGTAATTGAACTAGTAAAAAAGATCAGTTTAACCTATGTTGATTACCACCTTATCTTTGAAAGGCAATTAAGGACCTCAATCATTGCAACAAGATTTGATTGTGTGGCCTTTATTGGACATTGATCTTTCAGCAAAGCGCAGTTACATTTTCCATTAATTTACAGTAACACAGTTTAACTTCGATACCTTAGACCATTGACCCAGGTAAGATGTCAGGCTAAGCACTTGTTTAGGTTAAGATGCTCCCACTAGTCATTACTGTTTAAAAGGGGATGCTGAAAAAATGCAGATACCTATCAACTGAGTTAAGACTAAGGTTTCAGTTATCGGCATTTGTTTCATCGCGCTTAACAACAAAGTTCTTGGCCTTTATAATGTCACCCCCCTAGCTCTTTTAAACATCATCCTTGTATAGAGTGAAAGAGATAATTAAAGCAAGAGGTACAAGGCCAATCCTATTGTGTTTCAAAGGAGAATACAGCAGATCACATTTCCTGAAAGTTTAAGGGTCATTATGTATTCCAGTCATCTTAAATATATAACACACGTACATTTCAGAAGTGGGTATAAACTGCATGCCAAGAGTAATTTATGGCCACTTGTACAGAATGGCCAAGAATCAGCAGGGGTATTGGGGGTTCCCCTTAAATCCAAAAGCAGTTCACTATGTAACATGGAGGGGCAGGGAGGTTATTTGAGAAACACGAGCCTGAAGCCGTCAGCTGGAAACTGCTCTGGACCAACTGACTGAACTAATCCATGTTCCTCAGCTAGCAAAGTTGACCTGGACCTGCTAATTGTTTACTCACAAAGATAACTCTTTTAAGCTGATTTTATACTAGGTGCAAATGGCCCTTAACATCAATATTTCTGTATCTTCTCAGTTCCTATAGAGACCATATATTATTTTGATTTTTTGTTAAAGTGCTTAGGTTTTATTACAGTTGAGTGGTATATATGTATTGTTAAAAATACATACATATCTATATATATGACTCTGTGTGGGTCCTGTGTGGACCCTTCCTGGGGTGCGAGACAAACAAGTGTCATGACCACAAAGCCTAGCAGAGACTAGGACATACACAGTCACTGGCTAGGAAACTGGACTAGGTGAAGAAGTAGTAGTAGTTAAATTTATATACTGTCCATCAAAAGATCTCAGGGCGGTTCACAGAATTAAAACAATAAATAAAACACAAGTAAATAATTAAACCAAAACAATAACCCCCCCTTCCGACAGGTTCTTGGCTCCGAGATGGATATGGGTGATTAGGGGACCCCTGAACTTGAGGCTGGCTGGCAGGCAGGAGCTAACTGAACAAGATGCCACAGCACCAGGGCAGGAATCTCACAGACCCTTCCCCTGAGGAACCAGGTGCCTTTCACAGTAAGTTGCTAGCCCAATGGCACAGGGAGCACACCAAGTCAGAACACTGGTCCTTTCAAGTTTCTCACAAGTGGGAGAAGCCTGGAGGCAGTGGCTGGGAAGCAGAGGCTTAAAGGGCCTCACTTGGCTTCCAACTCTTCTTGGAGCAGGTTCATCCAACAATGCATGCAGAAGGCCCTAGGTTCAATCCCAGGCATATCCAGGGAAACCTGGGAGAGTGTGAAACCTTCGAGAGCCACAGTCTATCAATTTAGAAAATATTGAGCTAGATGGTTTAATGGTCTGGCTTGATATAAGGCAGAGAACAATAATTTAAATTCAATAGGAAATACATATGAAGTCCAGTCTATCCAGTTGTGTCAACAATTCCTAAAAGTCTGTGTAAAAAAAGTCACGTTTTCAGTGAATGTTGAAATGACATTGAGGCATTGAGTTCCAAATCCCATAGTTACACATCATCTGTCCTACACAGCCATGTGAGCAAAAGGAAGCAGGCTTCAGTTGGTTGACATCCCAAAGGAATAATCCCTGAAAAATGAACAAACACTCTCTCATGTATACACAAGTGTAACATTTTATGAGTAGCATTTGTTCCCTTCAAGTACTTCAACAGGTCACCCACTGGTCCTAATGAATCCAACAAGTGATATTATTATATTTGAACTCTGCCCTCAGCCATCTTCCAAGTTCATCCCTCACCATGATCAACTTCAGAAGTGCAAGAGGTCCATTGATTTTCATGTAATAAAAGAAAATGTTACATTTGCTTAATTGTTACACAGTGAGAGCAGAGCAAGAAATCAAGTCTCTGTTTAATGCTGCAAGCAGCACTGAATTCTAGTGGATCAATAGAGTACTTTGTCAAAGAGGTTCTCCAAGGAGGGATGCCCATCACTGTATGGACAAGGAGTCATGTTGCCTCCACTTATCGAAAAACAGGTAAGCAAAGTCAGCAGTCTCCATTATCAGAAATCAAATACGCTGCAGCTAGCAGAGGGGCCACTCCAAGGAAAAACTGTATTTATAGTGTGGTAATTAAAAAACATTTTATCAGTCTTGTGTTGAGACCAAACCTTTACAGCAGAATATTGACAAAATAAGGAGCAATGAATGAGCAGTATTTGATTTTAAACTTATGAGTTGCACTTATTTAATTTTGCCCATTACTGGGAAAAATCAGTTCCCGCTAATCTAGCAAAATGCTAATACTCACTTTTATTATTAATGAAGCTTAATATAGTATAACAGCTACTCTGCAATGTAAACTATTTATTTAACCTGTGTTAGAAATATTCCTCGGTACCAAATATACTACGTTAAGTGTTTCCTTGATTACAGATTTGTTTACAGTTGCTTTGAAGAGAAGCAAAGCCATTCACAATTCAAATCTGAAGTAAGCATTTTAAGACACATACTTGTGCATACATTTCATTGTAGCTTTACGCTTTAAAAATAATCCTGCAGCATTTATTTTCAATGCAAGAAATATCTCTTCCTGAGGGGAAAAAATGCTGAACTAATTTAGATCAAATTTATCCATACAGTCTTAGTGCCGCCAGCCAAATTTTAATCTGTCCTGCAACACTTTGTTCTTTGTCAATTAAGCAATAATAGGACCCCATGGTGGTTAAGTTCAGTCATATTTTACTATGGGGTTGCGGCGCTCATCTCGCTTTCAGGCAGAGGGAGCTGGCATTTGTTCACAGCCAGCTTTCTGTGTCATGTGGCCTGCATGAGTAAACCGCTTCTGGTGCATAGAACACTGTGATAAGTGCCAGAGTGCATGGAAACACTGTTTACCCTCCTGCTGCAGCGGTACCTATTTATCTACTCGCACTGCTATGCTTTCAAGCTGCTAGGGTGGCAGGAGCTAGGACAAAGCACCAGGAGCTCACCCCATCACATGGATTCGAACTGCCAACCTTATAATCAGCAAGCCCAAGAAGCTCAGTGGTTTGGACCACAGCACCACCTGTGTCCCAAATATGCACTAAATAGTGCATATTTAGTTTGGAGAGCACAAAACCATTGCATGCATTAACTATATATTAGCATAACCCAAAGTTACTTTTTAAAGTTCAATTGACTTCAATAGGAGAGTTAAGCAGATGCTTAAACCCATCTCTGAAATCAGTTGAAATGAACTGCTCAGTTTGGACCAGATTATATCCAAACTGTCTGTATGTAGCTTCTATTCAGCACCACAGCCTACTTAAGTAATCCAGAATGGTATGCACAAAACTCTACTAAGTGAAAATGAAAAAAACATTTTTCTGGTTTTCTGGACTTTTACATAAACAACTTGTTTACCTATATGGGAATGAAACCCCCACCCTTTGCATATCAGTTTTATTTTTGTTTTAAAAATCAATGTTACCTCATGGGGGTAGCCAACATTGAGACCTCCAGATGTTGCAGAACTACAACTCCTATAATCACTGACCATTGGCCTTTCTGGCTGGGGCTGATGGGAAACGTAGTCCAAAAGAATCCAGAGGCACCATGCAGGCTATCCCTGAGGTAGTCACATTTGGATAGCGTTATAAGTGTTGGGCAACAATATCTTGTATGATACTGCACCAAAAGATACATGATCAGTAAATAAGCAAAGACAATTCCCAACAATGTATATTTTCATTATTACATTTATTATTTGCAGACCAAAAGTTTTTGAAAACAAAAGTAGCTTCAAGTAATTTTCCATGGTTTTTTAAATCTATTCTGCACTTTGCCAGACTCAAAGAAAACTAAAATGGTACTGAAGGAAAAATAGGGACATTTTGAAACTTGAACATATTACACACAAATAGATTGCAAACAACAATCCCCCTCTGTCTGTCATTTGCTGCAATATACCATGAAAGTGTCAGTCCTTGAAATGAGTAGTTTAGTACATGGCACCTTCATCTTCTTTATTGAGGAAGTAAATAGTGACTGGGCCACAATGCGTGTGAACAGTTTCTGTGACACTGACAAGGAACCAGGAGCCAATTCCATATAATAAAGTTGGGATACCTATGTATAAAAAGGGGGGGGGGGAGAGAACAAATAAAAAAGTAAAGCTTCATATAAAATAGTACTGCAGGACCCTATCCCACCTCCAGCAACAAGCTGCAAGAAGCAAACTGCAAGGCTGAATTAAGACATGATTTTGCAACCCTTTAAAGCCAGGCTGGTTTCTTGAAAACAAAACATAAAGCATAAACCATTCTCTGCACTTAAAGATGTACTGGCACCTTCCTGGTGCCATTCTTTATTTTGCAACCCCCTGCCTTTCACTGCATGTGCTACTACAAGATACATGCAAAATCCTTAGTGAATATATTTTGTTCTGAAAGTATTGGCTGCATTCCTGAGGACCAGGAATAAGTAGTCCTGTTTTCGGCACATGTTCAATATGATCATATCCCAGTGTTCTCCACTGATGTGGCCAACACTGCTATGCATTTAGAGAAATTCTAGGATCAGGGTAGGGAGCCTTAGGCCTGGGAGGGTCAAGTGATGCCTCTCTATTTTGTTCTCTATCCTACTCTCAGGACTTTGCATCTCATGCCCTCTATCTACAGACCACACCCCTTTCTGACCCTGTTCCACACCCTCTTTGAGCATCTCTGTCTAGCTGGAACATGTCCTTGAACTGTGACAATTACTCTTGCTTACTTGAATGGATAGAAAAGTGTGTGTACGCAGAAACCTGGATTTTGTACGGCTGGATTGTAATGTACTGCGCGAAGGTAAGAGTCACATCAGTTGCCCTATGCGCTTTTAATCCTGGCCCTGTCACTTTTGTCCCTGGCCCTGTGAGAGTGAGTTCCATAGGTGCTGTGTAAAATACTTTTTTGTATCTTCCATGGTTTAAGTCATCTCCCTGTTACATCAGGTGTTAACTCTATTCAAGGTCTCACTGCGCCTCAAGCGCTTGCGCCACCTCTATACAGGCAGAGCCCGTTCAAAGACGACACTCACCAAAGTTTATTAGTTTGAGAGCTGTGAAGAAGTAGTTCTGCATCGCCAGGTCCTGGTGGGGCGCTCGGGAACAGTGGTACTTGATGAAGGGGAAACAGCCGGTCCGCAGGATGTGGTAGTTTGTCCCTTTCACCTCCCAGTTGAAGTTGGAGAGCCCAAACTGGTCATTGTGCACCGCGCTGTACTTGACGCAGTAGGAGGTCCAGTGGGGCAGCCCCCTCTGCAGCAGGTGCTGGCTCAACACTTCGGAGGCTTTGGGCTTAGCAGGGCCCCCCCTGGGCAAGAGGGCCAGCCGGAGGAACCCCTCATGCATCTGCTTCAGGAGGGCAAGGCTACTCAAGGAGGGCGGGAAGGCACCCCAGCCCACCTGCCTCCCCATGTCTTGCTCTCTGACCCCACAATATCCTGGGGGAGCGTTGATTTCTGTGTCTCCTACAAATATGGTCTCCTCCAATGATTTTTTGTTGGGGGGGGGAGACAGCCAATTTTTTTCCTTCAGATCCCCCACCTCAAATTACTTGCTGACACCTTTCCCAGGTAGCTTCTATTGTTGACATGCCCCCCCTCAATTGTTCACACCCACACCCACATTGCTGAGGGAGACTTTTCTTCAGGATCTGCTGCCCCTCCCCTAAAACAACCCCCCCCTTTGCAGCCCCTCCTCCTCTTGTTAATTGCCCCCCGATCAAGGGGGCGAGGTTCCTGCTTCACTTACTTGCCCCTCGCAACGACCTTCCCTAACCTGGAAAGACACGAAGCAACACCACTCCTCTCCCCACCATCCCGGGAAACAGCAGAGGCCCCCTCCCCCCCCCTTCCTGGGGCTCCTCTGCACGCTCTGCGCCTGCGCTAGCAGTTCCCGACAACCGCTCTGCGCCTGCGCCAGAGCCGGCCTACTGAATTTGTCAGACTCCTCGCGCGCTCCTGACTGGACGACGCGCGAGGCCGGGAAGCGGGCGCGCGCCCAGCTGTCTGCGAGGACCTTTTCCGCTGGGAGAGGCCGAGCTCGCGCGCCCCTCATGTCAACATAACACTAATAACCAGCAACAACAATATGGTCTTCAGCCTCAAGCACCCTTTTCTAACACAACTAGTACACATGACTTAAATAAAAAGTGTTCTTTCCACCGGAGTGTTTGGACCAGAAAGCTGCTGCAATTCGAACAAGCAAACAAATGAACTCTGTGGTGATTTATCTGAGGGAAACTCGTGGCTCTGAACCATTAAGCATCGTCTGTGATGTGAGGAGAATAATTGCGCAGAAGAGCGAGCGAAGAAATGGGAGCCACCTCTCTTCCCCCTCCCGCCCCCACCCACCCCTCATCCTTCCAATTTGGATAATTATAAACAATATTTCAAACTCAGCAATCTTAGACCAGTGAGCTGTAGAGCAAGATTGTGCTAATTAATCAATCACTACGCAACCACGTACCCTGTTTATGTACTAGAATGCACTTACAAGCCACTAATTATTAATCATCGTCAGTAACACATTTTGACTCAACTTTACCTTTGGATAATAGAGCAGGGAGAGCTTTAATACATTTCTTGATTAGCAGAAACAATGGGGGTGGGGGTTGTACGCAAGACAAGAGAGACCTGGATACTGGTGCTAGGGGTTTTGGGGGGGCATGTGTATGTCTCTAGAGCAGCCCTTTGGGTGCCATTGCATTTCATGGGCAGCCAGTATCTTGTATCCCCAGGACCTTGCCTGGAATGAAATTACAATGGAAGGGAAAAGAAGTGTGTGCTTGTGACACCAAGAACTTGGATGTACTAATAGTTTTGAAGCTACTGTTTTGGAGTACAGTGGTACCTTGGGTTAAGAACTTAATTCGTTCTGGAGGTCCGTTCTTAACCTGAAATTGTTCTTAACCTGAGGTACCACTTTAGCTAATGGGGCCTCCTGCTGCCGCTACACCGCCGGAGCACAATGTCTGTTCTCATCCTGAAGCAAAGTTCTTAACCTGAGGTACTATTTCTGGGTTAGCGGAGTCTGTAACCTGAAGCGTCTGTAACCTGAAGCGTCTGTAACCCAAGGTACCACTGTATAGCTGCACAATGGGACTTTGAAAAGTCACCTGTTTGGGTGGGGGTGATGCTCTTGTCTCTCAAGAGTCATTATCAAAAAAAGGTGACAGCAGGACCAGGCCAGGGGCTGCTGCAACTTAAAGAGACCACCTGCTCTTTCACCCTTCCCCTCCTGGCCCTGTTTCCCTACTAGCTGGTCCTTTTCAGCATTTTGTATCTTTTAAGAACTCATGCTCAAGTTTGCTTATTTCCACCTATGACAAATTCATGGAGAAGAGGATCAGGTTATCAATGGATAAAGGACATGATGGTTTTAATATGTGGGGAAGTTTTTAATATGTGACATTTTAGTGTATTTTTCATCTTTGTTGGAAGCCGCCCAGAGTGGCTGGGGAAACCCAGCCAGATGGGCGGGGTACAAATAATAAATTATTATTATTATTATTATTATTATTATTATTATAGTACGTCCAGGATGCCTCTGGATGAGTGTTCCTGCATTCCTGAAGTCGGCCTGCGAATATTTTTGTAGCATTTGTTTATTTCAATATTTTAAATTGTAAACTAAAGTGGTATATAAATGCATAAATGCATCGTCTGAAGGCTTCTCATTGAAGTATCTGTCTTGCCACTGTGAAAACAGAAGAGTGGACTACACGGGTCCCATTTGATGTGAGCCAACTGCAAGTAAGGTTCTTCTGATGCTCCCATTCAGTCTGTTTTTGCCTGTTGTGTTTAGATTGTAAGCCTCTGGGTATGGGACTGACCTATTTTTAATCTGTGTATGGCACTTAGTAAATTTTATATGTTTTATGAATGAAAGTGATACAAATAATATCACCAGGACTCAGCTCCAAAACCTTCCCCCAACCCCCAATGCCAGAGCTGAAACCCAGAAGGACTTGTGAAGTGGAATATGAGCACACTATACCTATATGGGATCTGGTAGAGGAGTGCCCCATCTATGGACTTCGCTGCCATACAAATGTACTCTAGTTATTCAGGAAAAGGAATGTCCAAGAAATCATGTATTAGGGGAAAGCTTTCATATGGAAAAAGCTTGGGAAATGTTAGGATCCCCCCCCCCCCCAAGAAAGCAAAAATGCCAAAAATATTTTCAAAAATAAATACACTTAATTTTATTGGAAGTATAAATCAATACTCCTCTCAGCCATATAGAGGTAATAGCATCTGATACAAAATTTTCAGTGAAAACAAATTCTGTGAGTCAGGAATCACTATTGACATTGGTCTGTGTTCTGCTACACGTATTTTTCAACAATCCAAAACACAGTTGTAGTGTTTATTGCAGTGTGGGGTACTTTAGAACTGGAAACCAGGCGGATAATTTAAAGATGTTTAACCTATAAGAAGAAATAAATTATAACTAAAAAACAATTTAAGGGTTAAAAAAAATTTTCCCCTGCATTCAGTGCCATCCTACCCTAAAGATAAGCACAGGGAGAGACTTATTGTATGCTAACATTTTACTATTTGTTTCTAAAATAGTTGAATTATAAGAGACTGTTTTGTTAAATTTGAGAGCAAATATAGTGTAGAATTAAACCAAATGTGTCCCCTTCCACAGGTTGTATTTAGGATGTCACCCGCCTCATGACATATTTCACAAAACATAATTTTAAAAAACCAGACACAACCCAAATCTGAGAAATTAAGCTTTGACTGTTGTGGCCCAGGAGGAGGAGGATAGGGTTGCCATGAGCCAGGCAACATGGTTGGGAGGTCAACAGACAGTCACACTCTGGCAGAGCTTGTGGGCATAAAGTGACCGAAAAGGGCTATTTGAAAATGAATTAACTTATTTTCCCCAGAGACATGAGAATAAGAATGAAGAAAGATTACTTTTAATGTCTACTAACTATTTTGTGGAAGCTTGCGCTTTCAAGTCCTCCTCTTCCTCTTCAAATTTTAACTTGTTTTGCTCTGTAACTCCCAGAATTTTTTCAATCTCTTGGACAGCTCTCTATAATAAAATCAAACACTTCAAGTGGTAGAACAGTTGTTTATGCTCCCTGCTCACCATTGCACCAGTAGTATCAAGAAGTCACAGAAAGAGTCACTCTTCAGGCCTGGCCCAACCAATTGACAGATTTGCAAGCTCCTTGGTCTGAGTAGTAACTAAAGTCAACACAGAGCTGAAGCACCAGGGTCAATCTCATTCAGGCTAAGGCTGAAGTAGTCAGGACTTGCAGGTAACTATTAGAGCTCAAATACAGTTGTTTCACCAGGAGAAGTGTGGGAAACCTTTGGACCTCTCAATATTGTTGGACTCCCAACTCCCATTAGCCCCAGCTGGAATGGTCCAGAAACATCTGGAGGGCTCAAAGTTCCCCATCACAGGGCTATAGCATGAAATACTAGTAAGCCTCCTTGGCTCCTTTGAAGTCCTGTGTGTTTTTTAAAAGCCCAACTAATCTACCTTCTGACACTGCTGTGGAGTTTCGACCTAGATCATTTTGTGGCATGTCTGTCAGGTTCTCCTGATAGTTGATAACATGGCCAGTACCAGGCCTGAGTAGGCCTTTAGCTTAAGGCTACCAATGAGCCCCCTTGGCGCTGACTTGGACCCCACCTCAATCAGCCCCTTCCTAACCACTGGTGTCCACCATCACTTGCTCCCCTGGCACCATTGTACTTGCCAGTCACTCAATCCCTCCCACTAGATGAACTTATCTAGTAGCACTGCATTCTAGGAAATATAACATGGCAGCCACTCTGTTCTGATTGGAACTAAGTAGCTAAATGGCTCCTATTCCAGAGACCCAGGAAAAGTAAGTGTCAGCCCTAGTGGTACGTCCTGCTGGGATGCACTAAAACAGAAGTCCCTTCTTTGGCCTGGGCATCAGAAACTAATCAAGCTTACTTATTTGTCATTTCTTAATGTATGTGTTTTAATATATATTGACGGTTTCATTTTGTAAATCAGTAAGAGTAGGCTTTAGGAAGGACTGCATGAATACTTTTCTGTGCCACCAATTAGGAACTCCAAGAAAGGATAAATGTAAGATGAAAACCTAATTGCTCTTGAAGAATCCTTTCAAGTATACCAGTGGCTCCCAGCTCAAGCAAGTCTATGTTACCACATCTAAAAAAATAAATTTAACTAGCAGATTGACTGGGAATCCTACAATATTGACCTGTACACAGTAAAACATGTACTGCTATGGAAAGAACCCAGGATGGCTTAACAGTTGTTTATAATACAGCATGAGGTGTTTTCTGTCCTCTAACAGAAATTTAACTGGGATCGTTAGTTAATTAACACCTCACCTTAAAATTGGTCTCGGCATGCATATTGGGTGCTGATAATTCTTGATAGATGATGAAGAGTTGCTGAGCAAAGGTCATGAGGACCCCCTGGAGATGTTCTCCAATTGTTCTGTTAATGATATCCAAACAAATGACTTTGCCAATGATTCCATTCGCAGGCTTAAGAACAATCGCCCTCTCATTTGGGCCTGTCAGCCCAAGGAATTTAATGAATATTTTCAATCTCGTAAGGTGGCAATCTTCAGGGAGATATGAAAGATGAGGCTCCATTTTAACTTGTCAGTAGAAAGGATTTGTGTAATAAATAATTTTTATTAATCAAGTAGCAGAGGAGAGCAAGAGGTTGAGTCATTCCAAGCCTTTTCTCTTTGGACATCAAATATGTGGCTACACACCACCATTGGTATGAAAATATCACTGTATTACTAATATTAGAGCATGATGCTGTAAACAAGTATTCAGTGAGACTTGGGCAGAAGAGGACATGCTGCTTGTTCGTGCTCATCCTCTATGTACATCTATGGAATTCCTTGCACCATTTGGGGGCCTTACCCAGGGCTAGGTACATCTGTGATTGAGTTACTTTCTCAGGAGCATGTATGGAAGACTAACCCTTAGCCCACAGAAGGGAGTAGAGGTGTTCAACTAGAGGATTTTCAAGATGCTTCCAGAAGTCACTCATGAAAACTTACATAATTCCGAATTTGAGCCTTTTATGGTCTTCAAACAGAGTAAAAACGGTTCCTTCTTTTTGCTGTTGGAGTAGAGGGAAAGGTGTTAGCATTGCATAATGTCAACAACAACTCCTCGTAAAAAAGTAAGATGCTAAACTGTATTACGGTGTGAATAATCAGAATTAGAGAGAGGTGGTCACTTTAAAGCCAGGCCTGAGAGCTTTTTGCTTCTTGGCTGACATGTAAAGTTGTCTGGAAACCATGCTAGCTGATCTATAGGCCCTACCCCCTTAAAGCCCACATGAGTAGCATCTGACAACAGTTGCAACAAGCCAGCAAGACGTGTTTCGATTCAGAAGCTTGAATTTGAAAACAGGTTTTCAGGTTTTGAGATTGGGTTAGTGATAAATGATAATCTCAGAGTTCACAGAAAGATTCTCATGGATTATAGGGATATGTGAGAGAATCACAGAGGCCAAAAATTTGGAGATACTAACTTTTCTGTAGTCAGTCTAGAATGAATTTGTGTGCTGTTTCTCCTCCCAAGCTACTTTCCTACCTCTATTTCATTTAAATGTAAAGCACATGATCTTCCTACCTGGACATCATATCCAATCCCGTGAGCCTTGCACATATGAAGGAAAACATTATAGTAGATGAGGGAAAAGTTGGCATGTCTGATCGAATTGCTCATGGCAACATAGCGGCTGACCATAGCAGGCTAACAAAAAAAGCAGAAGGGGAAAAAGTTGACTGTTACGAAGCACTAATACAGCCTTCCCAGATTTGATGCCTTCCAGATGTTTTGAACTGCATCTGCCATCAGTCCCAGCCACCATGAATGGCTATGCTGGCTGGGGCTGATGCAAAGTGTGGTCCAAAACATCCGGAGGGCACCAGGTTGGGGAAGGCCAGACAAACATATTCTTGCTTCAATACAGAGCCCTTTTACAAACATTAAGCTAAATGTGGAGTTTATTATAAATCCTGCAGAAACAATTTACTTCCTAAAAGATACAAATTGTAATATTTGAGGCTAACTTTATAGACACGGGAGCAATGATAAACAATGTTTGGTAACACTATTATTATTATTATTATTATTATTATTATTTAATTCTATGGACACAGCCCTCCCAAGGTGGCTCAGCAAAGATAAATAGCTTCATATACATAAAAAGTGAAAACTGAAAATGGTGGCGGTTAGGGCCTCTGTAGACAACAAGGTGGACATCAAGGGGTGGACCCCAAGCAGTCATTGCCTGTGGGCATGGGCTGGGGGCGGGCACAGCTCTACAGTTACAATATCTGGTCCTCAGTGAGAAAATGGAGGAATTAGGGTCCATTTAAAACTGCAATAACTGAGTGCATTTACACAGCTTAAAAGAGAAAGGAAAAGGAAAAACATACAGCCATTGGAGTGGCATAGATAAATTTAAAAATGTGTTACAATAGTACAGTGGTACCTCAGTTTATGAAATTAATCAGTTCCAGAAATCAGTTCTTAAACCGAGGCACGCTTTCCCTAATGAGGCCTCCCGCCGCCAGTGCCCTTCCTCCACTCGGATTCCATTCTTAGACCTAGGTAAAGTTCACAAACCGGGACACTACTTCCAGTTTTGCAGAGTTCTTAAAACGAATACAGTGGTACCTCGGGTTACATACGCTTCAGGTTACAGACTCCGCTAACCCAGAAATATTACCACGGGTTAAGAACTTTGCTTCAGGATGAGAAGAGAAATCATGCTCCGGCGGCCTGGCGGCAATGGGAGGCCCCATTAGCTAAAGTGGTGCTTCAGGTTAAGAACAGTTTCAGGTTAAGAATGGACCTCTGGAACGAATTAAGTACTTAACCCGAGGTACCACTGTAGTTCGTAAACAGGGCTGTTCTTAAACCAAGGTACTACTGTATCTGAAAACACCAAACCCACAAGAAAGATATAATCAGCTGAATAGTCTTTACTTCATTGAAGCAAATTAATTATTCTGAGAAATGTCTATGCAGTCTGGAAATTCATGAGAGAGCCACTCTGGGGTGCCAACTTGAATAAAATATGGGGGATAAGTCCCACCCTGCATAATCGATCACAAAATGTGGTGCACACACATAATTTGAATGGCAATGCCATCAACTTGGGGGGGCGGGGAGGCTCCCTCAAATATTTCATTGGGTGGTAGCAAAGGGACCTTGGCCCCGAGGAGTTGGATCCTATGGATCCAATTCTGCAAATTTTGAAAACTAAATTTATTTAAATTTCTAGAGGGATCACCAGTAGATGTGCTGTAGTATTATATGCAAGGGATGTTAGGAGTTGTAGTTCAAAACATGTTGTAGTTGTAGTTCAAAACATGTGGAGGGCACTAGGCTGACAAAGGTTGCCATATTGGCTCTCATGCAATTATAACATAAGAACGTTCTCTGTGATTTTGCTTTTGACTTGCTGGGGCTTCTTCTGATGTAACGCTTGGCATTTTTTAAAGTGATGCCCTTGGGTGAACGTGACACATTACAGAAATTGTTTTTCATTTAAGTTTTCTGGGATAAACCTTAAAAGCATTATGTTAAGAGCTTAGGAACTCTTTAAATAGTTGTTTCCTTAACAGTGCAGCACTGGCTGGAACTGAAAGCAAAATGCTCAGATCGATATGGAATTTTTGCCCAAGATGTGTTTTCTCACCTTCTTTTATTTCTTAGCAAAGTGCTATTGATTGGGCAGTTTCAATAAAGAGGTAAATAATAACGTGCAAGCAAAACTGTGTTCCCTTTCTAGAAGAAAGTGGTGGCAGAAGGACAAAGGTGTTTCGACCACTGCGTGTGATATTTGCCAAGTCATTTCAGAACCAATTCACCAAAGTGTTTTAATTTCTGTGGGGTGCATGCAGTAATACACAAGAACAATGGAGGAAGCTTAGTAGAATTTGCATGCATCTTATTTCTTCTTAATGGGCTTCCTTGATGTTCTGCACAAACTTACTTGAGTTGCATTAAAATGTTAATGATCAAAACTAAAAGATTTCAGAGACCCGAGATGCTTTTTAGTCTAACCCTCAGACCTAAGGCATGAAAACTGTGGCGGTGGCAGGCCAGCCTCATCCCTTCTCCAATCTGCCGCTCTGGGAGCTATGATCTGTTGCATGCCATTGCTATTCCCAGTGGCACTCAGTTCCCCAGTTTTGCCTGCCATAGTACCCAAAGCGACATTGCAGGCAGACTTGTGCTCACATGCACAATATTGCAAGAATGCTGGCAGCCGCCGGGAGCAGCAGGGGCCACAATTTGGCTGGGGTCCTAGCCTGAAGCGCATTTAGCACAAGGGGTAACCCAGCCTTGGCTGAGAATACTTGGAGAACTAAGAGTATTCATTGTCCAATCAGGTACCCAAAGCTCTCAGAAATTTCTTTTGGCAACAGAAGGCCACAAATAAAATAAATGAATGCTTGATAAAATAATCCAAGTAGCAGTTTAACAAGCGTAAACTTGAATGTGGCGGCAATAACACAGAACTATTGTTTAAGCGCAGGCATCAGTTTGATGAGGTGCTTATTTCAGCTACAAAGCAGGCAAACACATGCATAATGAACTGCCGGATGAATTATTAATGTCTTGCTTATTTAGCCTCATCTGTCTCGAAGATAATGTATCCTAAGTATAATGAGTGATTGGTTTTGTACATAATTACAGTAGCAGCAGTATCTAGGAAATTTGCTCTTGCAAAGGAGAATTCTAAAAATAAAAATCATCACTCGCACTCGGTCACCGCTCCATTTTATCAAAATCAAAGCGAGCAGCCTGGTGAATGCGTAATAAATTCGCGGGGACGGAAGCATTATTAACATCATAATTTCACATAAAGTGTTTTTACTTAATCATTCATTACAGATCATGCGCTGTAAAAAGATTTGTCTCCTGTTTATTTCTCTCGGTTCTTTAAAAGATATCTCTGACACACTAGTCCTCTTTTTGTTGCCGCTGACTGCTAGGTAAGCAAGATTTGAAGGAATAAAAAAGGGGGGATTATAGGCTGGGAGTGACAAATTTACGTTAATCCTGACAGAATTTTAATTAAAAAGTTGCTACTTGATTACTTTTCATTTCTAAAACATGTACTACTGGGACTAATCATATGTAATTTACTTCTCTCCAACTCAAAGTAGTGGTGTGACAAGAACAATAGATCAGAAGCTCATTAACCTCTAAATTACAAAGCTCTGACACTTTTTGGATGACATAAAATCTCTATCTGTAGATGGATAAGAAGAGGTTTCTGGTCTATTCTGACCAAGCATAAAAATGGGAGGGTTCCACCCCTAAGGCAGGTTTTAAAAAGACAAATCAGAGTTAATTTTTCTGCAGATAGCAGGTTCCCACTTCCACTACTGGAGTTAAACATCAGTTCAAAAAATGCAAATATGTTCCCTTTGTGGCAAGAATGTCAATGGCTGGATTACGTAAGAAGGTGGATTAAGAACACCTAGCTACTTTAAATGGCCTAAAGTCTTCCGGGCAAGGAGAATGACACCCCAGAATGCTGAAGGAACCTGTAGGTGTTATTCCAGAACCACTGTCTGCAATCTCTGGAAATTCTTCAAGCACAGGTGAGATGCCAGAAGGCTGGAGATGGGCAAATATTGTTCATATCTTCCAAGAGGGAGGAAAGGCCCATCTGGGTAAGTAGAGTTCTAGCAGCCTGACACAGATACTAGGGGAAATCTCAAACAGATTAATAAGTAGTCATCCTGTGAGCAGAGAAAATAATGCACTGATTACCAATGGCCAACATGGGTTTCTCAAGAATAAGTCGTGCCAGACCAACCTTATTTCATTTTTTGGTAGTTATTAGTTTGGTAGATCATAGAAACGGCATGGGCATAGTATATTTCACTTTCAGTGGAGCATAGGACAAGACCTCCCATTTTTTACTTGTTAACCAGAAGGTAAAATATGAGCTGGATAATATTGTTAGGTGAATATACAACTGCTTGAGCAACTGTACCCAGTGAGTGCTCATTAATGGGTCTGTGTCTACCTGGAGAGAGGTCTTTAGTGGAGAGCCAAAGTGTTCTATCCTATGCTCAGTGTCCTTCAAAATTTTAATAAGATACTTGTGTGAGGATACAGAAGGGTATGCTTATTAAATCTTCAGCTGATGGGAAAAACTGGGCGGGATAGCTAACACTATAGAAGACAGAATTAAGATCTAAAATGATTCCTGCATTATGGGGGGATGGACTAGATGACGCTTGGGGTCCCTTCCAACTCTAAGATTTGATGATTCTATGATTCCACAGGCTGGAACCATGAGACAAACAAATAAACAAACATAGTAGCATTGATCTGTCTTACTGAATGTCACAGGGTGGCTCAGGTCACCAGTGCAATGGAGCAGAGGGGTAGCCAATCCTGTTCTGGCTCCCAAGCAATGATTTGCCAACACAGTGGCTAGTAGGAGGTTACTTGGGTTATTCATCACTGACCTGGGGTGGTTCCTTAGGGGGGCGGCGGCTTTTTGGTTTACTTGGAATGACCTGGCATTCAAAGCGGCTTAACTTGCAATCCAGTGTTCCGTTTGTAACATACAGCAAGACCTGTGTCAAAGCCAGATGATCGCTATAGTGCAGATCCAGGTCTACTGCCCATACCTAATGACAGCAGAAAAAGAAAAATAAGGAAAACTTTTGTGGCAGCACTCCTGTAAAGGAATAGACATTTGCTTTCTGACAGTTAACTGCACAATCCACCTCCTCTTCTAGGCTGAGAAACAGACATGACTACTTCAAAGTTAAAATAATTGTTATGGTAGAGCAGCAACTGCAAGTAACTCAATAAGATGGATTAATTGTTCTGAATTTTTTTTAACTGTTTGTAAACATGTGTCATATTAGTTCCATCCCATTGGCCCATAACCCAACCACCCCAAGCTGGTGCCCTCCATATATTTTAGACTGCCCCTCTCATTGCCATACTGGCTGGGGCTGATGGAAGTTGGAGTCCAAAAGATCTGGAGATCAGAAGGTCAGGGATGGTTGCCCTGACTAACACAGCAAGCCAATCCCCTGATTTGCCATGCTGGAGTGGGTCTAGATTAAATGGAGGTGTCCCTCTGTCCAGCACACGTATGGTTCTAGGCAGTTTCCCATCCAGGCACTGACCAGATCCAGACCTGCTTAGCTTCAGCAAGGTGGCCTCATGCGCCTATGGACCACAGCCCAGGAAAAATGTACTCAAAGATAGAGAAACAGAGTGTCACTGCTGTTTATGCATGCAAAGCTAAGCACTTGCTTGTGAGCACATATGTGATCAATTCCACCAGCAAGAGTCTTTCAGCATTAACCGTGATGTGCTAATGCATCAGTCAGCAACAGCAAAGCATCTACAATCCTGCTAGGTAGACTATAAAAATATATATTTACAGTTGCATTTTAGGAGCTCTGAAGCTAACTTGCCCCGGAGACAGCTTTGGGATGCAAGCCATATCTCAATTCTACAATCGGACAGAACTATGCAACTGAGAAAAAATTAAAGAAAGTTATTATCTGATTTCAGTTATACATTAGGGAGCAAGAATTTAAGAAACTGGGCAAGACAGATAAGACTACGCAACTGAGACAAATTATTCTGGGGGGAAACCAAAGTATTTTTTATTTATTTACTTATTTATATATAGCACCATCTATGTACACAGCACTTTGTAAAGAACAGGTTTGACAGATCCCTATCGCAGGGGGCTTACAATATAAAACAGACACAGAAGAAAAACAAATGGGAGGTAATGGAGGCAGGGAAGAATATGTGTTGATTTCAAGTGCCTGTACCTTGACTTAGTTACATGATGATATTGTTACCAGGAGGGTGCTCCAAAGATTTCTAGGAAAGGTAAGCACTGAGGAGAAGGAGGGAGGGCAATTCCAGGCATCAGCAGCAGCAGCAGCAAGGAGGAAGGGATGGAGTCATTTCAGAGAGCAGAATGGGGACATTTGGATAGCTTTGGGTGGTGCAGCTGGTTAAGTAAAGGTCACGGGAAGAAGGGATGTAACTAGATATAAGAACAGAGATTTTGGTAGGTGGGGTGCAGGAAGAAGCTGATGGAGGGTTTTGAAGGTAAGCCATGAAGCTTATGTAGGATCTGGGACTGGGCTGGACTGGAAGTGGTGAAGGAGTTCAAGGAGAAGAGCCATAGGATCATAGGAAGTTGTTTTAGACTGAGTCAGACCACTGGTCCATCTTGCTCATTATTGTCTACACTGACTGACAACGGCTCTCCCGGGCCTCAGGCAGAGAACATTATCAGCCCTACCAGTAGGTACCAGGGATTGAACCTGGGACCTTCTGCATGCAAAGCAGAAGCTCTGCCCACTGAGCTAAAGTCCTTTCCCATGTGACATATTCAGAGCAACAAACGAGGCAAATAAAGCTGGCAGCAGAGTGCTGGGTACAGGTGAGTGAGACCACAGTAGGTGAGGCAATAGGAGACCCTAGAGAGAAGAAAGTTTGCAGCCATGAAGATGAGAGTTACAGAAGGTACGGAGCAGATATTTTGCTGAGGATACAGACGGCAAAAGGCTGTAATTTGTCACATTGTAAAGAGGGAAGTGGCATGATTTGGGAACAGATTGCATTTGTGGGTCCAAGGAAAGATAATAGAAAGTCAAGGCTTTATCCTGATTAACAGGGTGGATGGTGATGCTAATGGATAAGGTGGAGGAACAAGGAGAAATGGGAGAAAATGGGATAAATTTTGTATGGACACATGGAGCTTGAGACAATGCTGATGCACCCAAGCAGACGTATCAGAAAGGTAACTGGAGATGGGGGATTGGATGGATGGCAAATGATATGGTATGGATGGAGTGGTAGCGCTAGGAGCTTATAGGTGGCATTGAAAACCATGAGAAGTGATGAGGCTACCCAAGGGGGTAATGTATACAGAAAGAAGAGTAGAGGGCCAAACGCAGAGCATGCCAGGCATCAATGTGGGAGGGGCCACAGAGCAGCCACATGGGCAAAGATGTCACATGAGACACCCAAGCTAGAAGAGACACTCGAGATGCATCTTCCAACTGGGCCCATGATCCAAAGGTTCTTCAGAGAGTTCTAAAGTAGGCTAAACACTGGCTATAGTTTGCCTATCATTACGTCATGGAACGTCCATCAGTATTCCAACTGTTCAGAGTGAAGATGTCAGCGACAGAATGTTAGCAAGCAGTCTAGCTTCTTTAAGGAAATATCTATCTGTGTTTTGGGCCAGGCGGGTTATATTGGGCAAGGAAACAGAGGGAACAGCAGTGTGGGGCAGTAAGGGCAAAGGAGTGACAGGTACTTTGACTTAACTGTCCAACTTGCTGGAAAGTTCTGCTCCTGACAAAGTAATCTTTTGGAATTTCTATTCTCCCCCCCCCTCCAAAACCCCCCCACCACAATTCAAATGACACTTATATGGGCAAAGAATGAGTACCTGGATGGGGGGGGATATGGTAGAGGAATAATACTAGGGGTGGCCTGCAAAGGGAACTGAAGAAAGGGCAGCCCCCCACACCTGCCTTTTCCTAACTCCTATTAGTGCAGGTGGCCCTGGCAACGTATGTGGCCCCAGAGTTCTCCCCCATTCCCCGTGAGCCATCTACACACCAGTCTGATCTGTGAACATCAGTCCTTCGGAACAAATCTCACACACAATGACTTGAATAAGCCACTGAATGGTAAATGGCATCATTATAAGGCTATTAAGAGGTCAGGCAGTCAAGGCCTCTTGCTAAACTGGAGCTAATTTCTGAATCATATTCACAAAATAATGCCCTTTTTATAACAGCAAATAAATCACATCAGTAACAGTTGTTAATAACGAACTGCCAAGTATCTGTTGCGCGGTTAAATATCCTATTTGTCAACTTAAATATTTCCCACTGCATGGAGGAAAATGCAAATTGGATGCTGATGGCCAGTATTCTTTGGAACATTTCAGTAGGAAGATTTGCCAGTTATAATTCTTTACTTCCACCCTTGCCCACACCTTCAGATTTGCTCTGTGGAGAAATGAAGGCCCTTCTCTAGTCTTGGCTTAGCATGTTGCAGAAGCTTAGATGAGCTACCTGGGTCTGTTTATTTATTTGATTGGAACCCCCCCTTTAAGTTAAGCCATAAATCAGTGCCTCTTTTTTAAACAGTATGTGTGGAGATAAGCGCCCACCTTGTGAATCTGCTACCTTTCTTCAAAGCTTGCCACTGTTTTCTAGACCCTTTCCCTCTTGATATGCTCCTTAGTTTTCTAGTGCAGTTCTAGGACTACAAGTGATGAAGCCTGAAATATTGCCTGTGGACTGTGGCTTCCCATAGCCCAGTTTGGATTCTAGAACTCACAAATGGAAACGGTGAAGAAAGGAAGCATTTTTGTTTCGTTTTGTCCCTTGCACTTAGGAAGCCAGAAATGTGGGGTGTCCTACTCTCCCCCACAAGCAGAATGATTCATGATGAAGCATCTCTAATTTCCACTTAGTGCCATGGGGGAACTGCTCTTATCCAACACTCCCTGCGTCCTGCACAACCATTGCAAATGTGAAGCCTAGTTCACAGCCCACTTTGTTCAAATGTGTGGACAATCTCAGAAGCCAGTGGGAAGCTGAGCAGGGCTCCCATCCACATTCCTTGCTTCTTTCCCCGCAATCATTCCAGCTTTAAGGAATTCTTTGCCACCAGACTGATATGATGGCGGTACTAAAGCCCATTTGGAGGAGATTTCCAAGATGGTTTGTTCCCCCAAACTTGTTCCTCTTAATGATATATAGGGAAGAGCAGGGGCTAGGATCTTATTGCCTTCTTATTAGTTGCAACATGGAAACTGCACAACACTGGCACTCCCCAGGCCTTTGCTGTCTACAAAACTGATTCTGCAAGATTTGGCATTTTGCCCTTCTAGAGAAATTAACCCACTGAGCTAGATTATCTAGCGACCTCTTTCTCAGTGTGCGGTTTCTGTTTATTTCCTATGTTAACAAGAATATATCCTTCTCATGACCACCCTTGGCTCGTTTATAATTTTGGAAAGATAATCTTATTTAATGCATAGTTTTGTCTGGACTGTTCATTCTGAATGCTCTATCTGTATTGTGACCCTGCTTCTCTCTCTGGGTTGGGACTATTGTCCTGATTTGTTGTTTTCTGTTTGACTATGTTTTCACTTTGAAAAACTCTTCAGCTAAAATAAAAGCACTAGCTCAATTCTGGGAAATGCAGGTTTATTAATTACATTTATATCCTGCCTTTCCTCCAAGGATTTCCTGCTTTTATCCTCACAACAACCTGCCAAGGTAGGCTAGGTTGAGAATTGGGGGCAGGCCCAAGGTCACACAGGAAGCATCCTTGCTGCTTGGGGATCTGAGCCTAGGTCTCCAGCACTAACCATTGCACCATGCTAGCCAAGAACAGAGCATCCACGTTCAGAGACAGCTTCTGATCATTGCAGGGAATTACAGCAATTATGTATACCCTTGCCTGAATCACATCTCACTTTCTGGATACGGTAATCCAGCTGGCCTCTGATCCAATCCAGGAAAAGCAATTCTTACATCTCTAGCAGAAGCACAATAAACTATGCCAACTGAGCAGAAATAGGGCCAAATCCATTTAGTTTGCACATATTGCAGATTTTAAGATTTTAATGAAGGTCAGCCCTGCTGCCACCATGAGCTTTTACAGAGATCATGGATATAAATGGAACAGTCCCCTCACCTGCATAGTGAGAAGTAGCAAAGGTAGCAGAGCGCCAGTCTCAGCTGCTAGTGGTTGACATCTCATCTCAAAGTAGAGGTCCAGCATAGCAGATGGGGTCCCATTATGCTAAGTCAGCAAGCCCATGACTTCTCTTTGCTGGTGGGTGGGTAGACCCTCCCAACCAAACCTGTATCTATGAGCTTCAGGCTTGCACAATTATCCCAAACTGCTAACCGCCACAGTGCCTTGCTGCTCAGTGCTCACTTTGTTGTTCACAAAACCGAATTGTTTTCATTAGTTCAACATACAGGTAGTGGTGTGCTTATGTTATGAGATCTGCAAAGGTAGGCAAACAGATGTGAATGGAATCCTATTAGCCTCTTGGTTAATGGAGATATTTTCATTTCCTGGGGGCAGGGGTGGAAATCCTGCAAAGAGGGGAGCTAGATATTGATCTTGGAATGCCTTGAGCAGAGTGCTTCTGCTAAAATAATATTTCTCTCCCATCGCTAAGACCCCATCACTCTTCTCCTTAAGTCTCTGTGCTGGCATCCATCACACCCGCTATGAACTCCAGGCTCCAATATGTTTATGTTGAAGACTGTTTGGGCCGCAATTATATCCTCGGCACCACCTTCTTCCCTTCCTCACACCATCCATTCTGCTTCTAGTCCTTCTTCTAGGAGCTATCTCCTTCCTTAAAACTGCAAAGCCTTCCCAAGGCAACCACTTATTAGGCTGTTCTCTTATAGCCTATGACCACCAGCTTGCCTTTCCCTGCTCACTGTGTACCTTTGACAAACTCTCTGCTTTAGCAAGCAATGTGTTTCTCCTCTTATCTAGTGAACAGTCCCAAAGGAGCTGCTAAATCAATAAATGATAATGGTGTGAAGCAAACATTTGCTAGCCACCTCCAGATGTTTTCAACTCCCATAGAGACCAGAGCCTGTTGAGACATTTTGCCACAAAAAGGGGCTGCCCTGCTTGTCCTGAGAAGTGGGCAGGACCTCTGCACTACTGCAAGGGACCTAGGCAGTGTGTGTCCTGCACCACTAGAGCCAGATTAATTTTGTTGCAGTTGCTTGGGATGCTTCTGCTAGTCAGCCATGGCTGTTTATAAGGCAAGAACCTTAGGAAGCTGCCTTATACAGAGTGAGACCAATGATCCACCAAGCTCAGTATGGTTTGCAGCTCTCCAGGGTTTCAGGCAGGAGTATCTCCCAGGCTTGCAGGGAGATGTTGCTGGGGATTGAACTTGGAAGCATCTGCATGCAAGGCAGATGTTCAGCCACTGAGCTACTGCTCTTCCCAGCCATGCTCCTCCAGCCCTCCTTCCTCCTACTTCTCCAGCCTTCCTTGTGGGATTTGGGTATGTAATCAATGAGGGTGCGACTGGCTACTTTGAAATTCCCACATGGGGTTATTTAATACAGGACATGGTGGTGGGCAGGATCTCAGGTTGTCAGCAAAACCAAAACCCAAGCCATCGGGGGTGGAGTGTGGAGACTGCAAAATGAAAGCATGGTGAGTGAATAAAGTCACAGTTATGGTGTCATTCTTTACAGCTGCCATAAAAATGTTTCAGCTTTAAAACGTGAGAAGGGCAAGGAAGCATAAATTCTTAAACAGTTACTAAATTATCGCTTTTCTTCCCTCGGTTTAATTGTTTCTTTCTGCCTCCAATATTGACTTCTACATTATTATACAGAGTACACCTGCCTTTTTTCTTTTTTTTTAAGAAGTGGCTGGATGACACTGTAAAAATGCCAATTAGTAAAATATTAATGCAAGTCGGGTTTCTCAGAAGAGAGCTCTCTTCTTTATTATGGTTAAAATTCACCACGGGACTGAATATTTTAGCCAGGATTGAAGACTGTTATCTTATTTGATTGCCATCTAGTGGTAATAGGTAGAATCCCTCCGATTTAAAAAGCATGTAGCAGCCAAAAACCGACAGTACGGAGGAGGTTGAAAAAATTGCTTTGAAACAACGCAGATGAAGACGCATGGTTCACTAAAGAGGCTGGGGCCAGCATCCAAAAGGTATGGATGTACAGTATGCAAGTGGAGATTTGCTTCTGAATTTCATTGCAGCATTTCCAGTGCCGAAGAGGCAAACTGGGATGCAGGTGGAAAAGCAGGTTGACTCTTCAGTGGCAGGAAGTGTGACTGCGAAATTAGAAATCAAATATTTGATCGTGCATACGGTTCTCTTCTTGACAGGCTTCTACTGCTCCATCGCAATTCCTCATTATTCTCTTGCAATTTCTAAGCTGTCTTCCCCTGTTTTGATAGTGCTCATGCAAGCTGCCTTGTGAGAGTATATGTACCCTGAAAAGGCAGGGTAAAAAAGGAGATATACGAAATAAAAACAAATAATAGATTTGGGTGAAAAGGCCAACTCCCTTAAAAAACAACCCCCAAACCCTTACTTCTGGGAAAACATTAACAGGTGAGCTTATCTGGCCACGCACTGGAACCATTCACAAGGCCAGCCCAACATGCAGAAGAAGCCCATGGAGTCTACACAGGTTGACTTTCACACATGAAGAAGGGCCAGGCAAGTGTGATTTTCAAATTTATTTTTTATCGGGGCGGAGGACTGCAGCCAAGTGACCATTTGCCTCCTTTTCCACTGAGACGCTTATTAATAGTGTCAGTCCCAGAACGTAGCCTTTGAGAAGAAGGAGCTTTGGATCGTGTTATGTCGAAAATTGACTGTGCAGCCTCCCTCTTTGCTGTCTCTCAGCCATTTCCCTGTCTCTGAAGTGCTCCATCCTTCACCCGGTGACTCCTTTCGTTTCCTTGTGAGGGACTTAGTTAAAGGCAGCTTGAAAGTTCAAATAAATTACATCAGCTACTTCTCCCTTTTCCAATTTTCTAGGGCAATGTTCAAAGAATTCTGAGATCGAGGGGGGGGGGGATGGCGAAGGAAAAATGACTTGGTTTCATTTCACAGCAGCCATATGGGCTCACTCTTTTCCTCTCATGTTCAACGAGGTGTTTATAGAGTTCTATCTCCAGGCTCTGCAATTCATAACTTTCCAACATGGGAGATCAATGCAGCTATTCTACAGGACAGTGAAGCTAGACGTCTTGGCAGTTGTTTTTGAAAGGTTGCAATTCAGATTTCCTCATTTGAAGACTAAACACTGCCCAGGTGGCATCTGGAACGAGTTAATGCTACTCCAAAACTAGCAAGGAGCAGAACTGAGGGTGACTACAGTGGCTCCAACAACCCCACGATGCATTCCAGAAATTCTGGCTGCCTTGCTGAAATCCAGAATGCTTTTTGCTAGGTTGGTTGCACATGTTCTGCCTAGAATTCCAGTGTCTCTCCAGACTGGTGTTTTATTACAGGTGCATTCTTTACCATATTCTTGACACCATAGTATTGCATTAGTGGTGAACTTATTCTGCTTTATTAGTTGCTCTGTAATGCTTCCCAAATGCTACCACATTATTGCTGTTTGGAGGGGCTATATATAGCACAATAGCAGTAGGACAATAAACAACAATAAAACACAACCAGAACATTGGTGGTGCTTCAGTAGGAAGTTACAGGACATGAATTGGTTGGAAAAGAAGCAGTACGATGACCCCATAACTTTTGCAACAAATACCATTGAAATCAGGATTGCTTATAACTGTTCCGATAGCATCATAAGCACAAATAATCATGAATGCACAACAGAAAGGACATCTGGAGGGACCTTCAGAGGGCTGGTTTTTTTTGCACCATGCTAAAAATACAATTTCTGAAACCAGAACACCTGATTTTTCTGCTTGAGCAAACTCACATATTTTGTTTCGTTTTGCATAATTTGTTTCAGTTTTACTCATCATGGGGAGGTGCAGTGCCAAACACAGAGGCCTGACCTACAACTGTTGGAAATCTGACTCAGCTACTCCTTAGACACGGGCTATTTTAGCAAGCATCGTTCACACACTTCCAAACGTGTCCTGGAAACGTGTTACATTAAAAACAAGAATAACCCAAAACCAAAAGCTGATACTCTTGGGAAGCTAAATCCTGTGCTCACTTGTCACATCCTTCTCTTTCTCTGTGCTCCTGGGATTCTGCCACTTAACTCGGCTTGTTAATTCAATACCTGAATTTTAACGATATTTTCTTGAAAACCTTTTCATTCCAGAGCACATTGCTGAACCACTGCTGTGCCCCAGTGCAAACTCTGCTGAAGGGAAGGCATCTGCACAGGAGTGGTTCCTGCAGGATTGTGCCTGCTGCCCTTAATTGGCTTGAAAACTCATCATCCAATAGAGTTCTCTGTGGGTTAGATTGGAAAGCTCCAGCAGGAATTGCTCTGTGTTGCTAAACCACAAAGTGTCTGGGCCTTTCTATTACATCCCCCCTCCAATTACATAATTAAAGTCACCTATGATATTTTGAGGCATTCCTTTGACATAGGCTACATCCCACTGGAGTTATGTATATAATGAAGGTTTATATGTTTTACAAAATGTTCTGTTTTCAACAATAACTTCCATTACGCCATTTGTCTCTCAGTAGACCCTGCTTCTGCCTTTATAGCACTTGTGAAAAACAAAGTGCTTATAAAACCAGGACTTGAGAATATAGATCTTGACAAGCAAGCAAAAACAGCAGTTAAAGGGCACTTGCCTCCCTCGTAACAAGGCCTCCGTTCTGTTTTCTGGGCTGCTTTCACTTAAGATTTTGATTTGCTTGCTTTTGCTTTAGGGTCGGTTTTGTTCAGTGCCTCAAAACTTTTGAGTACCTTCAATCATTACAATGATGTGCTATGGGCGGGGGGGGGGGGGGGAGAGCTGCATATTCACCAGCTCCTCTGAGTTGATTACATTATCCCAGTCAATAGGTTATTTGGGTAATTTCTAGGACCGTTTGCTAAACCAGTTAAAAGGCATTTCCCCTCCCAGCTTTTAATCAATGGAATAACAGATTCAAATAGGTATTATTAACTTAGTGCAGATTAAACTTCGTGGATAGCCATTTTTTCTCTCAGCTAAATAATCATAGATAATTTGTTTGGGAAATCAGCTTAAAGCACAAGGCATAAATAAAAGAGCTGTAAGCACACGAAGCTGGATAGAGAGAGGCTCACATGCGCACCAGGGAGCTCACAGAGCTCCAATACACAAGGGCTCTCCCATTCACTACAATGGAGGGGTCAGCATCCTGTGTGCAGAAGGGACAGATGCATAGGGTGTGGCTCCCCCTACTGGAATGAAAGGAAAAGTCCCGGAAGGGAGGGGAACCGCCACATGCCAATCAAGAGCTCTCAGGCTCCTCTTTATTTTTGCCCATATTGACTCAGCAGACCAATAAAGTGTTTTCTTTCAATAAGACGTTTTCCTATGCATTTTCTCAAAGCCACCTTTGGCTTTCTGCAGACTAGCTTTTCCTTGCCATGACCACCAAACAAACAAGGGATGAATTTCGCCTTTCCATTTACTGAAAGAAAATCATAGCACTTCAATGAACATTTATAAGCAGTTTGCTCTAAAATATCATGATGTTCAATAAAATTTCCTAAAAATGAGATGAAAGCAAAGCAAAGCTGTACCTTACAAACAAAACCAAGAACTGTACAAACAAAAACAAAAAAATAACAATTAAGAATCAAGAGTCCAGGAAAGCTTGGAGAAGTACATTTTTAAAAAGAGGCGCTTCGAGGTCACTGCTGTCCCTTCCTCACAAATTCCCCGAGGGAGGGCACTGCAGAGGGTGGTTCCTACGGACACTTCCACACACCCCTCCCTATCCTTCAGTGATGCATGTGGCCTGGGGAGAATCTCAAAGGCGAGATGGTGAGACCTGGAAGGCAGGATTTGGCCCTCAGGTCCGAGGTTCCGCATCCCTAGTTTAGGCCTTTAAATGTCAACAACAAAACCTTGAACTTGGCTCAGCAGCTGACAGCTAGTGCAGATCTTTCAACATCAGCGCAATATATGTACAGGTGGGTGTCCCACTAATTAACCTAGTAACAGCATTTTGTACTAGCTGCAGTTTCTGAACCAGGCATAAGGGTAGCTCCGCGTACAGCACATTACAGCAGTTTAATCGAAAGGCTATCAATGTGACCACAGCAATCAAGCAGCAACATGTTTTCTGCACTGTATTTCAAATGAAGTGCCACTATTGTTTTGTAACCTGCCCATAATCTCCTTCCCTTTTGAAATCTGGATACCCACTCAGTCCAGCAGGAAGAAACTGGCAGCAAAGCGGGTTCTCTTACTTTCACACGTTCCCGCCTGGGCATCCACTGCAAAGTAGGTGTGCTGTTCCTGCCTAGAGGCTAAATTCCAGAATATTTTCTCATCAGTATTTGAGGAATTTCTCAAGGACAAGCATTTGAGACAAGACACATTGTATATCTGAATATGAATTTTGCAACAGTGGAATTCTCCTCAAAACCTAAGAAAATTAACCAGTCAGCTCTCTACCTGATGTATGAACAACATAAGCCTTGGGCTCTAACAAATCAATAGAATGGATTTTAACTGCTGGAGAGGAGAACACACAACACATTGATCTAGGCCATAATAACTGTACCAGCTGGTCAGTTAATCCTCAGGAAATGCCCAGTGCCTGTGGTGTGGTCCCTTGTGTAAAATGGATATTAAATGTATGCTTGGAATATGGTCCATTACTGAACGATGCTGAAGGTGAACAGGTTCTGTTGCTCTTCGGAGACTACTGGGGCATACGTAGCTTATCAGAAGACCCAGACACACATGGCTTGGTTCCTGCAAACATATGGATGTCGCCCTCCAAGTCCTACTCAGAGTAGGCACACTAAAATTACTATGGTACTCTTGAGTAGAACTAACATTGAATACAACCCATAGGCCTCAATTTACATAGAAGCAGCAACAAGATTGACTATGAGATTGGGACGTGTTTGGAACCTAAAGGCTATAAGATGAAGCCACCAAGAGACCTGATTACCTTTTCACATGCCCCCCATAGTATGTTTCAGCACCAACTGCATAATATATCAGAATCACTCATGTCAGGTGGTGTCATGGGCTGTCCTCCTTATCCTGTCTCAGTCGATCCATGACAGGTGATGGCTGGGTCTGATCAGTCAGGCTCAAATGCCTTTCCTCCTACATTGCCTGTGTTTTGTTTCACCAAAAGCCTCACAGGCTAAGCTCTGTACTGCAGAAGTGACATCTAGGCCCCAAGAACCAATTCCTGTCCATCAGGCCCTACGAAGCCCCAGCCTTCTAATCAACACATCATACTGGAGAAGAAGAGTTTGCCTCTGTATGTTTTTGGACAAGACTTGCTTTGGATCATCTTGCTTTCACTTGGAACCTTTGGGAATGTACTTGCCTTCTGACCTTTGCCCAATGTTTCTAGAACTTGACCCGGGAATGTGCTACTACCTGCAGATTGCTGACAATCAGCAAACTATGGCCCAGAAACCTGACCCCTCATCGAACCCAGACATACAACTACTTTACTGTGCACGCATTCAGTTTGGGCAAAGGGTCAATTCATGTGGAATACAGTCCCAATTTCTAGACACCCTTGAGTGGATTCATCCCAGCCAAGTGGAACATCCTATTCTAAGTGGTTTGGGGGCAGGCAAGCAACAGCACACTGCTCAAAGTAATGTGGAAACCAGGCAAAAAAAGTAAGGTTGTGTGTGTGTCTCATTTCAGCAACTTTGCAACTGGTGTACTAAAAACCCTTCAATTCCACTTGATCCAAATTTCCATGATGTCACTAGGGTCTTTTTCATTGGCTCCTGTTCTCTTTCTAACCACTCCATTTGCAAATCAGGGCCATTTCAAGACATTGTGAGACCCTAAGCAGCTGCTTTGCACCTGATATGCAAAGCCCAGGGTCTCTTGCACCTGAACTGATGGTGCAGCTTTCAAGCCTCATATGGCTGGTTCTTGACCAGCTCCTGAGGATGGCAGGGTAGGGCAGTTGCTGCAGCCCACCAAGAAGGTCAAAGGAAGCAGTTCCTAGGCAGCATTGCTCCAGGAAATAATGAAGCTGCCTGTATGCCACTGGGCATTGGGTGGTGAAAGTTGTAAAGATTATTTTCCATGTAGCTTGGCTTGCTTGCATGAGCCACCTGGACTCTGGAGTGACCTCTCAGTCTGCTCACCTCCTTCACTCTTCACTGGCTAAGGAGACACATAAATGCCTGGGGGTCCTCCTGAATTCAGCCAATGGCTGCTTCACTGGTGGTACCTAATAATATTGCCTCCCCAAGCAACTGCTTGCACAATCAAGCCAGACAGATGCAGGTATTTGCCACCTATGCCCAAATGTCAGGTACCCATTTTTTTTTCTTATTTCAAAGTTGTGAGCACCCAGTAAAAATCTGGCCACTTTCTGTTGCCTAAACAGCTGCGCTTATGCAAAAGATTCATATCACTATGACAGGGTTTTTTGGTGATTTTAAGATATTTAACTACTCTTTGACTGTACTGGCAACAGATGTTTAATGATATATTTAATTTTTAGATTTAGCAAAACAAGCATAGATCATTGGTTATTTTCTGTAAAGTACAACTCCGGAAGGATGCCTAAGTGTACAGTAAGTTCCAGAGAATTTATTTGAGCCTTTGAGCTACTGATCTAAAATGGGAACTGGGAAATTAGTGTGAGAGTGTTCGAACAAGTCTAATAGGATTTCTAGTTTGCCAAAAAAATAATGCTTCCAGAAGCACAATCTTTGGTGTAATCTCTCTCTCTCACAACAAGACAGATGGCATCATTAATTGCCTCTATATCTAATTAAGTTGGGGGGGGGGACTCAGCTTAACTAATGCTAAAGTTGTGGCACAAGCTGGGAAATGCAGGAAATTGCAAGGTAGAACAACTGAGTGGAAACGAAAAGGAAACAGGAGCTGATGGGAATAATAACAGAGCAGGAAGGTGTTTTTTTCAAGTGATGAAAAAGGAGTGAGATTCTTCCTGTGGAACTGCCATCACTAAGGATGGTATATCACTAAGGGTGATATGCCCGCATCAATCCCTTACATTTCTGAGTAGAGCAAGTTTACCCAAATATCGCAGTTTCTTGCCTATTAGAAATGTTTATCATTGATGACAACTACACATTTTCTGCGTTTAAAAAAAAGTTAATGGACATGTTTTTGTTTTTATTTTAGCCCCTATGCATATCTATGCTTATCTATAGACTTATTTATTTACTTTGGGCTTTGAGGGTTAATTTAGGATCCTGGGTACTGAGTTGTATTAATTACAAGCAGGCTATTCTGTCATGCTGGGTTTGTGTATTTTTTTAAAGCAATTGGATATGCTTGGTTGTAAGTTGGTTTGGGCAAGATAAAGTGACTAACAAATTTAACAGATAATAAATAAATACAAATATATTAAGGGCTTTAAATATTTAAATATTTTATTGTTAAATGTTCATTTGATTGTAAACTGCTTTGATAGGTGGTATAGAGGCCACTAATCAATCAATCAATCAATCAATCAATCATCAAACAATATTTCTGCCTCAAAGATTAGCAACAGAGAGGTCAATTTGTTCTTGTGCTGGGGCCACTGTCAACCAAGGGCACTCAGGGTTTACCTCCCCTAAAAGATTTGGTATAACAAGCCCCTACACAGTATCAACATCTCCCAGTTCCTGGTGTGAACTTCTGGGTCACACAGGCAGAGTAGGGGTAGGAGTAGAGAGAGGAATTATATTCAGTTCATACTTAAAGGCAAATCTACCTAATTCACGTTTCCTGAAACAACATGAGAGCTGAAATGCAACTGTCCTTCAAATGCAGTTCTCCAATCAAGTAATGTGTACAAAAATACATATACTAGGTTAAGTGTGTATATAGTACATCATATTGGGGAAAAGTACTTGCAAAATGTGTATATTAGGCAAAATCACATACAATGATTTGTACATTTAGGAGAAATTCAGACTAATATGCTGATGAACTTTCATGAGGACTTAAAAAAAAAAAGGATTTGCAAACTGATGTGGTAAGGTGAAGAGCTGAACTTAAGGGTGAAAAAGTGAGAAACTGAGAGAAACCAAAACTGACAGATGGGACCATCCTTAAGCCAGGCAGGACTAAAAACTTGATTTTTAAACAATGGTTGCTGTTTTCAAGGTAATGTGTTGTGAATCTCATCCCTAGAGAGAAGAGGGAGTACAAGCGAAATGTCATGTTGCCACTCTCGTCTTGGATTCGTACATTGGTTCCCAATACAGTTTCAAGCACAATGCAAAGTGTTAGTGCTGACCTTTAAAGCCCTAAATGGCCTCAACCCCAGTGTACCTGAAGGAGCGTCTCCACCCCCATCGTTTAGCCCGGACACTGAGGTCCAGCTCCAAAGGCCTTCTAGCAGTTCCCTCCCTGCAAGAAGTGACGTTACACCCGCCCTGTGGAATGCCCTCCCATCAGATGTCAAGGAAATAAACAACTATCTGATTTTTAGAAGACATCTGAAGGCAGCCCTGTTTAGGGAAGTTTTTAATGTTTTATGTTTTATTGTTATTTTTAAAATTTTGTTGGGAGCCGCCCAGAGTGGCTGGGGAAACCCAACCAGACAGGTGGGGTATAAAGAACAAATTGTTATAATTATTGTAATTATTATTATTCCAATGTGTCAACCTTTCTGGCCTGATCTTTTCCTCCTCCATTCCAATGGAACCTCTGGAAAACCACCATTTTGCCAAACCACCCAATCTGTCTTTGTAATACAGCATGTTTTCCAAGGATAGAAATTATTAGCCTGTGAGAGGAGGAGAGCAGAGTGCTTCCCCCCTCCCCCCACCCCCGCTCCACCTTTTATCATGATCACATTTCACAGTATCTGCAAGCGTGTCACAGGATTTAAGATTTCACTTCACCTACTCACCTGCTGCCCCATGGTTTGAGGGTGGATGAATGTCACAAAGTCAATGGAGAAGTATCCAACCACTCCTCTGGATCTACAGGCCTCTCCAATCTGAAGACACAGCCCGTTAAGGACCCGTGGCTCAACGGAACACTGGGGAAGGGTGGTTCCTGTGGAGCGCAGGGGACCATCTGCATGGAACTGGTCTCCAGAGGAAACCATTGAGATCTCTCCAGTTGGCTCTATTAGCATGTCCACTTTGAGGCTAGTGATGCTGTCTGAGGGCGGGAAGGCTTCTATGATGCCACCTAGATAGAGAGAGAAAAGTTGCCAGGATTCCATCAAGCAGTGCCCCCACCCCGTACAAATTAAATGCTTGTTTTGGGATGCAGTATTGCCAGTATTTTCTCTTTGATGATTGTTGCCTTCCAAAAATAAACAACTTATCAGGGAAGGTCCTGCCTGGTTCGATGGAAATATTAACTTGACTTCAGCTAGGAACTGTGACTTTCAGTTTTCTCTGTGCTTATAGTTAAAAGGAGAGCCATTTTCTAGCCTTGGATGCCACCTGAAAGGGCATGTTTGTTGTTAGAGAATCATTATTGGGACTGGAGGGATATAATTTTGTGTACGTAGAAGTAGAGATGAGATCAGGATTACCCAGGGGAAAGATGGAATGGGCATAGCCGCAATGCTGAGCTCCCTAGAGAGGAATGGCATAACAATGCAACCATATCAATATATATGCTGTCCTTCCATAATTACGTGAGCCAGCACAAAACTTGAGACACTTTGCTTCAAGTTCATGAAGAAGTTGTTTGAGATCTCGGAAGCCAAAAGGAAGAGCTGAGCAGGAGTCCCATCGGTCAGGGAATGAGATTTCCATGATCTCCATAGCTTCTTGACCCAACTTGATTCTGACTAACCAAATCTGCATTGCTAATGAAATAAGACTAAGGAGAATATGAATTGGTTGACATAAGGTCTTCAGAAGATTGCAGAATTCTACAGTGCAGAATTTAGAGGTTCTTTTATTGCAATAATAGCTCACTAGCCTCAGAAAAGCCACAGAACACACTAATGCCACAGCTAGCACTGTGACTTGAAGCCACAAAATGTTGCCAGTAGTTCTTTGAGATTTCTTTCTTCTCAAAGCTTCTTCTCAAGCATCTTTTGCCACCCAGGCAATTCCTAGCCATATGTCTGTTTCCATGTGTTTTCTAAAGTGTTTGTGTGGGGGGAGAGTTCAGCAGTTTCCAGCAAGGAAGCCAAGCCCATCACGACTAGGCGGAATCAAAGATGGCTGCCTACATCTTATTTTTCAACAGTTAAAACTGCAATGGGGAAATGAAAAGGGGCAGAGAAATATCTAAATGAATGAGAATGAAGTACCGGTGATATAATTATCCCTCATAGCACTTAGCAGGAACTTAGCAGTCTTATTTACCTTGACTCACAAATGTTTGGAGGAATTTTCCCCATGTAGGAAATCGTTTCTCATTGACAGCCTGAGCGTGCTGTGCTAAAAGGCCCGGCAGCTCCTGGGAGATCTTCGCCAAAGCTGGTTCCTGCAGAAACAAATTAAATAGAACCACAAGCAATTTTACTGCAGAAATGAAAACTGCTTGTGGGGTGATTAAAAACCAGGCCTCCAACAGGCTGTGTGGTTACTGTTTAACCACAGCCAGAAAGCCTTTTTTTAAATGTTTCCTTTATCTTTTTCCTTATTCTTCTTTCATCCATCTGAGAACATTTCCTCATCAAAGATACTTTCTTTTTAACCACTGATTCTATTCTTCATTTCTTTTTAGCAGAAAACTGAACAAAATAAGGAAGATGACAGGCTACAAATATCTGTTGGTCTACCAGGGTGATGGTAACTAATAATAATAATAATAATATCCATTCATTAGCTCCTTATTCAGATGCATGTTCCCATTCTCTCCTGAGGGCTCATGAGGGCTCTCCATTTGGCAACAATCTACTCTGGCTTGTCTGCTGGACCTCACCAACTTGGCTAAACCTTCTGGGCATACCACTGTTGTCATCTCAGAGCACCTTGACCTTGGGTAAGGTAGCAAAACTATTATATTAAGTCACTGTGCATGAAGGAGATTCAAGGGATCAGCAATGTGCGAGATGAGCAGCATCTAGGGATGGAAGAAGGCAGAGATTTCTGTTTCAATCTGTATTCACCACCATCAACGCCATTTCCATTCTGCTGCAGTTCAGTTCCTACCAAATACAACACTGCCTCTGTCTGCTATGTAGTGTAGGTTACATAACTTATGTAACTTATATTTATTTCAATGTAAAGGAAACATCAAAACAGTGTAAAAAATGAGCAGATGATTACGTACTGTTTGCGGACTTAACACAACAATGGAAACAAATACTGGTAGTATTTGCTTGACTGATTTCCATTCCTGATCACAGGCGAACAAACAATCAACCAACACAATTCTGACTTCCTTTCCTGTTTTTGTCAGTATTCTCTGACATCTTTAGCAGCAACTCAGTGGAAACATCTTCCTCCATATAACATCCATAGAACCAAACACCCACAATGTTGCATACAAGCAAGCAAGCAAGCAAGCAAGCAAGCAAGCAAGCAAAGAGAACCCAATATTAATTTCACAGCCTTCCCCAACCAGATGTTTTGCACTGGCTGTGGCTGATGGGAGTTGTAGTCCAAAACATCTGGAAGGCGTCAGATTGGGGAAGGCTGTCAAAAAGTCAGAGCGCTGAGCAAGCACATCAAGCTTAGGGACTCTGTATGTTAAAACACCAGGTCGCTTTTCTCTAGCTGCATCATGATCACTTCTTTGCTTCCCTTGGGCCTCTTTCCTTCTGCTTCATGACCCCTTGAAATTGGAAATGTCCCATGCTCCAAAAGAGGACCAATTGCCCACTTCGCACACCAATCCCGGGACTCTGTTCGTGCTCCCCTGGACTGCAGGATGGACTGGTGAAGCATCACACTCATTTCTTTTCCTTGCTAGACAGGGTTTCTCTTTGTTTTTAAATGCTGTGTTTTAAATGCACTGTATGTGGAGGCAACGGCTTCACTTAATAACACACCAGAAAGTAAAACTGCTCTGTTGTGTTTGCCAAAAGGCAGTTTGTGAATTCTGAACACAAATGAACATCTTTGAGTCTCAGCCTGGGAACAAATTACCTTTCCCTGAAGCATATGGTTTAACTCACTTGCTTAAGATATCTAATGCCTGCAAAGGAGAGAGAGCTTCAGAGGCTAGCCTTTTTTAAAAAAAACAACATCTGCAACAACTACAGGAGAAGCACTCCAAGATATTAGAGACGTGTCAGCCTATCCTTCATCCCAGACAAACTGGTAGAAAGAATGATTTATGCTAACACTGTTAAACACACGAACATATATAGAAGAACAAGCCTTGTTGATAAAAAATCAGCATGGCTTTTGAAAGAGAAGGTTTGGCCCAATCAACTTTTTAGAATTCTTTGGGAGTGTCATCAACCTTTGCTCTGGAAGATACTGTATATTTGGATTATAAATAAAAAAAAACATTTGAGAAAGGTATTATTCTTACATTACATCCTTCATGTTTACAGAAAGCCTGATGGTGCCTATAAGGGCACCAGTGCCAACAGCTACTACTGGCAACTAATACTGGAGAGTCCCCTAAAAGCCACTGGCTTGCTCCAAACTCCTAGCAAAGAGAGAAGGTGCAGGGTATCTGTATACACTGAGGGAGGATTTGCTAATAAGTTATAGATTCCAATGCCGTTGCAGTAGCACTGAACCAGCTGAAAAGCACCATATAGACAAGAGAGGGAAGAATGAATGGCTTGTGCTTTTCTTTCATGTATAACTAATTTAAGAACTAGTGAGAACTAATGATTTCCCATATTGGGGGAGGGGATTGCTTGGTCCACATAAATTTTCTCTTCATTGATTAATGCTAGCAAGATGCTCTATCTACAAATCAATAGGTACCATTAAGTTGCTTCTGTCTTATTTTCAGTGCACTAGATAAAGCCATTCCCTCTAGTCACTCTGGGCTGAATCCCAATGCATATATTTGCTTCTAATCAGGGAGTTGGGGAAAGAGTGAAAATCAGATCCTTGCATTGCATAATGGCTGTTGAAGTTGTTTTTGCTTCACAGTTACAGCACCCACTGTCAATACTGATGTCACATATATGAGACTAACTGGTTTATTGAAGAGCACTGGACCAGGGAGATCTGGGAGGAGATATGATAGCCTTCTTCGTATACATACATATATATATATATATATATATATATATATGGCGCTGTCACATTGAAGAGGGAGTAAGCTTGTTTTCTCCTGCCCCAGAGGCTAAGATCCAAACCAAGGCCTTCAAGTTACAAGATATGAGATTCTGACAAAACATCAGAAAGAACTTTCTGAAAGTAAGAGCTGTTTGACAGTGGAACAGACTTCCACAAGAGATGGTGGACTTTCCTTCTTTGCAGGTTTTAAAGCAGAAGTTAGATGGCTGTCTGCTATGAAATTCCTGCATTGTAGGGGTTGGACTAGATATCCCTTCCAACTCTACAATTCATTCTATGTTTCTAAGCTAATCACTATCTCCCACCTAACCTAAGGTCACACACATGTGGTGAACAAAAAATGAAAGGAAAGCCTAACTGTTCTTCAGGAATGGATGAATCTATCAATTTTGATTTCTCATTTTTCCAGTGTGAAGTTCTGTTCACCCCATCTCCACATAAGTTTGTGATTTTTTTTAAAGTCCTCATGAAAATTTGTCAACATTAAAGTGAGCATTTCTCCTACTTTACATATATTTGCTTGCTTTATTTGCAAGCACTTTCCCCTAACGTAATGCATTTTTAATATATTATTTTCACTAATATATGTATTTTTATGCTCATACATTTGTCCCTAACATACAGTGGTACCTTGCAAGACGAATGCCTTGCAGGACAAAAAACTCGCTAGACGAAAGGGTTTTTTGTTTTTTGAGCTGCTTCGCAAGACGATTTTCGCTATGGGCTTGCTTTGCAAGACGGAAACGTCTTGCAAGTTTGTTTCCTTTTTCTTAACACCGTTAATACAGTTGCGACTTGACTTCGAGGAGCAACTCATAGAACGCGGTGTGGTAGCCTTTTTTTGAGGTTTTTAAAGACTTTGGTGATTTTTGAAGCTTTTCCAAAACTTTCCTGACACCGTGCTTCGCAAGACGAAAAAAATCGCAAGACGACATAACTCGCGGAACGAATTAATTTCGTCTTGCGAGGCACCACTGTATCATTTGGCAGGAGAACTGCACTGCAAAATTTGGAAAAGTGCACATTTCAAAGTATACGTTGTGTATTCTTTCAGGAAGTGTGAATTAGGTAGGCTTGCATTAAAATGTGAACCAGAATGAATTTATCTCCCATCACTACTATTCACAGGAAAAGTGAGAGAACAAAGTGAAAAGCGATCCTGGCGGTTGTACTTTTTTTCCCAGATGGGTGCATTCATCTCCCAACTTCTGAGCTCTTACCACTGTTTAAAGTTCTTCCCAGAACCCCAAGGACTGAAAAAGTACTTAGCTGAAAAATCCACTTCCCAGTCAAAAGTTGTCTCTCATGGTTTCAGCCACTGGGTTTAAGAAAAAGCTTATTGTGAGGCAGACTGAAATGGAAACGCTGTTGGGTTCCTTCCGCTACACACACACATGCACACACCATCCAGCAGTTTGCAAGTACTTTAGAATTTGTTTCGTTGCTTGGGGGGGGGGGTGTTACTCTCTGGTGCTGCAATCTACGCAAAAGAACAAAAATGCTGGAAAATGTTTTTGGAAGCGATCAATCGCCTGCCACACTTACTTAGAATTCAAATGCCGCTTTTAGGGCTGAATGCTTGAGTGTGCAACTGCAAATTTTAAAATTAAAAAAGTCCCGATTTTGCCTTTCATGAGAGACATTCTTTTGGAAGGTAACATCATGTAAAACAGCTGCCATTACCAAGTCACGCAAATGGTTTTTGTATGTAAAATGGCTTTGTAAAATATTTGCTCCATCTGCTGAAAGTAGCAAAAGACAATTTTCCCCGATACCTAATGGCCCATTTCAGCTGGATGGCAAGCGATTCGCCGGGGTAGCGCCTTGCATTATGTCGAATGGCGAGAACACTCCACAGAACTCTCCACTTATGCGGTATTATCTCCTCTCTGCTTCTTGAGAGGCCTGTCCCTCATTACCGCGGCCCGTCGCTCTGGATCAACGCACAGGCCGAGGGGCTGCTTTGGGCTGAAGAGGGCCTTTGTCAAAGGGAGGCACATATGCTGCGCTTCAACAGCGGACCGCCAAGCAGCCACTCGCCTCGACTATTAGAACAAGGAGGTTAGCCCTCTTTCAACTTTCCACCACTTAAACTGCTGCTCCCGTTTTCTCCACACCACATGGGTCACGCTATTCTCTTCTGGCTCGCTGTGCTCGCCAAGGATTTCAGTACGTACAATTAATCAATCCCTTTTCATTCTGAATTTGGCCACACACACAAAGCCTAGAGAACATTGTTCTAGCCCCAAACAACCCCCTGCAGCTCCAGGCTTCATTGTGGAGAGATCTCTCCATTTAGAAGCACATGGCTGCCTTGTGCCCTGAACCACGTCAACATCTGTTAACAGGCCAATAAAAACAAACAAACTAGAATGGGGGGGGGGACTGCGTTCCCCCTCCCCAAATCCAAGCCCAATGAAGGAGCTACATAGGGACCGCAGGGGATCTTTTCGGGGGGTGGGGGTGGGTGGACGGATATATGTCACAAAAATTGGGATCAACCCAATGTTTTTAAATAAAGGCAATATACTAAAACACACACAGGACTGCTTTCTTTACAAAAGAAATATCACATATTTATACAATTTCATTCATTCAGTCTATTGTTGCTGCTTTTTGTTTTTAGCAAAGCAATCGGTCTGGACAATTTATTTTGCTAAGGTGCTTAAAATTATGCCATGCCTAGATATAGAGCAGGTCAGATTTCATTTCTTTAATAATGTGTAATAGGCATTTTTCTTTAAACGGGGAACACTTGTTAATACTCAAAAGCTATTGTCACTAGACATACTTATTTCTTTTTATAAAAACTCCCTTCCCTAAACAATAATGCAGAAACTAGGAAGGCCAGAGTGCAAAGGGCACACCCCTTGCACACCTCCCTATTTATTTTGAATTGTCTTGTGCAGTTGCACCCATGCAAAGTGTGGTTTTGCCCTTGTCTTGCCGCTGAAGTGCAAAGTGGGATCAAGAACAAACGTGAAATCTTCTTTCAGGCTGCTGGGATTGAACATTTTCCAAATACTTCCATTTTTAAAAAAACAACAGCACCAAAAACATAATTTTAAATAATTTATTCCCTGATGTTATGTTCTATGTTTTTTTATTTACTTCTGAGAGGAAGTCTACAAATGCTAAAATAGAATAAAAATTAAGTCCCTGGAAATTCACAGGGGCCCCCTGTTAATTGTTAGGTATTGCGTTCATAGATACTGTTGTATTAACTGTTGAGATAGATGACTTTCAAATACCCCTGCCTAATCCCAAAATAAAACAAAAAAATCACCCTTTGTAGCAATACACTGTTGAAATCTGCATTCATTTTTAGCCTGTCTCTGCTTCTTTGAATTTAGCAGAATAAACATTTTAATATAATCTACAGAGGCACTTTATGGCATGTGATAACACTGACAAATTCCAGATTTTCTTTCGTGATCTTGCTTTATTCTCCTCATCTCTGCGCGGTTACTGCTAAAAACTGGCAGTTAAATTCAATTGATTCAAAATATTCTGAATCCATATGGCCTAAAACCCTGAAGCTTGAAGCTCTGATATTGCCTCACTGCTGTTTTGTAGCATTTGCAAAGACTTCAGTCCCCAGATGGTAGAAGTAACATTTAAACCTCCTTTTCTCTGCTTTGTACAATAGACCTTGGCATCATTTCAACTGTTTACTCCGGTAATTAACAGCACTGATACCACAACAATTACAACTCCTACAATCTTAACACAATAATGCTATGAATTAGTGAGAGCTAATGGCTGGAAGGTATAGTGGTTCCAGACTGCGAGATCCGTGCATTTTCCCCGAATAAAATAAAAGGTACCAAACAGCACGGCTCGCGGTAGACAATGATTACCTAGTAATTAGTTTACACAAAGCTTCCTATTTAATGGCAAAACGCTGTAATTAACGCGTGACAGAAAATCAAAGGGTGCTTTGTAAGCATATGAAAAATTAACACCGCAGGCCCATAGCTTTATGTACTGATTAGAAGAATATTAAATCAATAGGACATGCAAACGAACAGCTTGCATATCTGATTATTGTAGGTCCTAGGAATTTAACCAAGGGACATAATAAAATAACAAGACACAACAATTAAGGAATCAGGGAATCACCTGAAACCCAAACACTGGTAGCCACATTAAATATAATAACCGACTGAGCAAGAGCATCACAGCTTGTTCTCTGATGTAATAGGTAAACACAACTTGATATCCCATCGATGGCTATATAGTTTAGAGACTAGTGGAGACCTCTTCTGCTAGCCAATATAATTTTAACATCCACTATTAAGCTACATGACATTCGGAAAGAGCTATCAAAATACTGCTGCTGCAAATGGCGTTTCTTTTATTTCAGATCATAATCGGTCTGGAAGACCGTGTTCCCTATGTAACAATTATTACATAAACTCTGTTGTGATAGCTGGGGGTCACAAACCAGCAGCATCTCTAGAAACATAAACCACAATGCTGCCTCTGGGTGGGTGGGATCCAAAACACATTCCTTCCCTTTCCCTGAGCCCATTCCTGGCCAGGGGTTGGGTATACGCACGCAATTCAGGAACCAACTTTATGAAATGGAGGGAGGATGTAAGTCAGTTTTCCCTGATGCTGGTTTATGGGTTCATGTGGAAGCCCTGCTGAAAAGTCCTTGCTGGGCACACTTGTCCCCATTCCTTCTATCAGACCATGGCTGAGGACACAAGTCCAGTGCCCATATGGAGCCCACCCTTATTTGTTATCAGTCCTACTCAAGAGGAACATGGCGAGCTGCCTTACACTGAGTCAGACCATTGGTCCATCTAGCTCAGAACTCTATACAATGGCCTGAAGTGGCTGGCCAGGATTTCAGAGAGGGATTCTCTCCCAGTCCTACCTGGAGATGCTGGGGATTGAAGCTGGAACCTTCTGCATGCAAAGCAGATGCTCTACCGCTACCACTGAGTTGCAACCTTTCCCCTAGCACAGGGAGTTGGGTAGGACCACACAGTTGTTTGCTTCTTGCCTTTAAATTAATGAAGTTACCCTTGAGGGGTGGAGTAGTTGCCTGCAAACACTGAAACTCCCATATTCCTGTAAAGTGGTCAAACAAAGGTTTGCAAGGCATATTTTAATGATCTAGGTCCTGATAATGAAATAACAAGCACTTTCAACACCATAAAAAACCCATAAGAAATGTCTTGCTGGATCTGAGCCCAGGGTCTACCTGGTCAACATTCTGTTTCCAGAAGCAGATGGTCCAATGGACCCTTTGGAACATCACAAGCAGGGCATGAAAGTGATGGCCATCGCACACACCTCGCTGCTTCTTTCAAACATTTGCTGGTGGAGTGCCAGTTTCTTCAGCTCCTAGTTCTTCTCAAAACATCTTCCGTGACAAAAGATGCACAGCTTTCCAGACTATAGCTTTGTGTTGTTTTTTCAAGGAATGGGATGACCTTCCTTGTGTCCAGGTGTTTTGTGATGGGCAATCCCATTAATGCCACTTGAAAGCTTAAGGGGTGGAGATATATAGCTCAGCTAAAAGTTAGTCAACCAGTAGTTGGTAGGAAAATTATTGATGTGTTTTACCTACACTTAAGTCTTTAGAATGGTTGGTTATGTGTGTTGATCTGAGGGCACAAGCATTGGGGAGTCTGTTGACTTGACTGGAGATGATTCAAATTGCCACATAAGCTCTTAAACCACTAACATCCTCAGGATTTCTCTTGAACTCACAGAAAGTTTCAGAGGAAATTACTGTGATGACTGTGTGTCCTGAATGGAATGGTCAACATCCTGGTCTGGAGGATCCAACAATTAAGACTCCATTTTTACATGGAATAGACACTCAGTATAAACTCCGGTAAACCACATTATGTTTAATCGGTTGCCCTACTACATACCAATGAAGGAAAAACCTTGGGATCGTATCATAAACCGCTATGCAAATGATGCTATTTGTAAGTATTAACATAATTTAGTGCTTAGAGTCATATTCTCGTTTCTAATAACTCTACCGGAATGGAGAGTCTTTTGCCATGTACTCCTAGCCTGCAGGATAGTCTTTCATCACAAAGCTGAATTTTTTAATAACCTGCCAGCATATGTTTGGTAACGTGGCAGCTTAAGTCGATGACACAATGTCTTCATTATCGAAAGCAGGTCTCCATACTGTAATAGGACATTAAAGCATGCCTGTGCTCATAAACTAATGCTTTGATGTCTAAATGCAGGAGCATTACAAGAGCATTCAGTAACAAAGGAGGATTCTAATCCTCTGCACTCAGTGGAAACATTCAATGGAGACTGCAATTCGTTTCTAAATATGAAAGACTGGTGCTGTTGAAAAGCCAGGGCTGAGATCTAAAAGGTGAGAAATGGTGATATATTATTTGGAACGGGGAGGGGAGATGCTGTTAAGGAGTTTGAACAAATTGCTTGCAGTCTTTCTCCCTATTATATGTGTACTGTGACACTTCACAGGAAGAACACCAATGGGTCAAATGCAGCATAACAGGGCACTCAGGCCCACTCCAGACTGTTGTTTTTTGTGTGGGCATATCCTGCAACACGGCACTGATGCACAACAATAGTGCATTTGTGGTGTGTTTGTACTAGATCAAGCTTCCTCAACCTCGGCCCTCCAGATGTTTTTGGCCTACAACTCCCATGATCCCTAGCTAGCAGGACCAGTGGTCAGGGATGATGGGAATTGTAGTCTCAGGTTGAGGTTGTAGGTTGAGGATGCCTGTACTAGATCATCTACACACCATTCAGCTTTATTAGCTGCTCCACAATGCCTCCCCAATGTTACTGCATTATTTGTTGCTGATGGCAGCACTCTAGCAACAGTGGCAGAGCTTTATCGGCACCAGGGGGCGGAGAGCTCACGCTGCTGGGGGCAGTGCGCTCCTCCCCCCCACTCCTCTTCCTCTGCCAGTGTCTAGCAACACAAGTGGGACAACCCCCCCCCCCAAAAAAACCCCACACAAAATGTGGTAGAAAAAGGTTATAGGATTTCAGCAGGAGACCAACATTGCTTGGAAATAAAGCAGTATGACCACATTGAAACTTTTGATGATATGAACATTATTGAGGATCGTGGATAATTGCTCTGAAACCATCATCTGAGTACAAATCGTCATAAATGCACAATAAAAAGTGATGTGTGGAGGGTCTTCACACTGGGGTGTAGTGCCAAAATGAATAGGTTGCAACAAGTATGCTTCTGAATACTAATTTTGGAAACTACAGGAGGGGATAACACTGTTGCACTAAGGTCCTGCTTGCAGGCATCCTCGTGGCTACTCTTAGAACTAGATGGGCTACTAGCCTGATCCAGCAGCAGTGGTAACTTTGGTAATATGATGCCTTGAGTGAGGACAAAATTTGGTGCCCTAAGTATTTATTTGGCACCCTCACCCCTCTCACCTTCCGTTATGTGCATGCTCTCAAGTGCTCCACATCATAGTTGCAGTAACTCAATCACCTGTCTGGCACCATAGCCCAATAGATTATGAGCATGGAACCTTGGTTTTAACCCTACCTATAATCACCCCTCGTTCATTCTAATGGTGGAATCAAATTGGAAGTCTAAGATGCAAATTATTGCCCCATTGAAATGAATGGGGGCCCCTGTACAGCCTGTAAAAGATCTGTGAGTGCATCTGATCATACACAGAGACCTGTAGATCAAGGTGAAACAAGTTATTTAACCTTTGTTTCATCTCTGTTCCTAAATGGATTTTAACTGGATGATTTTAGTTTACAGACTTCTCAGTTTGGGGCTATAAGTTTTCAGCAAAGCAATTCATTACACCAACATGTAAGATTTCTCACCTGCCCTTCACCAGAAAGTCCCAAAGTGGATTGCAGCAAAACATTTAAAAAGAAAAGTAAATAAAGGAAGCTAAACAGTTTGTATACAATTATAAAAAACACAAATAATTTGAAGCAAAAGGATCATCAGGTTGATTAACCCAAACATAATACAAAAAAGCCCCAAAAAACTGTCAAAGACTAGGGTAAAGAGGTGTTGTCTTCAGCATACTACAGAACTATGTGATGAAAACATTAGACACACCTCTGTGAGAAATCAGTTCTATAATGTAGGGACTGCCACAGAGAAGGCCCTCTTTTAGGCTACCATTCCCCAAACTTCTGAAGGCAATGGAACCACCAAGAGGGCCCTCTCTGTTGATTGGAGCCTAAGTTGTTCATGGCTGTAAACACCAATGTGAGCCCCTTAAATTAGCAACCAGTGCAGCTGTTTCAAAATAGGAAGTACATGAGCTCTAAATGGAACCCTGGCCAGTAATCTGGCTGCTGAATTTTGCACATGTTGAAGCTTCTGAATCATCTTCAATGGCAGCCCCATGTCGAGAGTATTGCAATAATCCAATCTAGAAGTTATCAAAGCATGGAGCTCAGTGGCCAAGACATCTCTGTCCAAGAGGAAATCAGAGCTGTCAAACCAGCCACAGCTGGAAACAGGCACTCCTTGTCACGGAAACTACTTGAGCCTCCAGTAGCAGTGTTGGATCCAGGAGTGCACCCAGACTAAATAAAAAATGGCACAAAGGGAGAGTTCTGGCTTGCCACCATGCGAACAAGGTGCTGGAATAGATGGGCCATTGGGCTGATCCAGCAAACTCCTTTTATGTTCTTGTGTTTTTATGTGGGGATATGCAAGAGATTATTCTGGCCCAAGCTTGGCCAGAAGAAAGCGCAGAACAGAAAGAACTTCTAAAGCCTGATTAGTTTCAAGAAGCCAAGAGTATGAAAACCACTGCAACACCCCAGATATACACAAGGTGGGGTAAGCCTAATGAAAATGTGCTTTGCAGAGACAATCTGGAGTGTAGCAACAGCCACTAATCCAAAGAAAGAGAATGTGAAAGTACGGCAGTGACTGCACACTGTGGTTCATGGCTAGAATGGGATGCTTTTCTCATGAAGAGAATATAAAATGGGTTAAGGTGTTTCAGTTAAGAGAACAGATGGGAAGGAAGGTAACTCATGGGTGTCTTTGATAAAATGAATAATGATTGGTCTTATGTAGATTTCTCCTCCATCCTCTCCCAAAGGCATGTTACAATACATACTACACTGAGATGACCCCAGTGAAGATTTTACTAAGATAAAAAGTAACTTGTCAATGCCAGCTTTTACCTTTAAAGTCCTAAGCAACTATGCCCCAAATTAACTGGCAACGAATTTTTAACAAGTGTTCCCTATTTCATACAGGACAGTATAGGTGCCTCTCTCCCCTTGGAACTCCTAAGGCCTGCAATGTGCCAGGTACCTCTACCTTCTGATGCTATGTTGACACCTTCAAAGTAGCTCAGCTTCTCCTATTGCACATAAAATATGAACTCCAGGAGGCACTGGGTAAACTTCAAAAATGAAAGACACCTGAAAATGACTGGTGGACTTACTTGTGCCCACTGCAACTTCCATATCTCAGGGCCGTATCTACGAATCTCCCTCTGAAGCCAGGGGTAGCATTTGAGGTGCTCGGAGATGTCACAGAATGCTGTGCCATTTCCCCCAAAGTCGCTGTCCACTTTGAACACCCAGCGTTTCACTTCTGGGTAGTCAATTATCAGCTGACTGATGACTTCAAGCATCTAGGAAACACACAAACAAGGTTTTCAGTTAAATCCGAATGGATGTCATCTTAGCCACTCTCCACCTGAAACTGATCGCCACATTTTCTTACAGATGTATAAGAGGCAGGTGAGACTACAGGGACAGTTTGAGCGGGGAGGAAAAGCCCACAAAACACTGTATTTGTGTAATGACAACGAAAACTGTACTTGAGCTTTGTATTATTTATCCTTTTTTAAACTAGATGGTTCTAAAAATACCCTTTTCTATCTTGAGGCTTCATTGTTGGTGGGTTTGACTGTAACTGCAGAATAGAATGGCTCAGGAAGTATTTGTTACAACAGCCATTCCAAAGCACTTTTTATTATTTGAACTTCAATCACAAATGGAATTATTATTTGTTTGCTCTGTGTCCTGTTATTTGTTGCTTTTGAAAGCCCAATAAATGGGTTTTCTGTTGACGACTCCCCTACAGAAATGAAATGGATCGATAGTATTGTAAAGATTGCACCAACGGAAAGAGTTATGAGGTCTCTTTAAGTGAAAATTGAACTGTGCCTTAAATTATTGTCATCTTCCTTTGATTATTTAACGCCTCGCATCAATATTTCCTGCTGTAACAAAAACAATCTGAAACAAATTGAAAGGGGAGCTAATGTGTACGATGGTTTGGAGGGTACCATTTATAGAGAAGCAATATTAAAGCCAACACTTGGGGCAAGTCTAAGCCTGTGAGATTTGTAATGTTGTGGTTCATTTTGGCTACGAGTTGACCTTCTGCCATCTGCTTCTGCATTTAGCGCATGGTTAAGGGATGCAGCCACTCTGCTGAGGATCTCTGACCCCATGAAATGGTCAGTGTGCAGGTGTTTTCTCTGTAAGCAAACTGAATTCTTACAATTCTGGTACAAATTGTACCCCAGCTGCCATCGATGTCCCACCCAATGAGGGTGCAAATGCAACCTCTTTGAGTACTTGTCCCTCTACGTGTTGACAAGCCAATTCCAGCTTCATTTCCTGTCTTGTTTGCTCATCCTCGGTTCTGCCTTATTACCCTGTCATTCTACCCCAACCTGAGCCTACACATCCTCCTCTCTGGGCAGATCAGTCCTGCTTTTCACACCTCTGTTTCCTTAGATTGTGTGTGTGTGTGTGTGTGTGTGTGTGTGTGTGTGTGTTTAGTGTATGCCAAATAGATTTGATATGTATCTCAGATACCTTAAGTTAGCACTAAGATGAAGGAAACATTTAGTACAGAAAAGGTATTGTTGCCTCATTTGGAGCACTGGTGATGTGCTCTATCTGCCATCTGGAATATGCAATAGATTTGGTTATCTTTCATTATTTACAAGCCATTGTTTAAAATGGCTCTTCTGAAAACCAGCAGCATTCATAAATCAAAGAGTAATCACAACCTCCCCAAAATCATAATGATTCATATCAATGACAAGCAAAGAACTATTGATTCTTGCCCTTGGAAAATATAAAACAGGGTGTGATTTTCAAATTGCAACACAAAGAGGCAGTGTTCTTGTTTCCAAGGAGCTTTCTGTGTTCAGAACTGTCCAGGGAACATTTACATGAACCAAATTAGGAGTGAGTGCTGAAATAAATTTTCATAGCTACTGATACTCCTGAGTGTTTCAAGACTTGGAAGCCACGCAAACTGGCCCCACATTAAAGAACAATGGCTTGCATCAGATTTGATCCATGTTTGTCAAGTAATTTGCTGGTGCAATTTGCATTCATGCATAACAGGGATGGAAAGCCTGTGGTCACCAGAGGTTGTTGGACTACGGCTCCCATCGCCCCTGACCACTGGCCATGCTGGCACGAGCTGTAGTTCATCAACAGCTGGAGGACCACAAGTTCTTCATCCCTGATGCATGGTTCGCTTGCAATTATTTAGCAATCATGGTTGATGCCCCAGAACACTCATATGCTCCATCAGTATGCATTTACCGAGTTCCCATTGTCTTTAGCTCTTTGCTAACTTGGCTTTGCTAATTGGTGTGAACGCAGGTGAATTCTGGGAGTATTCCTACATCCCAAGACATTGTCTTGCCTTTGACTGCTAGATAGGGCCATAGACCTGACCTGACCCAATAATCTTGTCACCACCAATGCAAAATCTTGAAAATATTTTAGTCTGGGGATAGTTGACATGCATCAAATTATAAACAGAAGATGAATATGCAACATTGATCTCCGAGACTGACAGGCAGGAGTATCCCTGGCGGCTGGCATAAAATGCTCAGATCCTTTTCATCTAGCGTTGCCTGTTCAACAGAGCATAAGCTCTCTGCTGCACTTCAGGCTCCTGCTTTCAGTTTGAGCCTGAATCAAACCATAACTGAATTCAGCTATGGCTGTACACGGCCCAACCTGGCCATGGCATCTGGGAAATTCTCCCCTAGAAAATGGGAAGGAGGTTCAATACATGGGGGCTGCGAGCGAGCAAGCCTTCTTAGTGGCTGCACCTTTTCTTTGGAGGCCCAGTTCTCAAATGCAAACTATATTGTGGAAACTGGTCAAAATGGTACCATATAGAGGCAGCTGCATGGTGGAAGCAGTTTCGGTTGAAGCAGCTTCCCCACATGCAGGTTGAGGAATTGCACATGCAATTGCCTCAAACATCTGGTTAGTTACGTGGAGCTGCCCCCCCCCCGCACTTATGTTTTAATTGGTTAGCACAACCCTATTCATATGTATGAGCTGGGGCACAGTTCAGGAAATTTATTGAGAGCTGTTGTGCAGACTGATGCTAATGCAAACACTAGCAATTGGCAACAACCACCCCAATCCTAAGCACAGATACTTGAAAGAATGTCCCGTGAATTTCAAAAGAACTGACTTCCAAATAAATGTGTTCAGCAATAAGAAGGTGCCAGGCTCTAATTCACAAACCAGACTGGTCTCATTGAAGTCGTGCAAGAGGTTCAAAGGTTGTAATGGATCAATGGTTGGATGTGGGCCAGCAAGACCAGAGTTCAAATCTCCATTCAGCCATAAGGAGGCAATGCGGTGCAGTGGTTAAAGTGTCAAACTAGGATCTAGGAGACCAGGGGTTCAAACCTCCACTCAGTCATGAAGTTCAATGGGTGACCATGGGTTTCTCAGCGTAATCTTACGGTGAAGGGCAGGTAATAAATAAATAGATAGATAGATAGATAGATAGATAGATAGATAGATAATCTACTTCACATGGCAGCTGTGAGAATAAAATAGGGAGGGGGAGAACCATTTATGCTACCCTGAGCTCCAAAGAGGAAAGGTGGGATATAAATGAATAGGGTAGGGTAGGGTAAGATAAGATAAGATGATAAGATAATGGAATAATAAATAAAATAAAGCTCACTGGCAAAGACATTAATATCCCACTCATAAATCCTAGGGCTGGTCCCTGGCACTGAAAACAGTTTCCAGGACTCAGTCCTTATGATCCCTTGGTGTGAGTGAAGACTTCACCTTCAAAGTAAGATTTGACTGGGGACAACCAGATGTTTGAATGGTCCAGGTTCTCCCAGTCACCAAAACTGCCACCAGTCTTACCTGCTGCCTGCTGTAGATGTCATAATGCCCTGGGGGTACTGGCACACAAGCAGCTGCAAACACCCTTTTGCTTCCTGACTTGGAACTGTAGAGCTGAGCTACTTCCGGGGTGGGACCTAAAATGGGCACATCCAGCTCATCAGCCACTGCCAGGTCATCTTGGCTTAGAAGCCCTCCGACAATGTAGGCGTCTGTGCCCTGGATCAGCTTCTTGATCCTTTTGATGGTCTTGGGGCTGTACTTCAAGAAGGTAGCCAGGGACATGGGGCGGTTCTGTATGAAGATCACATTAGTCTCGTTAAGAGGTGCTCCTTCGCTTTCTTCCGCGGAGCTAATTTATAATGTTGAGTGCAATAAATACATTATTAATAGCAGGCTGGGTTATGACCTATCCTGTAGCGTAGCAGTTTAAATTGATAAAAGCTGTTGGGGTGAGGCTCCATAATCGCTCACATCTTTAGTGTGTCGGAAATGGGCTCGCTGGGAATAGAACTAATTACTACACATCTGTATTTATTTGATCCACACGGAATTCTCCTTCTGTCACTTGGAAGAGAGGCTTGCGGCCTTTGGATAACGGTGATTCATCTCAACACTTCTGGCACGGGTTGACTCTACTGCGTCAGGGGGGAGAAATCAATACAAAAAAATGAAGAAGACCCAGTCCCACAGCTGGGCAATATTTCACTTTATGAGGAGCAGCATCTTAAACGGTTCTTTCAGAACAAAACACTCTCAAGTTACAAAACACCTCTGCAGATCACATGCTGTTCTGTGGGATAAACACCTTTTCATTAGCCTCACAAAGTCCTTATTGTAATTATAATCCTGGTCAAATACAGAAGGAGGACAACTACTTAGAAACACATTGGAAGATACAAGTCACGGCTGCTTCGCATGTTACAGATTTAGCTGTACACGTAAGAAAATGTGACATGTGAAGGGCACAAATATTGTGCTTGCAAATACAGGAGACTCCCCACTTACGCAGGGGGGTTACATTCTGGGCCCCTGCGCAGAAATGTGTGTTAGAGGGGAGCCCACTGCAATACAGCTTCCCACCCAACAGCTGTTGAGAGGAGTAGTGCAGCAGCACCAAGAGTTCCCGTGTGCCATTTTGGAGTCTTTTTTTTCTGGACTTTGGGTTCTGGGGAGGTTCTCCTCACGAGCCACGAGGACCTCCCAGCTCTCTCCTGCCATTTCATGTTAGTATTGCATTACTTAATTATTTTCCGATGCCATGCGTATACATAGAAGCATGTGAGTCGATCGCTTGCAAGTGTGTGTGTGGGGGTGTGGGGGTGTCTGTATGTGCCACCATATTTATCAAGGAACGGTGCTGAGCTGCAGTTTCCTCTTAATGGTGAGCTGAATTGGCAAGCGCAGATTGTCTCTACATAATGTGAGAAGAGCCCTAAGACTTTACTAGATTTTTAAAACTTTGATCTATGAATCTAGCATATAGGAATCCCGCTGTCCACAGAAGAGACTCATCTCTTCTAAAACTTCCCTTCAGAGCAGGGGTGGGTAACCCGTAGCCCAGATCCACCATGCCAAGACTTTTTTGTTGGCTAAGTTTCCCATAATTTGGAATTAAAAATTTATTTCAAAGTCTGAAGTTGTCCCCCGCTGTGATGCTATCATGTTCCTGATATGGTGCTGTAGGGGCCCTATCAATTCTCCAAAAAAATGGGCACCTTTGCCTCTATTTGCCCTGCAAAGGGGCACCCTTTCTCCTATTGGTGTGTCTTAGCGCTCAGAGAACAAGACGAAACTTTCTTTTTCAGAACCCCTAAGACCTTGCAATAACTCTGCACTTGATAGAGAAGAGGCTCCTTTGCAACATAGAAAGAGCCTTGAATTGATTTGCTGTCACCATCCCCACACATTATAGTGTAAGGGCAGGAGAACAGCCTCCTTCCTCAGGGCTGCCATGGGGCGCAAAAATGCTGGAAAGTCTGCTGTTCACCTGTCTGCATTAAGGTGTGTGCATACATCTCCCTGCCTGCTTTTCCCCACTGGTCTACTAAGCATGTGTGTGTCTGCCTATCTGTATGCTGCCCCTCCCAACTACCAACTGAGTGTGTTTGCCAGCTGCCTGAATGTATGTGATTGTGAGTGTGTCTGCCCGCCTGTCTGCATGTGTGTGTGCATGCAATGGCCATGGCCATGAGGTCTTCCTCAGAGAAGTGACCAGCCCTCAGAGTTTAGAAGGAATGAATGGAAGTTGTGCACAAACTCATCTCCAACTCCTACCCATTTAAACCTTAGAACTGCACTGGGAAGAGCTTAATGTCATAAAGTCTAAACCAGGGGTCATGGGCCACAAGCAGCCCACAGGGTTCATTTAACCAGCCCACGAGCCACTCCTGAACCGTGCAGCCCGCTTGGCAAGTCCCCAAATGCTGCACTAAACCGGCGCAGTGTGGTGCGGGGGCTCACTTCCGCGGCACCGGAAATAGCGTCTGAACATGCGCAGATGCTGGAAATCGTGTCTGCGCAGATGCAGATGCCAGAAATTGTGTCTGCGCAGATGCCGGAAATCGCTGGCACACGCACTCATGTGTGCTCGCGATCCAGCCCACAGAGGGATCTCTGCTCGAGTGAACCGGCCCAGGCAAGGTAAACCTTGCCGCCCCTGGTCTAAACATCCCCCCGTCATGGCCACAGTCATGCATGACATAAGTCTGCTGATCTGAGTGGGTGACTTAGCTGGATACTATAACCTTCTGCGTCATTGTTTTACATTTTTCTTTAGAAAATCAGCCCTCATATCACAACGCATCTTTGAAAGTTTCCAAACTTTCCAAAGTGCTTTTTCCTGTGGCATCAGGGGCTGTTGTCTGAGAAATCCATGCCCAAAGTCCTTTCAGGCATGCAGAACTAGCTGCTAGGTTTTATGGATTCCACCCCCCACCCCCAGCTTCAAAGAAAACTGGGTCTATCTGCTTTTCAAACCTCTTACTTTGTGGGCCTCTGTGCAGCAGATTAACTGCTAATGATGTATTTCCATATATGGAGCTGAAGACTGCTGCCCACCTCCACAATTCTCACCCTTAAGTATGCCCGATTGAAATATGCAATTAAAACTTCAGTACAATGGACTGTGCCTGTATTACAAAGAATCCACGTCCCGCTTGTGCAAGGTATTCAACATTCACCCTTTGTCCTCCAAATATATATACATGTGAACATAGACTTTTGCCTACTTTTATGATGGTGAGAAGCCCACTGGTGTCGGTAACATCCTTAAGGTCACTGTGCACCGAAATGCTTTGCGAGACTGAGGCTGATAAACTGGAGGCTGTTTGGACTGAACTAAGGGAATGACTTAACTGTATGAAAAGCATGGATTGGCTGAACTGAAAGAATATGTTTATAATAGGTCAAAATTTAAGAGCCAACAAATTTTCATGTTGCGATTACTGTTCTCGTATGGTGCGGCATCATAGTTTTATAGTACAAATAATTACCCAGCAGCAGTGATCTTGCAGTGAAAGGGTTTTTTAATATTAAAAACAAACAAACAAAACGGGGAAGGGACAAATGACTGTAGTTGATGATATAGCCAAGATCACCAACTTACAGCTGAGGCTCGGTGAGTTCAAGATGATCCAAGGAGCATCCAAACGCACCCTGCCATAAATGAGCTTTACTGCATTGCAGCATTATCAAAAGGTCTTCGACAATGCAAGGGTACAGTAGTTGGAGGGGCAGAAGAATGGGGTGGGGGTGGCAGTTTCCTTTCAGAGTGAATTCTAGAGAATTAAAACCAACTAGATGGGTTCAAAACAACCAAGATATCCAACACCCCTCAATTAAAGACATTAAACGATCCAAGGGGAAAAAAGAGAGTCTTAAATTGGATTTTGCCACAATAAAAAGCTAGAGAGGAGGGAGGGAGGGGACCCACTGTCTGCGCAGCTGCAGAGAAGGAAGCTCTGAGCAGCAGAAGGCATTCTGAGTACTTTGTTTTCCATTGCATTATAAATCTCTTTAAGTTCAGAGATCTAGATGAGGCCAGGCGTTGGGCAGGGACCAGTGGAGAAGGGCTGAGCTCAGCTCAACTTTCAGCCTGCAAAGCTAAACCAGGATATTTCCAACAGTCTTAACTAGTCACTTAATCTGTGAAGCTCTTAAAACTTGCAATAATATTTCACTGACGGCTACCAGAGCGTTGCAAGTTATAAAATTTCCAATTTAATTTTACGGCATTCCCCCCAGCTGTAGTAATTAGAAGACACAAACTCACAGGGAAGCTGTTTATGGCTTCAGGGGTGAGGATTTTGAACCTGTCCTGCAGGTCACCAATGTCCTTAGGGCTTCCAGATATAACAGCTGGCTGCAGACCCAAAAATGTATTGTAATAGTGCAGCATCTCATCGCTCAGTGGGTAGGGGCAAATGTAGATGACGTCCACATTAGGATCTTAAAGACAAACAAATGAACAGGAGACTCACTGTTAATTATTGGTAGAAAGGTAACTTTGCTTGCCAGTATTACTTTTCATAACCACTTTATTTTACAAATATCTGTATCTTTGCACATGTGTGCACACACACCTCTGCTCCAACCTCTCTTTTTTTCTCTCTCTCTGAAGAAAGTAGAACAAACCAGACAGTTTTCAGAACCAAGTCCACAAAACAGAAAGTGTGGGATTGTTGGCTAGAAGTTCAGAAGTGTTGCAAGGGAGACTTAGCTGAATGACCTGTTTTAATATGGATGGAAATTGTGCATGGCTTTGAAAACATCTGCTATTAAAAACCAAGGTAGATTCAGCTTATAGCTTTGAGAAGGTTGCAGAAGAAGCACTGCCCAGACCAATGGTGGAAGGAACTCACAATCTTGTAACAAGGAAGTCTTGAAGTGTGTTTGGTCAAATGTACAACACAATATGATGTGCAAGACACAGTACTTTAGGGACAGCCACTCACCATATGAACCTACTTAGACCTTGCAGTCATCATCTGAGGCTCTTTTTTGTATGCCCCTTCTGAGGCTAGCAGGTGGCAACACAATAACAGCCTTTTCAGTGGTGGTTCCCTGACAGCGGAATGCTCTCCCCAGGGAGACACACCTGACATTAAAAGGGGATTAGACAAATCAATGGAGGATAAGGCTATCAGTGGCTACTCACTAGGATGGCTATGCTGTCTGCTTCCATTGTCAGAGGTAGTATATCTCTGAATACCAGATGCTGGGAACCACAAGTGGGAGAATGTTTTTGCTGTCAGGTTCTGTTTGCAAGCTTCCCATGGACATCTAGATGGCCTAGAGCAGCATTTCTCAACCTGTGGGTCCCCAAATGTTGTTGGACTACAACTCCCATCATCCCTGAGCTCTGGCCTTGCTAGCTAGGGGTGATGGGAGTTGTAGTTCAACAACATCTGGGGACCCACAGGTCGAGAAAGGCTGGCCTAGAGGGATATTTAGCCTGATCCAGCAGGTCTCTTCTTATGTTCCTGCTGTATTATGTTAAAGCCAAACAGGATTTCACAGTGGAAATGTGTGAATAAATAGTTAGTGTCTGTACACACTTTGACATTGAAAAGGTATCACACTGTTGGGAGAGGGAGGCATATGACCAAAAAACACCTTCCCCAATTTGCCTCCTGAGTTTTCGTGTTCTCTCCACTCACGGAGAACCCAAGAAAATCTTTCCCAGAGGTGAGTCACAAAACACTCCTCCAATCTAGCTACTGTGTGCTAGAAATACTGCCTCCTTTGCCTTGAATTTTTATTTGTTTCCCACTGCTGTCACCACCAGCCTTCAGTTCATGGCTTAGAACAGTGTTCATGGCCTTCCCTTCTCTCTGCTCTCATAGGTCTCTAAATCCCTGCCTGTGACCTTTACTCCCCCAGCTCCAGCTTCCACCTGTACCCTGGAATGGCCCCACCCTTCCTCCTCTGCTGCCATGGATATTGGGAAATGCTTCCTAATATGCCTTGGTGATGTTACTTCTCACTTCCTTTAGATCCTCCTCAAAATGTTTTCTGTGAAGCTTTTGGCAAAATCTAAGGGTCTCTTACTGTAGCGTAAGTCCCAAGGGCATATAACTGAAATAATCACATTCCCTTCCCCCCAATTACTCCAGTCTCCATTTCACATCCTGATATTTCCTGCATGCTGTGGACTGCTGTGTTGCTGATTTGAAGCTATCCTTTGCCCAGGTGCAGATCCATTTTGTAGGGACAGCCCAAATACACATGTAACCCAAGTGGGAATTCGAGAAAGTAGTCTTTTAATATCTCCCAGGCAGCTCCTTGGGGAAAGGTGGGAGACAGATGCAATAAACTAAGAGGGGGAAGGAGGTTTTTAATAGAAGGAGCCGCAAGCCTTCCAAGTGGTAGTGTGACATGGTGCCTGCAACTTTCCCATTCATTCAGAAGTAACAAATCTTTCCTAAAATAAACACTACCACATAAAAGAACCGCACTGAGGACAAAACAACATTAGTGCCTTCATAATATATAAAGGCAATTAAGTGATTATTTTAGACTCCTGTAAATTTTCAGAACTAATACATTTTTGTGCAAAATTCACTAAATGGCATTTATGAAATAATAATGATGCTGAAATATAAATGAATCATGTAAAGTATGTCATTCTGGGGAGCCAGAAAACTTGCCCATTGACAAATTAATATTCTTTGTTCCTTTGCTTAAGGAAGGGCTGCCACACAGGGGACCCTCCCCAGTTTAGTTCATGTCCCTTGTTGTCTCCTGTTCACTTATATTTCCTTTTGAATACTTTAAATAAGGGATCACCTCCTTGCAACCCTTCAAAGGAAAACCTTGTTGTGAAATTATTTATAGCTCCAATTCCACATAATGCTGAGCACCCACATTTGACTTTTTTGGAAAATGTACTTATTAAAACATTTCTACCCCACCCTTCTGGTGCACAACCACCGCTGAGAACATTTAAAAATTACAATTTTATAAAACAATAAAAAAGCAACAGGATCAGCAGTTAAAACTAAGACATACAAATAATTATCAGCCACATACAACAAAAGTCTGCCAGAATAAAAAGGTCTTGAATGACTAGCAAAAAAAAGAAAGGAATGGAGCTAACCACACTTTATGAGTTTCATAGTCTGGGCATAGTCAATAACCCTAGAAGGGACACTCCTTCTTATCTTAGGGAACATGCATGCTGATGATGATGATGATAATAATAATAATAATAATAATAATAATAATAATAATAATACTTTATTATTTATATCCTGCCCATCTGGCTGGGCTTCCCCAGCCACTCTGGGCGGCTTCCAACAAAATATTAAAATACAGTAATCCATCAAACATTAAAAGCTTCCCTAAACAGGGCTGCCTTCAGATGTCTTCTAAAAGTCTGGTAGTTGTTGTTCTCCTTGACATCTGGTGGGAGGGCGTTCCACGGGGTGGGTGCCACTACCGAGAAGGTCCTCTGCCTGGTTCCCTGTAACTTGGCTTCTCACAGAGAGGGAACCACCAGAAGGCCCTCGGCTCTGGAACTCAGTGTCCGGGTAGAAAGATGGGGGTTGAGATGCTCCTTCATGTATGCTGGACCGAGGCTGTTTAGGGCTTTAAAGGTCAGCACCAACACTTTGAATTGTGCTCGGAAACATACTGGGAGCCAATGTAGGTCTTTCAAGACCGGTGTTATGTGGTCTTGGTGGCCACTCCCATGGAAGCAGGGTAATATGCCAAAGGGTAATGCTTTGAATTGTGTCTGGAAGCAAATTGCAGGATTGGTGTAATGTGATCCCATGGCTAGGTGGCGGCTTTCAGGACCAACTTAAGCACCTAAAGATTCCTCAGACGCTGTTCTATTTACATAGTAGTAATCCAACCCAGACACAGCAAAGGCACAAGTTGCCAATCTTTTTCAGACCAGGGGGCATATTTTGGATCTTGAGAGTGCTAACGGCATCAGTCACAAAACAGCTGCCATGGGGCATGGTATATAACACAACATTGGGGGGATGATACAATACAAAATTAGATGGAGTACAGCCATTGCTGCTCCCTGCCCCTCCAGTGGCAACCTTGTGTTTACTATGGGAAGTAAGCCACGGTCTCTGGTCCTGATTGTGGAAATATACCTGTTAAAGGCACAAAAGAACTGTTCCCCTCAGTTCCAATCTTAGCCTAAGCTGCTATTCTGCACCCGCTTAGCAGGGAGCAAGTGTCATTAAATGCAAACACTTTTGAAATTGTGACGTATACCACTGTACTGCATGTTAACTTTCCAGTGAATTCTTAATGAGTGCCTGAACATCAACTCCTGCCCAAGAGGAGACATACCTAAGCCTCTTTGAAAAGTTTTCACATTTTGCATTTGCCATTTCGGGAGGGGATTATTTAACATCCACCTGCACTTATTGTGCAATAGTATTTGCAGAAAACAACTTCTAGGGAGTACCTCATCTCAGACAAACCCACAACAGGAAAGATGTGTCCTGGTTGCTGGGGGGAAAGGAACGGCAAATGGTGGGGATTCCAAAAGCTGCTAGAAAATAAGACTGAAGGAGCGAAAGTGCAGTAAAGGGGAGGGTGGAAGTGCTTTTTTAGAACCCCAGGGATTCCTATTGCTGCGTACCCAAACAAATCACTTATCAATCACAGGTCTGACTTCATTCAGTTCTGACAGGTAGGAACAGCCAGGCTGGCTCATTTCACAGAAATCACATGGAAGGGTACCAGCACATTTTGCTTCATAGCCTTATTTCTAGGAGGACTAGATACTTTTTATAAAATAACACAAAAGCTCAAATTTGGGAGTCCTTTCCTCAGGGCACCAATGCAGGCCTTTGTGAGTGCCATGCCCATTCCTGCCATAAGCCAAAGGCCAAGGTGCCAAATAGTATTGCCTCAACACCCCTGTCTGGAATCAGCTTTCAAGGAAGAACCAAAACCATCGTAAAATGGTTACTCTTAAATCTATTCCCATAATGGTGACTTTAGAGTTGGAATTGTATCCCATAAACTGCTTTGGGATCCTTGATGGGAAGTGGCCCATAAGTGACTATAATGAATAATATGTCTTTGGTGGCAACAAATGGTTGCTTGCATTGGCTTGAAAACACGTATTCAACTGAAATGCGTCTTTTTTCTTTTGGGAAACATGAAGGATGTATGACAAGTAGGAGCATGTCTGTACCTCGTATTTCACAGAGTCTTCCAAACTGTGTCCCCTGATAAATAGTGAAATCAGGAGTCGCCTCTCGAACAGAATGTGCATACCCTGAAAGAAGCCACAACAACACATTATCTGCAAATTGCACTTGCAATGATCTCCACACATGGGGCTGTATCCAATGCTAGTCATACTCAGAGTAGATCCATTGAAATTAATGTATAAATTCATACATTAGTGGACAACTTGGGTCCACTAATTTCAACTGGCCTACTCTGTATAAAACTTAGTTGGCTACAGCCCCAAATTTAAACCTAGGATTGTACACTTGGGTGGCTGTGTTCTTTGTCTCACCTAGGAAATTTTGATGTCAAGGTTTCGTAGCAGCTTCACTGCTTAGAACAAAGCCTGTCCACATATGAAGTTGATATTTGGTATAAAAGTTGTCCAACTATGTACTGCAATCATCAGAAAAGTCTTCAAATAAGACATTTTTTGCCTAAAAAGACCTCAAACCACCATGATGAAGCTACACAATCCAGATAATAAATAAGAAAGTATGGAAAACATTACTGTGCACACTCAAAATCACAAACTTGCACTGGGCTTTGAATCCAACTGAAATGTGATAAAACTGTGTCTTGGATTCCTTCTGAATATGGCAGTCAAAATTCTTTCCTGTGAATTACAGCAAATTATACTTCCATTAAACAGAGCAGGAGCCTGGTTTCCCTCCCCCTTTAGTGGAAACCTAATCTACAGCCTTTTAAAGAATCTCTAAGTGCCTAAAATATCCACATCTCTCTGCAATACTGTTCAGAAGCAGGAGAAATGAGGCATCCCCAGGTTCAAACATAGCATTCCTAATTTAAGATTTTTAATTGTCTTGTTTACTATCACTTCTCCAAAAGCAAGCCATGAACTAAGGTTTTGCGTAACAGAAGACAATAAACAACACTAGATTATTTGCATTATTTTTGGATAATACCACACACAAATAGAACCATGTTAAAAGGAGACTGTGACGTTAAATCTACATAAAATTCATTCAGCAGACCAAAGTGCATCCATATGTATTTTTATTTTAAAAATGTAAAAGATAAATAACTCATTAAAAGCAAGGCTCTTTTTTGATAGAGCAACTTGAGACATTTTCCTTTATAAGTTGTTTTTTCTTTTTTGCAGTTTTGCACACACACTCTCTCATTAAATGCATATTTAGTTTATAATAGCTGTGGCATCTGGAACACTTTTCATTCATTCCACTAAGGACTTCTGCTACCCGCTTTTAAAGTAAAACTTGTGTGGGGTTACCCAGAACACACTGCTTAGGGGATGGCAAACCTTTTCTTTGTTATAGGACTGAAAATGAGTACATAGGATGCATCAACTGTTAGTATGTCCAATTTACAACTTTAAACTTAGCTAATTCAATGTTAGCCTGCCTAAAAACTGTCCTAATGTAAACAAACAAAAAAGATCAATTGGCAAAAGAAAGAGCTGTCATGAAATCAATAGCAAGTGCTGCTTAACAAACACAGGCTTGATGTGGGTTCTTGAATGGTTTGCTAACAAGATTAAAGCAATGCCTTTTCCATATGACTAATGTACCAAGAATCTTCAGAAACAGGGCCAAAATTCCTGGAAAAAAATGCTACAACATGGAAAAATTGTCCTCAATGCTCTACATTTTGGAAAAGCAGCAGTAGTAGACATTCTAGACACACATCTTTGTGTTTGTCTGTGTTGGGTGGGTGAAAAGTCAAAACTTGAGCACTGAAAAAAATCATTATACAAGCATATATATGAATGCTATGTGGCACAGCTTCATGCTTCCAACAGTAAACAGAGCTTTTGGAAAGTTTACATGCAGAATATGAAAACAAAAGCTTTTCTCTGTCGTTCATATATAACATCAGGTAAAGACTATGTAAAGGTGTATGACATATGCTACAACTGAAGTTCTATTTAGTTATCATTTGTGTTAACAGAAGAAGCTATCAGAAAGTAACCTTAAGCAACCAATCTCCTTAACTGGATTAGTATCCTCCATATCATAACCCACAATACTGTGTTCCTAAACATATTTCTTGGGGTGTGGGAGTCTGGCTGGGGAAATGGAAGCGTATACCGAAATAAGGGCACTTAAGTTAGCAATCTGAGTTATCATCTCAGATGGCCTGGACGATCTGAAGGAATAACCAAAGGTGCAACAAGATGGTAGCAGAGCAAGGAGAAAGTTTAGCAAATCCTTTCCAGATGCTCACGTGAGCAAACCAAACTATGAGCCACAATGGAAGGTGAAAGGTAGCCCAGCAGTTTCCCCTAAGGGGAAGTTCCTTCTGTTCCCCAACATGATGATTAATTATTAGATCCTGAGTGAAAAAGCAAAATCTGCCAAAGCTTGACAAGAAAAACAGAAATCTGCTTTGAGACTAACACTCCGAGCTGGTCTGAATAAGCTATCAGGGTGCATGTCCTTAATAATAGTGCCATGTACACTGTTTGTGACATTATCCTGGTGTCACGACCAGGAATCCCTAAACCAGGAGATATGAGGTACAGCCTGACCTTCCCACAGCAGACACCTACCTGATTCTAATAGTGAGAAGCCTCTGGTACCTTAAAGGAAGCATTGGTGGATGGGTGGCAAATCTTAGCACAGCCTTCATAGGCCTGGTGCCCTCCATTTTATTTGAACAACAACTCCCATTAATCCCAGTTGCAGTCTAAAATATATGGAGGGCATCAGGCAGGCAAAGGCTGCCTTAGCACAAAAACATAGAAGTGTAGAATCACAGAGTTGGGAGAGGTCACAGGGGTCATCTAGTCCAACCCCTGAAATGCAGGAATCTTTTGCCCAACCTGGCACTTGAACCCACGACCCTGGAATTAAAAGCCTCATGCTCTACCGACTGAGCAGCCCCATGTTATGAGCATATAGTAGAGATAGCAATATTGCTGCAATGTGCACGAAGACTACACATTTCCGAAGGAGAATTATGAGCGGAAATTGAGCAGTAAATCTTCAGAAGCTCTCTGTGGAGCTCATGAATATTACTAGAGGGTCCAAATCTCCTGTCCATTCCCCACTTTTTTACTTGCTTATGGGGAGGATGGGCACACTGAAAAGCACAGCACCACTGGTGAGAATCCAGCCGCCTGCCATCTTAACTACCACAGAGGTAAAAAAATTCTATACAACAGGAAACTGTGATCTGCTCAAGGATGCTGGTGGACTTGGGTCTAAAAGGCAGATCTTCTCCAGGTAGCCACATTCAGCCCACGAGTAGATACTAGGTTTTATTCTGGAAATCCACTGGTCTCACAGTAAGATCACTTCTAGGAACTGTCAAGCAGGGCTCCTTGTACTGAGGAACTGCCTTTGTGACGCTCACTGCTCTGCACACGTGTAGGAAAACTGAGCAGTAGTCAGAAACAAAAACTCCCATTCAACAGCTAAAGGAGGTTTAAGATGGGTTAGTGGGGTTAAGGGGAGAAGGGAATGCTTCCATAATCATACATTATATGCAGCTTCACCAGAGCTGTGCTGCGGAGCAGAACTGTTTATTTTATTAGGATGTAACACCACAATAGCCCAGCATTTGACTTGGCGAGAACCCCTTTCTGCACCATCATAACCCATAAATCATGGCCGGAACGCCTTATTGCAATTTCAAAAGTAGTATTAATTTTTTTAATTCACATGTTAATTTAGGAAACAGGATGGAATGTTTTTTATTGAAGACCTGCATCCCACTACGGCATTTGCCTAATGTGTTCATAGAACAGTCCTCTGTGTAATCGGGAGATTTCCTAGAGGTTACGACAGATAATGGAAGGGAACTGGACAAGACAGTAGATTAAGCACAGTCGTAGATTTAAATATTAAATATTATGCAGTGCAGGGAGGGGATCTGTCATTCATTTGAAAATAAAACGTCCAAGTGGAAGAATTATTCTAAAAACACAAAAATTCTCTCACAATGAATGCAACCTATGTTATTGCCCTTCAGTATTACTGCAAATGAAATGGGCCACTAAGATGACATTTCAAAGGAAAAAAATCATTTGTTATTAGCTAAATTCTTAAATATTGTTATTAATACTAGACTTTTAATGCTTGATAATTCAAATTATTTTTGAAACGGATTACTACATTTCCCCCCTTTGACCTATCCTTTGCTTGTTAAATATTATGGTCAATAAATGAATAAATTGTTGTTGATGGAGTGATTTCATTTTCCCAAAATTGCACTGAAAATTTACAAGGCATTTTGACTGTATTGCCATCAAGATAAGCTGAATATGAACAGAGAAAAATGAACCACATACCCAACTAATCAAAATGTCATTTCGTTTTTCCAATTCCAAAGGTTTACATAAGTCAAAAACTATATGCACACCATTTTTAATACCAGCTGTTTTTAAAGAGAAAGCATCATTATAGCAGGCTGGTTACAGAAAATGCATTGTCTCCCCATCCTGCACTCTCAACAAGTGTCTCTTAAACACAGGCAAACTATTAATGTTAGAATGATGGCTGTTCCTCAACAATACTGTTCCTTGATGCTCAAGAATCAAAGCATAACATTCACAAGATACACCGTGATCAAGGAAGGGCACATGGTGTGCTTTGATTTTTTGCACTTTCATTTCTAGTCTTAAAGTGACTGACTCTTTCAGAGACAAAGTTGCCAGTAACAAGGCTTGCACACAAAAGCAGCAAAGGAACAAATATATTTGCTTTAGCTTTATCTACAAATATTGTGAAATGCAAGTTTAGCCTGCTGCCCAAGGTGAAACATTAGCAAACACCAGCATAACATTCCAGAAACACCAGTTTAATGGCATGTTTTGTGCTATGTGGTGATTCTTTTTGTGTACTGTGGTGATTCTTTTTCTCAAGCATTTGCTGCTACAGAGAAACTGACGAACTGGGAAGAATGCCTCACTCATCTGAATTTATGTCCAGTACATATAGTTATGATTGCCAATCTAAGGACGTGGCTACTTGCCATATGGACAAAAATGAAGTTTGGTTTCTTTATACTAACACAAACTTGTGAGTGGAGAGGAGTGGTCCGATACTGTGGTTAAAAACAACACAAAAAACAGTTAAGTAGACTTCTCCTGCTTTGATATAAACATTTATGGTGAGGCTGTACTAAAAGCTGAAAAATATTATTTAAAAATAAAGAGAGAGAGAGAGAGAGAGAGAGAGAGAGAGAAGAAGAACTAAAAGTGTTACATCAGTTTGTGGATTCTTTTTTTTTATGTCCTAAAAATTCACCAGCATTTTAGTGCAAAGTTATCTTGATATATAGATTATTGTATGCAATTTCACCTAATACACACATTTTGGGAAGTGATTTCTCCTAACATGCATTTACCTAATATATGCATTTTTGTACATATTACTTGATTGCATTACAAAATTTGGGTATATTAAAATATGGAAGGATGACGGTGTTTCAGTTTACATATTGTTTCAGGAAGTGCAATTTAGCTAGATACATCTTCAAATGCAAACTGAATGAAGTATCTCTCTCAGCCTGCAAGTGAGCCCCATTGAACTCAGTGGGATACTTCCATAGAATTTGTCTGGTTCCTGGATGCCAGAAAGTGCCTTCCATAGATCAGACAAAGTGTCAGTTTTGAAACTGAAATGGTCTTTTTAAAGTGCAAATATTCTAAAGACGCTAATTGCTACCCCTTTAGTTATAGCACCAACATTTTATTTTTCTGTCAAATGATCTCAAAAAGGAGAAACAAATTATTTCTTTAAAAAACATCTTCAAGACATTTGCATAATCTCCAATGACATTTGTATATTTTGCTAGAGGTAACAGAAAGCAAAAGGTTATATAGAATATTAATGGGGCTCACTTGCAGAAAAATCTTCATCTATTTTTATTATATCAAAAGAATTAGAAAGGACTTCTAAAAGCACTAAGCATGTGGTAATATTGCTGACGTCTGATTCCAAAGATCTAAAAATGTTTGTTTGCCAGCCATAAAAATTATTGCCCAACTCCTCTTTGCATTTTAGGTCAAGAGCAGTAGAAAGTACAAAATAAAATGATAAGGTACTATGATAGAAATGGAAGATAGGCTGCATATTCCAAACCACTGTGACACTTTACATGTGGTTTTGAAGAGGAATGACTGAATAAGACTAACGGATTGCAAACAATTGTTGGGACATTCACAGCTATGAAATTGCCCCTTCATTCTGTTCATTTTGTGCCAGCCAAGTCACCCCAGAGATTCACCCCCTCTTCAAGCTGAAACCATAAGCAAGAGCAAAGATGCATATATTGAAGAGAAGCATTTAATACTTCTTACATAGTTTTCACTCCTTTGGATTAAGCCAACTACATTTCCTGAATTTAAGTGGATTTTAAAATCTGCGACCACGGCTTCTATTTTCACCAATTTCCTAGAGAGAATATTTCTACCCTTTTGAAAAAACACTCAGGCTACCCCATCACTTTCCAGGAAAGACTTTTTAAAGCCCCCCAATTCATAAATGTAATTAAATAATTACATTAGCGCTAATTAACATGAAACTGCAGATTATTTAAGTACGGGGGGAAAACCCCACTATTCAACTTCTTAATTATTCTTGTGCACATAGCATCTCCTTTTGCTCAGGCGCCCAAGGTGCAAATAAAGCATCCCATCTGCTCGTAATTAGAACTAAATAATTTCAGAGAATGCAGCTTATCATTTTGACTGCACATTTGATTAAAAACAGGGCGCGAGCAAGATCCCAGTTTATTGGTGTAATAGCAACGAAGCAGGCAAGCCCATGTCCCCCCTGTCATTAACGGATACTGGAAACATTATCTGCTATATTGAGGGGAGGGGAGGGGGGAGAGAAGGGAGGGGAAAATACAACTTTTTAGTTCATTTCATACAGATGAAAGCGAATTACAGCAAATCACCTCTCCACTGAATAGCGGCCTCTACATAATGACTTTATTTGCTTAATCCCCAAATTAAACGCCGTTTCAAGCGAAGGCCCTGTGTTATTACTCTCATCATGTCGACAACATTTTCCTGCCGAGACCAATTTGAATAAAACAAGGGCCTTCCTTGAACTCAATCAAGGAGTCATAATGTGGTGGGTAATAGAGGTTGCTGATAGATCCAGAGACAAAAGCGTTATACCTAATGATGGGATATGGATAATGGTCCTCCTAGAGGTCCTGATGCGATTCCAGTTGGCGGCCAGATGCTAAAAATCAAGAGAAGGCATTGATCAGTGACAGGGGGAAGCTGTGGCGGATACAATCCAGTCAAACTTCAGCTGTTTCCCTCCCCCCTTCCCTTTTCCCACTGTACAGTTAAGCCAGGCATAAATTATATTAATTGATTTAATCACATACTTAAAACATCTTCCCCAATTAATTTAATTAGATGGCTACATGAAGCTACTGGCAGGGGAAGATTAGAGGCTGATCACTTAATTAACAGAATATGAATGAAAAAAAAGAAAGCAAACATAAATGAAATGGTGAGCACTAATTAAAAGCCTGTCTGCAAACTTAAGTACTTTCTGACAAAGTAGGGACTGCTACAGAAGCAAGTGAGAATTCTCTCCGCCCTCCACCCCACCCCCCCAAATCAAGTGCACAGCACAGGTGTAAGGGGAGAGGAAAGGTCGGGCAGAGAGAAAACATAGATGAAGGGAGAAACGAGTGGAACTAGACTGGAAGACAGATGTGTGCTTTGCTACCCAAAATGGCAGCACTGAATCAAGTACACCCTACACTCCCCAGTACCATGTCTAAATGGAAGCACAGGGTGGTATCCAACAAAATGCTTTTGCTACTTTTGGCCATCCAAGGGAATTTCCTGTCCAACTCCTCTCTCTAAGTGGCCTCTCAGTCTGCCCTAGAGTGACCCAACTCTCCAGACTTGGGGAGGGCGTTGAGGAGAGAGATGGGGCAAGTTTTGTTGCACTAACAGAAGCATTTCACCGAACACTGCCCATGTTAGGCTCATTCCAAATTTATTAATATTTTTATTATTAAAGTTATTTGTCTCAGGAATAGGGTGGGTCCTGAAACACACATCTTGGGTGTCAATGGCCAGGGTAAAGAGGTGTGATTCAGCATATGACAAAAGCCTGGATGTTGAAAAGTTTTTCAGATTGTGCAAGTTAAGAGAGATGATTGAGTATTTCACTGTATTTTTATATGCATCTCTTCATTTTTAGCTGTTTATTATTGTACTTTTTTACCCCACTTAAAGATTTTTTTATGTTAAGAAGAATATGAACAGTATACATAAATACATAGAATTGTGGGGAGGGGAAACGTAATAGGGTTGCCATTTTCAGCCACAATACCACATTCATTGTGATGTCTAATTTCAGCCTCTGTCAATCCATTTAGAAAAACTAGATAGTTTTCTAACAAGAGTGACCCAAGTAGAAAAAGAGGAATTGCCCCCCTAGTATGTAGAGGGGAGGAAACAGGCAGCAGTTCTGGGTGGAAACCCCCCCCCCCCGCTCCTTTTTGTGAGAAGAGGGGGTTGAGGAGAGAACTTATGCACAGAAGACTGAACATCTAATGAAGGATGAAATGTGCTTGGACATGTGTACAGTTAAATGAAAAAATAGTAGCATTTTAACGCAACCACTCAAGCAAGTGATGTTTAGAGAAGGAGCACTGCCAGAACAGCTGGCAGCCTTGCGCACCTTGGCCCTGATGTAGAAATTCTCCAGGTGTCTCTGTCGCGATTCCTTCAGGGTATTTCTGACACGCCCCCGGTGAACATGCACAAGCCAAGAGATGGCAATCACTCCCGAGGCCCACTGCTGCTGCCTGAAGGTGATGTAGGCTTTTCTGAATTTGTAACACCTCCATAATGCCTGTATCTTGGTAGCTGCTACTGCAGTGCCATTCTGGCCTTTGTATCTCTGGCCAGGTTTACTTAAGAGCTTTTTGACTGCCGAAATGTTCTTTATCACAGAGAGAATTTCCTCCCTAGTTGGCCTCTGGTTCAGCTCAAAATCTGGAATGATCTCCATCACTCTCTTCCCCTTGACGATGGCGGAGGGAACAGCATAGTCCTTCAAAAAGTTAGAGACGTGCTCCAAGAAGGAAAGGACACTTCCCCAGAATAAGCAGCAGTGATTTTTAAACTCTTGGAGATCAAGAGCCGTGTAGTCTATGGCTCCCTTGCGAACTGGTATCTCAAACTCTAAAGAGAGATTCTGGAAGGTCGGAGATGATGTTATTTCTGCGGTCTATGGAAAGAGTGAAAGACATAAGGGGAGTAAGACAAGCAGTGGAGACATGCTGTCCCATTAAATACCTACAATGAGATCCTAAGGATCCAAATCCTGGAATATTATGACTACCAATGCAACATGCATCTAACCTAGCTACAATATCACAAGCTCTGGTAGCACAAGCTCTGCAGTTTTATTTAGGGTACCGCAATGTGCTCTATGTGGGGCTTCCCTTGAAGATGGTCCAGAAGCTGCAGCTGTGTGCAGTGTGAGATAATGTGTTACTGATCCTTCAAGCTCTGCATTGGCTCCTGCTGTGAAATTTCCTCCCACTGGAGATACAGATACCCTTCACCTTATCTGTTTTTAGACCACACTAGATGTATTTATTCCTATGGAAATGAGTGATTTAAGGGCTTATTACTTTTGGTGTTATTGCTTTTTATGCAATACTGTCACGCTGAATTTTGTGTACCACCCTAGAAACCTTTGGGTCCAAGGGCGGATTATAAATACTGCTAACAACAACAATACTAATAATGCTGCCAATGCAAGGATGGTCTTGATCAATCACAAACGAGAAATAAAATACCTTATGGGTCAACTGAAGAAGAGTAATGTTTATCTAAATGTGCACTGAGAAAGCTACTAGGGAAGAGGCTGGGGGCTAACATGACCAACCATGATGTAATAGCTATTTTTTCTTTGTTTGTGTGTCAGGAGGACTCTCATGGGGTCGGCGCAGCTAGAACTAGGAACATGCAGCTCTCTGTGCAGCTGTTCCATGATCTAGCAAATGTGTGGCTTGGAACACCTTCCTAGCAGTGAAGTACCTTCAGACTCTGGACTGGCTGCTAAGTCCTCCTTGACAGGAACAGCTATAAAAAGGATTCCTCTTAGGTGTAAGATCTTGCCTGAGCAACAAGGTCTTCCTGACACTTGTGTGTCTCTGACCCGGACTCTGACTACCGAGTTCCAGTTTTGGTTCACTTCAGACAACTGGACATAGCTCAGTCCTGACAATATGTCCCAATCTACATTTGGAGTCTGTGAGGGATTCCCTGTTCACTTCAATGGAGAGGACAGCTCCATCCCCAGGAAAGCTAATCTGCATACGGAGTCCTGAATGCTATATCAGCCTTTCCAAATCTGGTGCGTACCATACGTATATTTTGGATCAGAACTCCCATCAGCGCACTGGCTGGACTTGAAGGGTGTTGGGAGTCCAACAACCTTTGGAGGGCACCAGGTTGTAGAAAGCCATATTAAAATCGCTTCACTTGAAACTGGGGTTATGTAGCTGGGTGCTATGAATCAAATGGATACCCAACATTTACAGGATGGAAATCATTCTGTCATACCTTTAGCACCATGGAAGACGACTTGGACAATGCCCGCTTCTGAATTGCCTGAATTAGGGGCAACTTTGATTTCTTGGGTGAAATAACAGAGATGCAGGATGGGGGTGGAGCAATGTTGCCCTTGCTTCCTCCTCTTCCCTTGCTTAAGGTGGAGGTGGGCCCGGACTTTGGATAAGGAGGAGGAGCCAGGACTTCTCCTTTGTTGCTCTCCACACCTCCATCTACAGAAGGGATGAATGTTTTGAACAGCTTTTATTAAACGTAAATATTAGGTCACTAAACATCAGGTATCAAATCTAAATAAATAAATAAATAACCTTGATGAATGGTGAAATACACAGGGAATTAAGACTAGATCTGTTTTGTTATTCCCAACATTTCCAACGAAATCTACAACTATAAGCATCCACTGTATTAAACTACAGGTTGCAATTTGGACTCTTCCAGGCTGTAGCTATTTTCTGGGGAGATTCAGTCACATACAGACAAATTCAAGTTGATTTTCACACATGGTGAGACATTCAAATTAGACTTCTTATGAAGATGAAAGTGCAAGAAACAACCTCCCTGCAAACAAATCAGGATGAATGCTCAACAAACAGGTCAGCTGGAGGCAACCACAGACACAAAAAACATGGCACTGGAAATGCATTTTCAGGTACAAAGCGGACAGAGGCAGAATGGAACTTTTTTGGGTCCAGACTCCTATTCTTAGCAGAAGAGGAGCTGCTGTTACAGTTTAATTTGCCGAAGAGTACCATGTGATGCCAGGAGGCTGGGCTTTGGCAGAGTGGGATGGCTTGTAGCCTGGGTGCTGAAAAGGCAGGCTGGCAATGGTAAAACCATTGGTCAGCTCAAGCAAGCTTGACAAAATGAAGTCTATTTATTTAGAGCATTTGTACACTGCTCATCACCCAAAAGTGGCTTACATGAAATCAAAACAAGACATTCCCTACCCACAGATTTATGTTCAAACAAACGATAATACAACAGATAAGGGGAAAGGGACAAGGAGGAAAGAAGAAAATAAAACTCAAAACTCAGGCACCAATTTCTAGACAGTTGTTCCTATATTGACCAACTCGTAAAGTTCAGAGGCAGGAGGTGCCTGATGGAGCTGGGCCTCTAGCAAAGCAGACAGAATGAGCCCTGCTTCCCATCTCTCCCTCTGAGGCAGCCTGATGAAATGTTTGCCCTCAGATGACAGTTGAGGCGAGAGGAGGCCTGATGGAGCTGGCCTGTCAAAGCAGAGCTGATGGGGTAAGCTTTGCTACTCAGCTCTCCCAGTGCTGGAATGGCTGCCCTCAGATGAGAATAGGGGAGTAACTGTTCTGGCAAGTTACCAGAAAGGAAGGAAGAAAAATCACCCTCAGACTCTACTGGGTTTGTCTGCTGCTGTGACCACTAGTCCTTAGAAACACCAACGTCATTGCCAAAATATGGAACACTGACCAGACAATGGAGAAAGTTTCTCCTTTACAGTATCAGCAGCATCTCTTTGTGCCTACCTGCAGCTGGTTTCTTGTGCTTTTCATGAGATTCATGAAGAGGAGCAGCCTGAGGAAGAATGGGAGGCTTCGCTAGAGTAATCCTAGCTGCACGTGGAATCAGGCCTCTTTCAATAAGATTCAGGATCCCTAGATAAAAACCAGGGAGACTCAACAAGTTCTTTCAGAAGCAGCTTGGTCTGGGAAGTGTAAACTCCTCAGTCCTAAAGCCAGCCCACCAATATCATAGGACTGTAGAGTTTGAAGGGACCCCGAGGGCCATCTAGTCCAATCCCCTGTTAACACAGGAATCTCAACCCGTGGTTCCCCATCCAATCTGAAACCATACTGGACCCTGCTTAGCTTTGCAAAATGTACCAGCAGTTTTATTGCTGCACCGCTACCAAGCAACATTTTTAAGACTAACATTTGCCTTTGGTAAAGGTGAAAAGGAGGGAGAGATGGAAGAATGCTGGGAGGAAGGAAGGAATTCCCTCTTGCTTCCATCTCTCTCAAACTTCTGAGACAGGAAGTGGTTCACAAAGGAGATCAAGGTGGAAGAGGAAGAAGAATGTATAAATGAGAGTATTCTTTTTCCTTTTCACTATGAACTCCAGTTGGAATATGACTGAGGTGGGAGGGGAGCAGTCTGGTGCCCCCTGGGCAGAAGGTAAGGAGCAGCCCAACAGCAGATAGCTCCTGAACCAATGATGGACAGAGTCAACTACAATATTCCAGTTTCCCTCCCATCCCTGCTTAGTTTTTCACTAAGAAGGAAGCTGACAGCTAGGGACAACCCCAGGACTGGTTGTAAATAAGACCATAGGCAGTTTGGGGCTGGCTGAGAGTAGACTGAGGCTGGTGGGGCAGCACCACATTTGCCCTCACAGACTAGCCTCCACTGGAAGGGGGAGGGAGGCAGAGATGCCCATGACAGAAGGATGGAATCTTCACTTCTGATTTGTCCTTACACTCTTTCCCCTTTCACACACCATGCAAAGAAGAGGTGAGAGAAGGGAAAAACAGTGAGTGAATTTCCTGCCAGGTGCTGCCCATTCATCCCTATTTAAAACAGCTCACCAGTCAAACTGGCTGCCAACCAGTGGTCTAGGTGAAGTTATATATGCCCAGCATAACATACATGCCAGGACAAGTATAGCAAAATAAACCCCAGAGGATTGGGCACGCAGCTATGACTGACCTTTCTCCGCATCTGTTTTGGAAACTGGAAAGGAAACCTTCTTCAAATGGAAGGAAGGTGGAGCTACTGAGAGGCTGGGGACTGTAACACCTTTTGCTATCTTCTGAGTTGGTGCCTAAGGAGAGATGAGAGGAAACCTATTCCTTCATCAGCTGCAAACTTTTTTGATATTAAGGAGTTCTTCACGCACGCGTGGCTAAATAATAAATACCATTTCCGCTATGAATAGTTTCATTAAGGTTTAATAATAAAAAACAGTATGAGCTCAGATTTTACTGCTTAGGAACATGCCACACGATTGTTGACTGTCAGCGGTTGAAGCAATTTAAAGGAGAGTTAATTAAAATCTAATCAATGTCTTGTGATGTCCGCTATGCTATAAATAATAAAATAAATTTATGAAAACAAAAACACCCACAGGCTTTTACCCACAGACGTCTGGAGGGCCACAGGTTAACCTCCCTTGGTTTACATAGTGTCATTGCTGAAACCTAGCTAATTCTTTGTAAAAGCCTGTGGGTGTTTTTGTCAATGTGCCAGGGATGATGGGAACTGTAGTCCAGCATCATATGGAGGTGGCCACAGGTTAACCACCCCTGCTGAAAATGTAAAACTGGTTATTCTGAAACTGCCATCATATTAAGGCCATTTAAAATTGTTCCCTGTGGTAGTTCATAAAGTGGTTTAGGCAAATCTCATCCTTCCACCACAAACACTCCATTTTGGGATATTTCTGGTGGCCTGGTGAAACTCACTCAGTTCCCTGATATATAGTATACAGTGGGCCCGCAACTCATTCATAATCTACTTAAACAATCATGATTCAAGGTGAATAGCCAAAAATTAATTAAACAAACAGGAAACCCACCACAGAAATAGCTTTTTAAGCCCTCTGCCTGGTTACTGGTCTCTGGGAGGATCACGCAAGGGCCCTGGAACACTCCTAGAAGCCCACTCTGGACAGGTAGGGATGGTTGCATGGGATTGATGGTTCTGGGCATTCCTGGCTTTATGTTATTTTGCCTTTGCACGTGGACCCCTAGGACAGAACCCTTACATAAGTGATGGGCCCAGTGTACATGAATGGCTCTTCATCATATCTAACATCTGCAACACGGAGCAGTTTTAAGTCTGGTGCTTATTCACTACTTTATGTCAAATAAGTGAGCGGCAAAATCTGAGCTTGGGCTGTCAATTTACACCTCTGTTTCAGCACAAAACAGGAGGTGGGGAATACAGAGGCGTTGGACTTGACCATCAAAGGCTGTTCAATTATCTTCACAACTGAAGATATCTTTCATCAGAAGTGAAGCAAAGGCCACAGCAAAGAGCTGTCAGGAGAAAAGAGATGGAGAATGAATGACACACCATAAGGAAAGCAGGAGGGGACAGAAAGTGCTTTGTCCATTCTCCACACCTCCATGCTTGAAGCATCAATTAGTTAGTTAGGAAACAGCTCCTTACTAACCTAGAAGAGAATGGGTGGGCTACAGACAGATTGTGCCTATTTGTCATACATGACAGTGTTCTTAGGAAGAGAATTAGGGGCAAAGTTGGGAGGCCAAAACGATTCAGTTCATTTCATATTTCCAGATTTATGATAGTGGGGAAAGGCACCCATTGCCCACTGCAACACACTCTCAGCTGGTGGTGTGAAAGTTACCTAGGAAGTTGCCTAAACTCAAAGACTATGGAATGCTGCCATAGGTAAAAACAAAAAGAAGAATTTAGTCGTCCCCCCCAACCTTTACACTACTGTCAAGTGTAAGTTCCTTCAATTGCAGTGCCATGTCCGGCATTGGTTCCAACACTAAGGCTGCAGTCCTAACCATGTCTTATTGACTTCAATGGAGCTTACTACTAAGTAAGTGGGGTTAGAATTGCAGCCTAAGCCATCAACTGATTGTAAGCCTGAACACACCATTTGAGAGCAACATAACACTTGCCACCAAGGGAATGCTTCCCCCCTTCTTCCCCAACAGAGGCATTCACACAAACAACCTTTCTTTGGACCAGGTTTGGTCTGTGGTAATCTCAGGAGCAGGAAGGAATCAGATTAGAATCTACCAACATTGTCACCAGATCTTTCTTGAAAAATCCCCACGGATGACTCATTACAACACAATGAATCTGACATATCTAATTTCACAGAAACATTCTGGCGAAGAGAAACATTACATTAGAACACAATTTTCAAAGGTTAGAAGAGAGATCTTAATTCGGGCTGCCGGCAAACATTTGCTCTGCATAATATGCCTGGAACGTGCTGCAGAAGTATTTTCTCCTGATCTCAAGCAATTCTGTGTATAATTAACTTGAGGCCTGAGACAAAACAATTCTATTAGTCTTTTTGAAGTGCATTTCTCTTGTGGATAAGAACTCCCACTCAATATGGTTATTTTTCTCTGCTTCAATTTAAACCGAGCACCCCCCCGCCAAAAAAAAAGATTTTCTGTTTAGCTCATTGTATTTCTTTTGTTATTAACAAAGGAGTGCAGAGGCAAAAGAAGCTTTTGAGGGAGAAACGCATTTCAGAAAAGGGGAATGGACACTGGAGGTTACCATCACTTTGTCCACCTTATACTTGCACAGCTGAGTAGCTGACAGACAAGTTTTCTCTTAGCGTCAGATCAGTGCTTATGACGGATCACAAGCAGATTTGGCTTCAGATGCTGCTCTTTAGTGACACTGACAAATTAGTTGGATAATTATTTCATATTATCAGTGGCCCATGGAATTGATTTCATAAAATTATGGACACATGGAAAATATATAGTCTGTGCAAAAAAAACCCCAAATACTTTCCATCTGTGATGAAACTCTTAAGTTTGAGTATTTGATAGTCTTCCAAAGGAAGAAAAAAAACCCTCCTGATTTTGTCACTCTCTATTAAAATGCTTTTTGACTGTGGAAAAAGGAGGTACTAGATATAAAGATAATGTAAACTACAGATGTTTTTACACATTTAATAAAGCCTTAAATCAAGAGCACTGCACCATTATCTATTCTTAAAGATTTCCATGAGTTGAATATGCCCTCTCTCTCTAAGTAGTTAGAAGCGCTTAACAAATATGTCAGTAATCCTTCCAACAGTTTTGTAAGCTAGGCCAATATTAGTGGGGTGGGGGTTACGACATATTCAGGTCACTCAATGAATTCATAGTTAACATGACATTTGAAATAAATATTTCATAGCTCATCCCTTTAACCACTAGGTTAAGTCTGCAGCCTCCTTACCATCTCACTGAGTCAATCCCTTTCAGTTCTTTGTGTGCATGGTCTGCCTTTAAACTGTTAGGAAATACTTTTTTTACTGAAAACCTACCAAAAGTCCCCCCCCCCCCAAATCTATCCATCTCAAAACTCTACCGTACCAGGTGTTTGTGCAAAAATAGCTACACAACTCCAGTCTGTGCCACATGTGCTTTTCAAAAAACGAAACAGAAGCAGCACAGAAGGAAGTGAGCGAGATAATTGCTGGCTCGAAGTGCCATACATTTTACTTGTGGGCAGAGGGCCAGCTTACACCAGGCAGAATTGGCCAGCGCTGCTTATTGGAATTCTGGGCTGGGCCTTCATTCTGGTCCGGCGACAGCTGTAAGCCAGCAGCCCATAGCATCTCAATCAGGCGCCGAGCTCCGTCAAAGAATGCTGATACGGACGGAAGCCGCTTCAGCTGCACTCCGCCTTGCAGAATGACAGTCAATCTTGGATTCCAGATGACAAGAACTGGATAAAAAATGTAAAACAAATGGTGACCTTTCCAAAGATTAATTTGTTTACCAACAAAGAGCTCTCCGTTTGTCATCCAGGATAGGGGTGACCTTCACATTCCCATTTCTAGGTTGAGAGGAGGCTGAATGTAGTCATCTGTTCACTTAACTCTGTCTCACCAATTATTCCCTCTCTTATTTTTGGTGAAAGGGACAGTTTATTAATTCACTGTGGTCTCCTGTTATGTTCTTATAAATGCAGTCAACGTATTCCAGTTTACTGCAGTGGAACATCAATTTAAGTCTAATTCTGCTACTGATGCCAAAATTATGGTTTTCTTTGTAATTGCAGCCATATGCAGGCATTTAAAGTGTGTGTGTGTGTGTGTGTACAGTATATTCTTTTCTTCAGATCTTACACTGCTTCTATCCACTCTCCTGTTCATTTGAAATGAAAGAAATTGCTTTATTGCCGTCATTTTAAAAATGTATGCATGCATCCCGTAGGAGATTAATTCAAATACATGCGTACATAGCACAAAACACACACACAGAGTAAAAGCGGAAGAGGAAAAGGAGCAATTGGAGTAACTTAGTTGAACGGGCAGCAGAAGACAGCAACTCGTAAAAACTCGAGATCGCCACAGCATTAAATTCTTCCTTATGAATAAATGAAGAGGTTCCAAGTTTACATTATTTATTTATTTATTTATTTGGATATTGGGACCAAAATGCCAGTATAAGTCTATGGCTGTGCAGCAATCTTTATGAAAATGAGAACGATAGAATGCTCCTTCTAGGTCACAGCAATTATTTAGAACTATCACTGTGGCAATTTCAACGGCCATTTTCCTTGGTGTATGTTCTATGACCGAGGTGAGCAGCTCATTAGGCCATGTCAGAAATCACTAGCGAGAGGAATGTTAGAGGGATGCAGCTCATTTGCATCTCTAAGATGCAGACAATTAACATAATTTGCATCCCATTTTAATTAACATTGCTAATCTGCATATTTTAGCCACATGTAATTAACATAATTTCATGTGTTCACAAACAATACTAATCTATACATTTTAATTGCTTGCAATTAACATAATTTGCATGTAATTTTAATTAACAGTGCTAATTTGTATATTTCCATTGCTGTAATTAAAATAATTTCATATTTTCACAAGTGCTGTCTTCTTCTATATCACAGTTGCATGTAATAGATATAATTTGCAGATAATTTTTCATAAATATCAGTAAGTTATACATCCAAGTGGTTTGTAAACATAATTGGCCTATCATTTTTTTAAACAAAATGTTGATTTTCAAGGACCAGGATTTATTGTAAATGTGCATTATCTGAAACAACTTCCAAGATCCAAGTTGCTATCTTTTGTAAACTTATGGCCAAAAATGGTTAAGCACAGAAAACATGGAGAATCTAATTGAAACAGACTCAGGGCTAGTTTGTATATGCAAACTAATCATCAGATGACTATAACATCAAGTGGTGGGTTGAACATATGAAACGGCCATCACACATTAAACACGTTAAACACAACTTTCATTCTACCTCCCACTGCCTCAGGCACAAAATTTTTTAATGGAAAGAGTTTACTCATCAAGAAGGTGTTGTCATCAAATGTAAAAAAATCAATGCAATGTCATTTGAAGCCCCATCTTCTTCTGAGGCTGATCTTCTGAACTAGGACTGCATCTCCTAACCACCCACCCCCAAAAAGCTGCTGCAATACTGCCTGCCTGGATTATTTGGGGGAATAATTTACAATAGTTACAATAATATTGAAACAAATAAGCCATTGAACCACATCTTTGTTACTTACAGGGGCTGTTTGTCTCTGATTCATTATTGGCAAGTCAACTCCATAGTTCTCATTTACAAAATTTCGATGGCAAGCATTGCGTGGATTGTACATAATCTTCACCGTCATTGAAAGTTTTTGCTGCAAGAGAAAAAGCTGTAAATAGATGCTAAATGGAACAAAAACAAAGGTTCTAGAGAACTCATGTGAAACTCATTTGAAAGCATGTGTAGAGTTGCTAAGGATGTATGTGCACTGGGTTTTCTTGGGCAATTGGCTTAGTGCACTGATGTACAACCCCAAGGCAGAATGCAAACAAAATAGCTAACTAGAAAAAGCAGACATATACAGCCCAAGCTCACATCCTGTGTGGATGAGGGAGGTCAAAGACCAGAATGCAGGACTAAAGTAAGAAACATTAGATTGTATAACCCCTGCTTTTGCCCTTCTGTCACCAAACCAGGGAACTAAACTCTTAGCTACTACCCTCTTTGTGGCCCAAAACTCTGCAGCTAAGGTGATCCTAATCTCAGAGGCTCTTTTTGGCAGCTTTGGCCTCACTTAAGTCATAGAGCTCTGGATTCTGGGGCTGGCAGCCATACATTTGTTGCAGGACCTAGAGCTTCTTTGGCTGACTAGACTCAAATGGGTATCCCATCACCTCTGCCTGAGCCTGACACCACAGAATACTTGAGCAGCTCTGTGGCAACCTCCCTGCAGAACCCTAAGAACATAAGAAGCCCCATCTAGGCCACCACCCTGTTCTCACAATGGCCAACCTATAAGTAGAACCTGAGGGCAACAGCACTCTCCCTACTTGTGATTCCCAACAACTGGTATTCAGATGCTTACTGATAAGCAGCCATTGCTAGCCTTATCCTCCATGAATTAATCTAACCCTCTTCCAAAGCCATCTAACTTGGTGGCCATCACTACCTCTTTGGGGGTAAATTCAATCCTGAGGGTAGCTCCACCCAGCGGCACTCTTGGCTTGGCATACTTTGTTAGGAGACTGCAAAGGATCCATGAAGGCATGAATCAAGGCTTCAGGATTTCAGCTGCAGGGACTGCATATGACTTAGGAACTGGGTATGAATTACATTTTAAGTCCTTCAGCAAAAAAAACTATCCACATATTATTAACTTTGCCTTTTGTGGGCTAGAATCTTACTCCTCCCACTTCCAAACCCCCCCCCCCCCAATGTTGAGATTCTCTGGCCGAAAAAGCCAGAAAATCCATTGGGCTCCTCTGCTTAGTATCTTTTGCTCTAAACATTCCACAGTGTGAAGCGGATGTAGTCGATTCCTACTCTGATCAGCAGGCTACATTTGTGGTCCTGCCAAACTTGCTGTAGATTTTTATTTAGTTATTTATTTTTAAATCAGGGATTACCGGCCCAGTGAACCAAAACAGCTTCCTCTGGTTCAGCTTCAGTTCACTGACTCCATGAAGGTAAAGAACATGCTTAGGAAGTAAATGGGAAATAAATAATAATTAAAGAAATGGGAATTCACAATCCTGAAGGGAGTGATAATACTGGTTTTAGCTGGATGGAATGGCTCCAGCTATTTTGCTTGCTTTAAAAAAAAAATCCAGCGGAAGAAAATCCTAGTGGAAGGGGGGGGGGACATATCTTTAATAAGCTCATCTTTGGCTTAATGAATATGATGCCTTCTGTTTTATGGATATAAAAATAGAAGCCACAGAAGTTAACACACAGGGTAGAATTATCCCTGTGTGCAGGCACTTACATTTCACACAGAGCCTGTCTTTTAATTGTGCTGAAAGGAGAGGCAACAACACATTTGGACCTGTATCAAGAGAAGTAATACCTCCCTGTAGTTTTCCCGTAAACATGGCACTGAAAATGAACACAGGCTTATTCCCCAGCTGATGAATGGGGAACAAGCATGGCTGCTTAGAGCTCTTATTTTCTCTGCTCTTGCTCAAGCAAGTTCAGCAATCTATCAAGGCTGAAGATCTGGCACCAAAAATGATTCAAAATTTCTGCCATAACAAAGCCCAGGCCCTCAACATAATTATGCAGTTCTGCCAAAATGAGTCTCATTTTAATGATTTACTTGAACTTCCATGTTTGGGGCTTTCACAGAATCCAGAAAACATAGCAAGTCAACAACGTAAATGTCTAACCTGCCCTATAGTAAAGGTAAAGGTACCCCTGACTGTTAGGGATGGTCTCTGGGGTTGCGCACTCATCTCACTCTATAGGCCAAGGGAGCCAGTGTTTGTCCGCAGACAGCTTCCGGGTCATGTGGCCAGCATGACTAAGCCTCTTCTGGCGAACCAGAGCAGCGCACGGAAACGCCGTTTACCTTCCCACCAGAGCAGTACCTATTTAACTACTTGCACTTGATGTGCTTTTGAACTGCTAGGTGGGCAGGAGCTGGGCTGAGCAACAGGTGCTTACCCCGACACAGGGATCCAAACTGCCGACCTTCTGATCGGCAGGCCCTAGGCTCTGTGGTTTAGACCACAGCGCCACCCGTGTCCCTATACCCAGAAGCTTAAGGCAGGTAACAGGCAGCAATCTCTTAGCTGGATTTCACAACTGTTTCATGATAAAGAGTCATTCTGCCAATGCACCAGCAATTGAGAACAGCTGGCAAAGCTGAACTACATTTATTTTCTGAAGTTAAATTAGGGCTGGTTTTTTTTTTTGTTGGCAGATGCCATAATGACATGATATGGGAGGGCAGTGGGGCTTCAGCCCCACAAGGTAAACCCTGGGTAGGCCATAGCATGCCCCTCTCCAAATTAAGATCAACCATGCATAGTGAAGTAGAGAAAGATTGGAGGTTGGTATTAGAAGCAAAAAATATTTAATGCAGGAGCAGCCCCTTTCTCGCTTAGCCTACTGTCATTGTGGGTTTGGCCAACCTGCTTCTGATCTTCTGTCCACAGATCCTCTACATATTTTGTGCTTCTGCTGCTCATCACAGAATTTCATTTCCTTATGATATAGTTCACTTAGAGCATCCACACCTTACATTTAAATGCACCTTTTAAATAAATACTTGACTTCCCCCAAATAATTCTGTGGATTATAGTTTACACTTCACAGAGGTACAATTTTCAGCACCCTTAACAAAACTAGGATTCTTTTAGGGAAGTCATTTGCTTTAAAAGTATGGTGCAGTTGTGACCTTGATTACGTCTGCTGCACACACCCCCCCCCCCGGTTTGGCTCATGTGTGGCTTCACACGCTATAGCTACATCCATTGTCCTTGCAGACAAGGACACACTCCGATGCCCACTTTCTGCTTTGCAAAGCAAAGCATTAGGCCTGCCCTTTGGGACTTGAGAGGTTCTTTGAGAGAGCACTAGGGAAAAGAGACTCAGTTGGGAGTATAAGACGGTAACAAAATCACTGGAAGGATTACAAGCCATGAGTTCCTTCAGACCTTTGGTGCAGAAGACCTATGTGGCGATAACCTGCCGCAGGGCTGAGTGGTAATTGCAGACATCTCTGGGTAAATTATTTCTTTCTGTGAAGTCTCCATGGGGAGCCCCCTGAGAGAAATAAATAGGGAAATGTTGCAAGATTTGGTTCAGTTCCAACTTTATTTTCCACACCTGCAATAGTTTAAACTGCTGCAATTTATTTATTATTTGTTAAATTCATATCCCACCCTTTCTCCCAGAGGAGCACAGGCATCAAGCAACAAACAATGAAACAATAAAAAACCTTAAAACTTGGGTTAAGTATATGAACTCGAAACCACAACAGGAGGCATTATTAGTGTCCTTAACTCTGTAGACACAGAAATTTACAGAATCCTGAGAACAACTAGTCCAATTTCTGCTATAAGATGGAAGGCATGTCTTCTGATACAGCTTTTTGTGTGTGGATTTTTGACTATTTGTAATATGCCATAAGAACTCTACAAACACCCAAATACTACAATTAGAATATAAACATCTATATTTAAAAATATACAGATAAAGTAGCATACACAAATAAATTCCAGTACTCTTACCATTTGGACACCTGTCTTGAACACAGATCCACATTAGAAGGTGACGAAATTGTTAGCACAGTTTGGTTTACAGCATTTAAATACCTTTCAGCGTGTTTCTGTTCAGGGATAGGGAGAAAGAAAATATAGGATATTGAGGTGATGGAAGAGCTACCTCAGCCAGCAGATCTGAGCAAATTTTGAGCTTTGAAAACAAAAATGAAAGACATCATCCCAGGCTCTGAATTTGTCTGAGTTTATGCTATGTCTAAGACAGCCGTATAATGCTGAGCACCCAAAACGTACTGTCACTGCTCTAAAATACAATACTTGGCACTTCAAACCATTTACTATTCAGAAACGGAATTTAGAAAGTGATGAGGTGTCACATTTTCACTTGAGGATAAAATACTGATTAACACTTTCACTGGGAGACGTTTCCCCATTTTTGTTGGAAGATTCTCCATCCACTTACCTTTAATCTGTTCTCTGTACTTTCAATAGCAGCTTCAAGGTTCTGAGCATCCTGCAGTTCCCAATCATGGCTGATGTCTCGCAGCTGGTCCTTCAGCTGTTGAAGATCTTCTTGAACCTAGAAAATTAGTTGAAGCTTGCAGTAAATGCATGCATCATCAGGGTGTAAATATATTTCACAGAAACTGAAAGCAAAACAGATTTATTAAGCACTGAACAAACACACACTTCAGGGAGCAACCTCTGCAATTTTATGGAACACAGAAGAGGAGAGGAGCAGGTTAAAAGCGGCAGGGAGGGGTGTAAAATATTGCAACCCAAAAAGCATGCATCAGAAAAAAAAACTTGATAACTATCTATTTCTTCTATACAAGCTGCAATCCTAAACGCACTTATTATTTAAAATGTATAATCTGCCTTTCCTCCCTGAAGGGAACCCAGGGCAGCTCACAACAATAACATTATATAAAACAAAGGAAACAACACCACAACATATCACAGACAGTACTTAAAATCAAAAGTGCAAAAGTTTCATTGCTGGGAAATGCAATCAGATTTCTCTTTATAAACCTGCATAGGGTTGCACTGCTTAACTGCAATCCTACATAATAATTTGTTTATAATAATAATGTTTAACAGGCTATTGTATTTTAATATTTTTGTTGGAAGCTGCCCAGAGTGGCTAGGAAACCCAGCCAGATGGGTGGAGTATATTATTATTATTATTAATAATATTAATAATAATAATAATAATATCCCACCCTTCTGGCTGGGTTTCCCCAGCCACTCTGGGCGGCTCCCAACAAAATATTAAAAGCACAATAAAACATCAAACATTAAAAACTTCCCTAAACAGGGCTGCCTTCAGATGTCTTCTAAAAGTCAGATACAGTCGTACCTTGTTTTGCGGCCAGGATCCATTCCAGAGCCCTGGCCGCTAGCTGAAAAGGATGCAGGGTAAAGTGCCGTGTCTGCACACACACGCGGAGCGGTTTGCGCATTTGCGCATGTGACAAACCTGGAAGTAACCCATTCCGGTACTTCCGGGTTTCCCGCAGACGTTCGCTGGAACGGACGCTAGACAAGGCGGACATTCGCGGAGGTATTACTGTAGTTGTTTATTTCCTTGACGTCTGGTGGGAGTTGTTTATTTCCTTGACATCTGGTGGGAGGGCGTTCCATAGGGCGGGTGCCACTACTGAGAAGGCCCTCTGCCTGGTTCCCTGTAACTTGTGAGGGAACCACCAGAAGGCCCTCAGAGCTGGACCTCAGTGTCCGGTCTGAATGATGGAGGTGGAGATAAGTCCTACTGGACTTAATGAAACTGGCTTCTAGGTACATATACTTAGGATAGTACTGTCAGATTTCTAACCCACGTCATCCAAAATGCTTGAGGCAACTTACAACATAGTACATCCATAACGGAAAGGGAAATAAATATGATGAAAATATCAATGAAATACACTGTCAACTTAAAATTACCTCCAGGAGCTTAACCGAAAACAATAAAGGTTTGCAGCACTTTAAGCCTGGACTTTGGCAACACTCTAAAGAACACAGCAACCAAGTTATAACTCCATACATCATTATGAAATGAGCATCATATTATAACAACAAAGAGGGCATTCTTAGCAGACTGCCAAGATGGTAATGAGACACAGGACTGGAGGTATTTTTTAAAAAATACACAGAGCCCAGTGCATGTGGGCTATGTTTTTCAGCTGGAGGACCACATTTCCTTGTGGGGAATCTTCCAAGAGCAGCATGCCAGTGGTGGGTGCAGCCAGAAGCAAAAGTGTCCAGGGCAACAAATGCACATTTTACATTTGTGTCATAGGCTTCATTCCAGTCACACAAAGGTCACAGGTTTCTACACCTACACCTACCCCACACTAGCCTCCATCCAGTCAAGCTAGAGGCATTATCACAGCCCAATGATACATCCCAGCCAAACAAAAGCACTTGAGAGGAGTGTGAAGCAGGGTTGGGGAAATGGGTTACCTGGGGAGCGGATGTGGTCTGGTGAGAGTCCTGATGTCCAAAGGGAGAGGCCACATTTGGCTCCCAGGCCCAAAGTCAGCCTATTAAACAGGAATGGACAGCACAAGCACCTCAGATTGTACCTGGCATGAAGAGGAACTCAAACATCTGATGGAACATGCTTTCTGTAACCTTACTCATCAGAAAGTATGCATATTGCTGACAACGAACTCCAAAACTCTGGATAACCCCACTAAGCAATTTCATGTAGATATTAAATAGCATAGGGGAGAAAATTGAACCCTGAGGAACCCTCACTGGAGGCTCCACAGGGCTGAAGAGCACTCCCCAAGCATCCCCCTCTGGAAATGACCATCCAAGTAGGAACCACCACAAAGCAGTGCCACCCACCTAAGTCAGACAGCTGTTCCAGAAGGATACCATGGTTGATTGTCTTGAAAGCCATTGAGAGGTCAATGAGAATTAACTGGGATACATTTCCCTTGTCTCTCTCCCGACATAGGTCATACAGGGCAACCAAAGCAGTTTCTGTGCCAAAACCCCAATTGAAATGGATCTAGAATATCAGTTTCCTCCAAGAGCACCAGAATCTGGTCCACAATCACCTGATCAAGAACATTTCCCAAGAAGTAGAGGATTAGCAACTGGGCAGTAGTTTCTTAGATTTTCTTAGTCCAGGGAGGGCTTCTTGAGGAGTGGTTTTACCATTGCCTCCTTCAAGCAGGCAAGGACCACCCTCTCTTTCATGGAGACATTAATCAATTCCTTGGCCCAGCCAGTTGTCCCCTCCCCGTTAGTTTTTATCAGTCAAGAGGAGCAAGGGTCCAGAACTCAAGTGATTGCCCTGAGTGAACCAAGAACACTGCCCACCTTATAACAAGTCGGAGTACTGGTCTTATCTAGTTCAGTATTATGTACAGTGGTACCTCGGGTTAATTACTTAATTCGTTCCGGAGGTCCGTTCTTAACCTGAAACTGTTCTTAACCTGAAGCACCACTTTAGCTAATTGGGCCTCCAGCTGCCGCCGTGCCGCCAGAGCACGATTTCTGTTCTCATCCTGAAGCAAAGTTCTTAACCCAAGGTACGATTTCTGGGTTAGCGGAGTCTGTAACCTGAAGCATCTGTAATCTGAAGCGTATGTAACCCGAGGTACCACTGTACTCTATTGGTAGCAGCTCTCCAGGATTTCAGACAGGGGCTATTCCCAACCCCATCCAGTGATACTGGGGATTGAACCTAGGACCTTTTGCTTGAAAGGCAAATACTCTATCACTGAGCTATGGCCCTTCATCTTTTCCTAAACATTACTGTTCATTCAAGTGACTTTTCCAAGATCTAAGCTTTGCAAGATCAAAGCAAGGGTCTTCACTGCAGACTAATAAAATATGCTACCTAATTCTAAGCATAGCTTACTCAGAAGCTAGGCCCAGAGTTCAATGGACTTTATTCACCAGTTAAGTGTGCATGACATTGCAGCCTCAGCTACCATGGAAAATCTCAGCTCCCTTAAAATTTTCAATAAACATTGCTAAATCCAATCTTTCTCTGCCAAAAAGCTACGCTTCAATGTGCAAAAGGAGAGGAAAAATAAACATTTACATTTGAAGAAAGCTGGGAGGCATCAAGGCAAGAGCTCACAGAAGTTACGTAAAAGGTGCAATTTGAAAAACAGCTGCAAGGAGGCTCTGGAGCAACCAAAGCATAGAATGTGTTTTTATTGTATCTTTCCTATGCCCAGAACTCAGTGCAGCCCACATTTCATCCTCACAACAATCTTTTCAGTTGGGTTAGGGCGAGTATATGCATGTGTAAGATGTTAGTCTTTATGATGCCACATGACTGTTTTTAGCGAGAGTTTGGTTTAATTTTCACTACCATTTCAGACAGGTGAGGGCTAATTTAATTCTTCAATACAAATGTCGGAAGGCTTGGCTACAGCCCTCCTTTCTGATATGCTTTTTGTCTACATGGAGGGACTTTACCTTTCTGCATGGAGAGGCACAGGGACTGACCACTTCAGAGAGGTCCACAGTGAGCATAATGTGTGAGAGGAGATTTGCACTTGGGTTGGTGTGGCTATGTGCCCTATGGTGCATGAAACAGTCCTCTATTTGAAGGAGTCCTCTATTTGTTAGGCTGACCAGTCAAAACCTGGTTTAAAGAAATTCTAAGAAGGGAGCGGGGAGAGCTTTAAGTTGCCCATCAACAATCAGCAAACCTGGACAGCAGAGGAACCACACTAAGTCATCAGGTCACAATGGTGCCAAGATGTATTTCTGTTTAGGAAACAATAGAAGCGGTTTTATATTGAGGGAAACCACTGGGCCTGTCTACTTGCACTGAGAGGTGGCAGCTCTCCAAAGTTTCTTCCAGCCAGGAGGTATTCTCAACCCCACCTGGAAATGCCATTGGGGATTGAATCTGGGACCCATGACATACAAAACAGATGCTTTACTACTGAATTACAGCTCTTCTCTAAACATGTCATGGAACAGTTTAAAATGCATATGGAAGCTTCCAGTGTGCTTATTTTTAAATGTGCATCTACACATATGAATTGGCATGTGCCACTTTTAAGTAAACCTTGCGGACGCTGCTGCTGCTCCTCCTCCTTTTTTCTTGGCACTTTGTAAATGGCCAGCCTAATCAGGATCTTCAGGGCCTTAAGGCCAACCCTGCGTCCAATGGGGGCGACGCAAGGCTGGATGGGCGCGGGAGGCCATAAGAGCAAAGGTTCATGGGAGTTTGGTCAAGTGACCACAAGACCAATAGAAACGAGGCTAGTGAGGGACCTGACTGCAGTGTTATTTGGACCCACCTGGACTAAAATGCGCCCTATCTCCGCCCCCGGCCCGGCCACCTCAGCCATGGGTCCTGGCTGAGGCTCCCTCCCCACAGCGGCGGGACTGCGGCGCACCACGTGACCGTGGCCTTAGCAACGGGACGCGCGGCCCGGGCGGGACCATTCCTGTCAATCTGAGGGGTTTTTATGTGGAGATGCAGCAAGGAGAAAACATAAGCCCTGGGGTGAGGCCGAACCCAATGTTTCCCTCTCATTTCACATTTCGTTTCCTCTGCACAAAAGCCTTAAACCTCAGTCCGCAAACATTCTACGTCTCTCTCCCCTCACCAGGGCGGTAATAGTACGACCCAAATGGCCCGGAAGGGGCGTGATCTAGACCGGAAGAGGAAGCACAGGGCCGTTTCAGAACCTCTCTAGCGGGTGTCATGGCTGTCCCTTGCGCCTTAATCACGAGCTGCGCCGCCGAGTTCCCCGGGGAAGAGCTGGTGAAACGTGAGTCGGCTCGACCCCCGTCAGCCTTCTTTCTTTTAAACTGCTGCGCCGTGGCGTCATCTCTCGGCGCCGCCTCTGATTTTGGCGCCGTTTCTCGTGGGATTTTCACCTCCCCCGCAGCTGCGCGTTGCAGTATTTAAGAACTTTCTCCCCCCTTGAAATGCAAACTAGTTACTCAGTTACGTGGAGTTAGACTTGGAGCCTGTTTGCCAACCCCAGAGTTTCCCTCCTCTAAAATCCGGGAAATAATGGAGTGTCCACGAGCATGTGCAGAGTGTCAACAACAGACTTGCTCTCGGTGTCAGGCTACTAATAAACGAGAGAGAGCGAGATAAAGTAGACTTTAGGCCTGTGCTAATTGCTCTTCTGAAGTGTGAGGAGTAAAGTGGGTTATGGAAGGTGCTCAGAGATCAGACGCTGAACCTTTGTATTCATATCTTCAGACTTGTGAAGTAATAAAGAGTGCTTTGGAGTATATGCAGAGATCATTTTACTTGCCTCCTTGGTGGCCACAATCAGTCCTCGCATAGGTGGGAAGGGCTGTCACATTGGAGACCCATTTCCTCTCCTCTCTTATCCTTCCTCCAGTACCTCCCGTATTCTGCATTTCACATTTCTCTTGATCTGGTGTTCTCCAAATGTACCTCTTTGGTATCTGCCATCTGTACAGCACACAATATCTGTGCAAAACATTGCAATGCCACTTTTCTAGTATATGCCCAAAACAGGTTATAATAAAACAGTTAAAACATATAATACCAATAATGTAATTGTTAGATAGGCAAATGGCAGCAATTTAAAACCCGCAGAAGCAAAAGGCATTGTCTGGATCCTCATTTGTTGCAATCCGTTAACCATAGCTGCTGTTTCTCATATAATGGGAACTATGGTTAACTCTGGATAGTTAGTCTATTTTTCTCCTTGTGCAAATGGACTGTGGGTGGATGCAACAAAGCTTTTACATAATCTGGTTTATTAAACCAAAATTTGATCATGTGAACAGCCTGTAGATTTTCTTGCAATTCTGTGAGAGGTTTTCTGAAGTTTACTCCAGCAGGTGGCTCTCCAGACACATAAAGCAGGAGCTCTGTTTGCATACTTTCCCAAACCGGAGAGAATTAAATGAGATCACTTTAAAAAGCATTTGAAGGAATCACAACTGCTTATACTATGAAGTAAGCTGAATACCTGTTGGGAACACTGTCAAAAGTCAGGCTAGAAGGAATTTGTAGCTTGCTAGAGCAGCTAGTAGTAACATACAAAGAATTTTGTGTGTGTGTTTGTGTTCTGGATTGAAGTCATAAAAACAGCCACCTATTGATTTGAAGTGGAAATTCCGCTTTTGCACAGTCACGGTCTAGTCTCTGGGTAGGCTGGACTGGAATCTGTGGCAATATGATATTTTTTATATTAATTGATGTACCATTACATATATGAAATACAACAAAACAAATAACAAATGCATGGAGAAGAGAACATAAGAGAACATATAACCAAATATGAATGCAGTCATAGCTGAAATCATCATACAAGTATATTACAATGTGATTACTCCCAAATCAGATTTCCAAAACAATAATTGAGACGACAGGAGGTTGAATTTCTGGCAGCCCTGTGTTGATGTATATATGAGTCTTGCTTAGTTGTGTCTGCGGTCATTTGTTGTACACTCCAGTGGTACTACAGCTGAAATCTACCTGGGACCACAGCTGCTGATGTGGACACTGCCTTCGATCCTGAGTGAGAGAAGGTGGGCTATATCAGTGTGGGGAATTGTTACGGGTTGGCAGGCCAGATCCTTATCACCCCACCATCCCCATAGGCCTATTTTGACAGATGGGTGGGATCACCCACCTGCCAGTAATAAAGACACCAGGTGATTGATGCGTGTCAAAGTTCAAAAGAGGACATAGTGATCAGCAGTCAGCTGATTGTCACTTGCAGCAACATCCTTTGAAGATGCATGTTCAAGCACCAATCAGCTGTTTGATGCTGGGAGTAGATCTTCAGAGAAGCTCCTTGTAAGTAACGGAAAGATGAACCTTGGTTGCATGAAGTCCTTTTGAAGTCTCTGCAGAGGAGGAAATGCTTCTTAAAATGGATTATTTCCCCCTCTGCAGAAAAAGCAGCTTGCATTCAAAGCACTCAGGGAACTGGTTTGAATATAAACTGCTGCCTCCAATGTGGGGGGGGGGACCTTCAGGAGCTTAACTTGAAACGAGAAAGGACTTCTGCTTTTGTTTGTTCTTGGCTATAGCTCATAGTGAGAAGAGAGATTAACCACAATTCCTGGCACGGCATGGCAGTAAAAAGGAGCAAAGTGGCTTCAAGCACATTTGCAAAATCATAGAAAGCCATATCATAGACAAACAGGCCAAACCCTACGGCAAAGGATAAATGGACATAAATCTGACACCAGGAATCACAAGACAGAGAAACCAGTAGGAGAACACTTCAGTCTCCCAGGACATTCTATACAAGATCTCAAAGTAGCTGTCTTATTACAAAAGAATTTCAGAAATAGACTGGAAAGAGAAGTTGCTGAATTGCAACTTATTACCAAACTTAAAACCATGGAGAGACCTGAATAGAGACATTGGATTCTTATCTCATTATGCATGATAAAGCTATTTTTAGCCATCTCACCCCTTGCTTTTTCCTGTAAGACCAACTGCAGTTGTTAACAGTCGGTTTACCACACCTATCAGCCATTCCCACCACCCTTCTGAGTAATACCCCTCCCCACCCTCTCACTATATATAAGGGTCTGGTGACTTCTGTTTCAGTGTATATGAAGAAGCGTTCATGCACACGATAGCTCATACCGATAACAAACTTAGTTGGTCTCTAAGGTGCTACTGGAAGGAATTTTTAAATTTTGTTTCGACTATGGCAGACCAACACGGCTACCTACCTGTAGTAATATCATGGTTTGCCTTACTGTGTCATGTGAATCATACCACTGCATATGTGATTTAAGCAATTGTTCAGTCTTCTTGCTTTCCCCTGTTCTACACTGACCTCTTGCATGCAGAACCGGCCCTCTGGTTCAGATGGGAGCCCAAGTCCACCCCTGTTCAACGTAGTTCACTTTGCAAATGTGAGTGAGTTGGGTGCCTGCTACAGCAGATCTTCTTTGTCAGAGCGCAGTGGGAAGGTGTCAAAGAGCTGGCTTGCGTTTTGTGAAAACACAAACCACAGAGGTTGGCCTTGAGGCGAGCTGAAGTGTTGTGGTCACCGAGTGCGTCTGTTGATTTTTCAAAGCTCTTTGGATGTGAAACCACAGACCTTCCCTATGGTTGTGAAGATCAAAAATGAAAAGCGAGCAATTCCATCGAGACACGGTTGTTTCCAAACCCACGTACTTTTGCCTTTATAGCAGTTTTCTGAAAAGCCTTTTTTGGGGCCAAAAGCAAGTGTGGACTTGAAAGCTTATCCTAAAATGGTTATGTTCTCTCCAGCTAGATATAGAAAGGTATCATTATAGTGGGAGGGCTCTATGATATTTGCATGAAAACGTACTCTGCTTTTGAGGGAAACTTCTGAAACCCAACGGCTTGAGTGCATCTATTCCAAGGTTCTGGAGGGCTTGTGGGTGCTATTGCACGCTAGTGTGTGGGATGTAAGTTAAAGTTGGAGCTATTTGATACAAATGGATCACAGATGAATCAGGTTGCCTCTCCCTTTGGCTAGGCTAAGAGCTACTTTTATGGGAAGGCCACTTATGGGATGAAGGTGGGCCACAGCTCCACCCAACCCACAGAGTGGGCTGCCAGGAAGCCCTGCTGCCACAATCATCTCTCTCTTCACACACTTTTTGTTGTCTCTGTGTTAACAACTGGAGCGGGGAAACTGGCATTCCTTAGTGACTACCTTTGCCTCCACAAACCTCTTGTTCATTTCCAGAAGCTCTTCTCTGGGCCCTATCTCTGCCTATGGTGTAGTAGTGGTGACCAGAAAGAGAGCTTGGTTTGCTGTGACCTACCTGAGAGGTCTTAGTATTAGTGTTACCGTTTGTTTACAAAATTTCAGACTGTGTTTCATTGTGTCATGGGCTATATGAAATTGTGCTCTTGTTTTTATTGCTGATCATTTTATTTCAAAATAGTTTTGAGCTATTATATGAGAAGCGATTCATAAATCAAATCAATTAAATAGTAATTCCAGGGCAGTTTCTTATGTATTACCACAGGTACCAAAATCATGTAAAATAAAAACAGCCATTAAACACCCCACTCCCAAAGTAAAACAGCAACATGAGAAAATACAAAACTCAACAAGTGGCAATCACTAATTTTCCTGGGAAAATAAAAATGTTTTCACTTGGTGCCATCAGTTTCTGGCATCCGTGCCTCCATGGGAAGGGAGTTCCACAGTTGGAGGAGCCACAACAGAGAAGGTTCTTGCATCCCTACCCAGGGGCCAAGCTCACCAGCCGGATGAGAAGAGCCTCCACACAGCCTACTGCAGGGTCTGGAATGGTTGATATTTTCCCAGCACTAGTCAGCATGATGACCTTCAGATGCTGTTGATTTACAGCTGCCATCATTTTCTCTGACTACTGGCTAAGGCTGATGGAGTTCGTTTACATCTGGACAGCACCATGTTGGCTAGCCCTGAGCATGTTAACACATTTTATAACTGGCTTTAGTATTCTCATTGCCTTCCTGAATTTTAATGATTTTATGGATTTAGCTGTAGGTCCTTCAAGTTGCAGATACAGTGGAACCTCGGGTTGTGGACGTGATCCTTGACGGAGGCATGTCCGCAACCCACAGCGTTTGTAACCAGCAGTGCTGTATCTGCACATGCGCGTGATGTGATTTGGCGTTTCTGCGCATGCACAAGTGGCGAAACCCGGAAGTAACCCTTTCCGGTACTTCCAGGTTTCCCACAGTACGCAACCTGAAAACGCGTCTGTAACCCAAGATACCACTGTACCTAGATGAGATGGCAATTCTAGGCTTACTTGTATGAACAATCCTGTTTTCATTGAGGTTGTGTACAGGAGTGCAGACTCACTCTCTTCTCTCATTTGACTAGAGTACTATTTGGTGTGGGTGACATCTCTTTCCTTTGGTCATAAAGCTCACAGTGTGGTCAACACACTTTATTACCTTCTCTGCTACCTTGCATGGTAGGAAAATAAGAAGGGAGGGATGATGTAATCTGCTTTGAGCTTGGAGAAAAGGCAGGGTTGATAAGTAGTAAATACAGTGGTACCTCAGGTTAAGTACTTATTTGTTCCGGAGGTCTGTTCTTAACCTGAAACTGTTCTTAACTTGAGACACAACTTTAGCTAATGGGGCCTCCCGCTGCTGCCACGCAGCCAGAGCACGATTTCTGTTCTCATCCTTAACCCGAGGTACTGTTTCTGGGTTAGCGGAGTCTGTAACCTGAAGCGTATGTAACCTGAAGCATATGTAACCCGAGGTACCACTGTAAACTGAAGGGGAAAAGAATAGTAGTCACTTAATACTCACTAATGGCTTATTACTGGAATAGTGGGAAAGGACCATAGCTCAGCGATAGCATCTGCTCTGCATGAACAAGGTCCCAGGCATCTGAGGAGACCCCTGCCTGAAATCCTGGAGAGCTTCTTGCAGTCAGTGTGGCAAATACTGGCCTAGATCAACTTGGTATAAGGCAGCTTCTTATGCACCCACCAAAATGACGTCAACAATGCTGCAGAGGCTTTGGATTTATTTATTTACAGCAGGGGTTTGGAACCTACCTTTCCCTCCTCCTCACTGGGCAACTTTGCCAGATGGGCAGGCAGCTGGAAAGGGGCTTTCCTTTGAAGTTGGCCTGCAATCAGTTTCATCGCTGACTGCTTTGAAGTAGACTTCAAGGTGATTTTGCTGCACCTTTATGTGCCTCACACCTGACCTCATCAGGGATGGGGCAGGTGTGTGTGGTTTGGGGAAAATGGCCTCCTGGGTCTGATTAGGAGGTTTCTCCACCCCAATGTGCAGCATTTTTATGCCCCCCGTTAACAACAAATTCACTGGGTGATGAAGAGAGCATCTGACTAACAATAACAGCAAACCATTCCTACAGTAACATCTGTTTGGGCAAGATTGTGAAGCATGTTCTGGGTGTCCCTCTTTTCTTTCCACACTCCCAGGGCTTCCCAAAGAGGACAGGGGGTGTGAGGTCATGATCACCACCTCTTAAGGTCCTCCATATGTTCCTCTTTCAGGTATTATTGGGACAAATGAGCTTCCTGAAGATGTTTCCACAGGCAGCGGAGCCCGGTTTTACCCCTGGACAATAGAGAATAAATACTACTCGGCTGACATCCATCTCTGCGTTGTGACAAATCAGTTCCTCGTGACAGCTGAAATTGCTGAGTCAGTGCAAGCCTTCTTGGTTTATTTTGACAGCACATCAGTGAGTACTTCAGAACTTCAGTGCCTGCCTGTCTTAATGGATCATGTGTGATCTTTTAAAATTGCTGCTGGGTTTGCTTGCTAGTTTGTTTTGCTTTCAAGGAGGGGGTTTGGTCTTGTTATTAGAGTTTACTTTTGTTTTGTACTGTTGTCAGTTTCCTGTAACCTGCCTTGTGTACTTTTGTTAGAAAGGCAGGGAATGAATTCATGAATAATAATTTTGATCTCTGCAACCCTCTGTCCCTTGAAATTATAATGGCCAATTCTGGAACTGACAAATAACTTGGTAAGTTCCTTGAAAGTGGTTTTAAGGTTGCCTGCCCCAAAACTGAGGTAAGGAAGAACTTGTAAAAAGCAAGAGGGAATTCTTGTTTATATTTTGCTCCCAGACTCTCAGGAACACCATCATGCGATAATTCCAGCATGGATATTTATGTGCCTTTTAATGTTGGCTACTTTCCTCTCATATTAAATTGATGCAGTTGTTAGAATGTTTTTCTCTCTCTTCAACAACACCTATGTTGTGTAAATTAGCCTTTGCCAACTTGCTCTTTTGGTTCACAACTGCTATGCTGCCTGGAGCTCATGGGAGATATGAACCAAAATATCTGGAGGGCACCAGGTTGCTGCAAGCCTTTTTGGCTCTGTTTTCAGAACAACACCATCCCAATTTTTGGAAATTCCAGCTGAGCTACGTCATTACCATTTATATTACACATACATAATGCTTGTAGAAAAAAGTTTCCTGAGAAATTGTTAAGCAATTTCTATTTGTTTTATATGAATTTGTATAGCAGTCAGGGGTTGCCAGTGTGGACTAGTTGGACTCCAGATATATAGTTAGGTTTCCAACTTCCATCAAACTCAGCTGGCTGAGCCAGTGATCAGAAATACTGAGTTGCAATTCAGCAAAATATGGAGGGCATCACTTTGACTACCCATGGGTAGTTTTGTTTACTTGGGATAGCTTTATTACTTATGTTATTGTGAGAGGGTCTCTGTTGTTGTCGTTTAGTCGTGTCCAACTCTTCATGACCCCATGAACCAGAGCACGCCAGACACTCCTGTCTTCCACTGCCTCCCTCAGCTCGGTCAAACTCATGTTCGTAGCTTCGAAAACACTGTCCAACCATCTCGTCCTTTGTCATCCCCTTCTCCTTGTGCCCTCAATCTTTCCCAACATCAGGGTATTTTCCAGGGAGTCTTCTCTTCTCATGAGGTGGCCAAAGTTTTGGCACCTCAGCTTCAGGATCTGTCCTTCCAGTAAGCACTCAGGGCTGATTTCCTTCAGAATGGAGAGGTTTGATCTTCTTGCAGTCCATGGGACTCTCAAGAGTCTCCTCCAGCACCAGAATACAAAAGCATCAATTCTTCAGCGATCAGCCTTCTTTATGGTCCAGCTCTCACTTCCATACATCACTACTGGGAAAACCATAGCTTTAACTATACGGACCTTTGTCAGCAAGGTGATGTCTCTGCTTTTTAAGATGCTGTCTAGGTTTGTCATTGTTTTCCCCCCAAGAAGCAGGCGTCTTTTAATTTTGTGACTGCTGTCACCATCTGCAGTGATCATGGAGCCCAAGAAAGTAAACTCTCTCACTGCCTCCACTTCTATTTGCTGGGAGGTGATGGGACCAGTGGCCATGATCTTCGTTTTTTTGATGTTGAGCTTCAGACCATATTTTGTGCTCTCCTCTTTTACCCTCATTAAAAGGTTCTTTAATTCCTCCTCACTTTCTGCCATCAAGGTTGTGTCATCTGCATATCTGAGGTTGTTGATATTTCTTCCAGCAAGCTTGGGATTCATCCAGCCCAGCCTTTCACATGATGAATTCTGCATATAAACTAAATAAACAGGGAGACAATATACAGCCTTGTCGTACTCCTTTCCCAATTTTGAACCAGTCAGTTGTTCCATGTCCAGTTCTAACGGTAGTTTCTTGTCCCACATAGAGATTTCTCAGGAGACAGATGAAAAGGAAATGCAAGAAAGCAAAGAGGGTCTCTGGCTATATTCAAATGTTGTGTTTACCATTAGGCAGCATTACAGTATTACTTTTGCACTTTTGTAACAGGTTTGTTGGTTAAATAGTAAACTTGACATCAAAGTTTTAAAAACGTTTTTGAAAAAGTTTCTCTAGCTCCCAGCGGACTACAACGCAGGAGTGCTCTCTTCTCCATGCGCCAGAAGACTGGTTCGTTTCCAGAAGGGAGACCTCCCACTTTTGCTCTAGAGCTAATCTTTCTGTTGCCTTCTCAGCAAACAAGCACAGGACTCTCTTGTGACAAGCACCTCTTCTGGTGACATAGTGTTTCATTGGTTAATGTGCATTTTAGTGGGGTGGACTCTTGTTCCTTGTTCCTTTTGTTAGAGTGGACATCTGCCAGGTCTAGCATTTACATTGCTAAGTTGAGCTATATCACTGCATCACAGTGGCACTTCGAAGGAAGTGGGCTGTGACTCCTCCAAGGAGGACATCTTTGAGGCTGACAGTGCAAGTTTCTGTTTTGATGCTTGTAAGATTTCCTCCCTGGAGTGAAGGTGGTTGAAAACAAGAGTTACAAGTAGCTGAACCACTATCTAGACGTGTTATCTTTTCTCAGTTTCATTCACCTCCGTGTCTAGTCAAATTGGAGATGCTTGTTTGTTGCTAAGTGGTGGCAATTAAAGGACAGGAGGAAATCAAGTGTGGAGTAATTGAGCAATGTTCTCAAAAGCAATGGAAGCAATTTTGGAACCCAAATCTCTTTCCTGCCCCATCAAAAACCAGCATTTACAAGCAAGAGTTGGATTTGCATTCCAAATCCCACTTCGTATATATCCTTGAGCAAGTTGCTCTGTCACATATTCAGTTCCTGTCAAACTGCAACTGTAAATGATATGCCTTCCACTGCTGCTCTGTGCACAAATTAGGAGTGTGTTTCATTTTTCACAAAATGACCCTGATTCCCAAAATTATTACCCAGAGCAACTAGATATAGACTTACAACGCTGTCCTGTGCCTGTTGACTTGCCTGCCAGTCTTCTGCATTTTTCTTCTTTGCCCTTTGGTTGGCAACTGGGGGCCAGGTAAGCAGTGCTTGGGTAGTAGGATTTGACCCAGGGAATTCTAGCAGCTGACCCCTAATCGCACTAAGGACATCACATTAAAATATATTTATGTCTTGCTTTTTTCACGTGAGTGGCTTTTCTTCTGGAGATGATCTCTTGTATTTTAATCTCTCTTACTCTCAGCTATGCTTTCTTATCAGGGCTATGTTATTTATTTACTTTGACATTTATATACTGCTTAATCATTAGCATTTCTAAGTGGTGTACATAAAAATAAACTATGCAGAGAATAAACAATTAAACCTAAACACTACCATAAAATGCCTGCTGGAATAAGAAAGTCTTTGTCACTGTGCACCTGAAGTTCAGAAAGGAGAGTGCCTCTCTATAACGGTACTTAATGAACTTTCACTTGTAATACTAAAAAAATAAAATTACCTAGAGAAGAAGGTCAGCAACCTCTGTGTAATTTTTATAGATCTCTGGGTTGGACAGCATCTCTCCGTGGCTCCCCCTCATAGAAGAGTGGCTACCAGAAGTGATGATCTTAGTCTGTGACAGAGTCTCTGAAAATGGTAAGGCAACAAGGCCAAGGCTTTGGGAGGGTGGGCATGACTGTTCTGGCTGGGGTTGATGGGAGTTGAAGTCCAGAATGCATGGCAAGAACTGGGTTGGCGAACGCTGCTCTCCATCCTAGTAAGATAGCACGGTTTGTGATCATGTGCTGAATGCTGACCCTGACTGTGTATTTATATCCCACTTTTCTTCCATCATGGGACTCAAGAAGACAATTTGAGTTCTGCGTCAGCTGCATTGATCAGGTTGTTGAAAGTCCCACCTTCTGTTCTGCAGTTTCCAGCCTTTAATGGCAGTATAAATTAGTTTAAGTGTGATAATATATGATGGCAAGAACAAGTTGCCCATATATAGCTTCTAGGACAAAATAAGAACCTTCCCCAAGGCATTCCATCCAAGGAGCTCCCAGTACTGTGGTTCTAATGTGGCTGCAAAAGGAAGTGCATCTATTGTTGGCAAAAACCAGATTCCGTTTATTTTAGGCATCAGCCGACAGAAAGCGCAAGAGTGGTGCATCAAGCACGGCTTTGAGTTGGTGGAGCTCAACCCGGAAGAGCTGCCAGATGAGGACGGTGAGTTTCCCTCCACTTCCTCCTTCCATGAAGTTAACTTTGCTACCTGCCTGCCAGGTTTTTGCCTAGATTTCTTAGATTCTTATTTCTGGGCACGCTTCTTCTCTAGCTTCTCTGCCTGCACTGGTGCCGTCTGTTGTTGGTGACAGACACAGCACCAGAATTACGAATCAGCATTGTACCTTGTGCCATGGCTGCAAGCTGCCTGCCGGTGCTTTAGGGACATAGGATGCTGCCTTATACTGAGTCAAACCAATAGTCCATCTAGCTCTATATTGTCTACATTGACTGCCATTGGCTCTCCAGAGTTTCAGACAGGCAGTATTTCCCTGTCTTGCCTAGAGAGGCTGGGGATTGAACCTGGGATCTTTTGCATGCAAAGCGGATGCTTTGCCATTGAGCTACGGCCCTTCCCCATGAAACAGCATGCCACATCATAATCTCTTTCCTAGTTTTAAAAATTGCTGGTTTAGAGCCCAGTGGGAAAATTTCAAGGTGATTCATCAGTTTAACAATAAAATTGAACCAGCTAAATTGTTCCCAGTCTTTCGATGGCATCACAGTTTCTCTGGCTTCTTTTGACTCTGTGCAGGAGAAAATCTGTAGACAAATGCTAAAGGCGATCAGACAGAAGTTATTGGTTGGTGTTCCTTTCTTTTTTTCTTTTTTTAACCCTTCTTCATTGATTCCAATTTGAAAACTGAGCTAGAGCAAAAGTCAGCTTTGACAGAGAGTAACAGCTGGCTGAGAACTCAGTATTACATTTTTCATCTTTGTTCCAAGCTCTTTATTTGCATCTCACTCTCCTCCAAAGGTTCAGGATGGGTAACACATTTTGGAGTGTAAGTTGAAAGTGAGAGTGATATTATGCACCTTAACCAAAGAAAGTCTGTGTCGTTTTGGGAAATTGAATGAATATATGTTTATCTGCTGAATATCTGAGAAAGTTCCCCAGAATTTACAGAATGGCTTTAAAAAATAAGAAACAGCAACATTATCACAGGCTTCTTTGTGTGTTTAAATAAGTGCACCCAGAATTCCTAACTAAATTAAGAGATTAGTGCCTTCTTCCCAGTTTCTTAATCTGTTGATTGGTTTCTGAAGAAGCCTTTTTAAAAGCACGTTTCCTTTCCCCTCTCTGCTTCTTTAGACGACTTTCCAGAATCGACAGGAGTGAAGCGAATCATCCAAGCCTTGAATGCCAATGTTTGGTCAAACGTGGTGATGAAAAATGGTACGTCATTTTCGGTCTGCTTTTTAAAAATGTTGTCTCTTCCTCTATATAGCTTCCTCTGCTCTCTCACTGCTTTGCTCTCACTGCTTTGCTCAGGCTCCTCTTCACGCCTTCATTCTGTGTCAGAATTTGCACTCGAGGCTTATGAGAAATTAAAGCTCATTCAAGCAGAGCCCTGGCAGCCGAGCCACCAGCCTCAGCTCGCTCTAGCCCCTAGAACTAGAAATGAAGCTCCCTCTGGTGCTCTGTGCTTCACTTCTATATTTACAGCCTTCCATCCCATCACAGAGCAATGGCTCGGAGCACATCTCCTTAAACAGGGTCTGAAATGGTCTGGGTTGCAGGAGGCACCTGGCTGGACTGATTCCCCAGCTGCTTGGAACTGGATGCATTTCCCTTGCAAGTGAAGAGAAACAAAAAGTTCCTGGATTGGTCAGATAACGTCACCTGTTTGGACATATAATTACATTTGAGATTTGATACTAGCCGGAAGTAGTGTTGACACACTGGATTGTCTTGTTCCGTATTCCTTTCCCTTCTTCTTTCTTCTTATATTCACATTCATTCACATTTCTATCTTGCTTTTCCTTAGGGCGATGTACCTCATTCTTCCCCTCTCAGTTTTTCATCACAATAACCCTGTGAAATTGTTTAGGACAAGAGTGTGACAGATCCAAGGTTGCTCAGGGAGCTTCGTGGCTGTTGGGATTTGACCCCTGGTCTCTCCCAGCTCCTAGTCCAGCACTCTGACCACTGCACCACCCTTTCCATTGTGTTTTCTCACCTCAAAGATTTCTGGGTGGGCAGGGGTGAACTTGTGTGGAGATTGACCTTGGGGTTTTGCATCCCTGTATCATGCTGAAGGGACGCGGGTGGCGCTGTGGGTTAAACCACAGAGCCTAGGACTTGCCGATCAGAAGGTCAGCGGTTCAAATCCCTGCGACGGGGTGAGCTCCCGTTGCTCGGTCCCAGCTCCTGCGAACCTAGCAGTTCGAAAGCACATCAAAGTGCAAGTAGATAAATAGGTACCGCTCCAGCGGGAAGGTAAACGGCGTTTCTGTGCGCTGCTCTGGTTTGCCAGAAGCAGCTTTGTCATGCTGGCCACGTGACCCGGAAGCTGTACACCTTCAGCCAATAAAGCGAGATGAGCGCCGCAACCCCAGATTCGGTCACGACTGGACCTAATGGTCAGGGGTCCCTTTACCTTTACCTATCATGCTGAATACATGACAGCTGAGACTCTGTGCTTTGAATACTCCACCCTCCTTAGTTCCATAATAACAGAATGAGCCATCAATGGTATCAAGAGCACATTTGCTCATTTGGGGGAATGCACAAGGCTAACCACTTGGTGGCTTCAAGGTGGGAGTTTTCAGACCTCCTTTCTTTAAGTTGGCACTCACAGATGTTAACACGTCACAGCAGAGCAAACTCTGTAGGACTCCACCGGGGAGGGAAATTTCCCTTTGATTGCACAGATGGTTACAAAAAACTCAGGGGGCTTCTGAATTTAACTTCAGTGTGGCACCATTGTAGCAAATGGCAGAAGAGGTGCCCCGACCCTTGTAGCGCAGGGGAAGCCTGCTTGGGAAAGTTGTTGTGTCTTCCCCAGAGAGCAGCCTAGTTACTGGGCAGACATCTCTCTCTAGTCGTGGCTGGTGGCTTAAGCAAAATGAGGGGTGGGTGGAGGTTAGAACTCACCTCTAGCCCAAGATGGTTCTTGCATAGGAATTCTACCCCTGGTTATCCCTTATCCAACCCTAGATCCACAGTCACAGCCTTCTCCCATGATGCGTATGTCAGTCAGCTGATCAGCAGCTACACGAAGCTCCTGCTTATGTTTTTATACAGCGAGCCCACCTCACACACAAAGTGATACAGGAAGGGCTTCTGCTTCCCCCTCGGAACTGGCATCACTTCAAGTGTTAAACTCACAGCTCTTTCTTTTCAGATGTGAATCAAGGCTTTGGCTTCCTTCCTGCTTTAACGGGCACAAGTCGCAGGCTTAGGACAGAAGAAAACGAAGCTCCAGAAGTAAACAGTAATTTTTAAAAATCCTTTTTTTTAATTCTCCTTGCCTCCTCCACCCAAAAATCCTTCTTTGTCCATTCTTTCTTGCACTCCTGTCCCCTTTATCGCAGCTATGAGCTTCCTTTGTGGGTTAAATTGGTCAGTTTACAGGTCCATAACTTAAGCTTATCACAGCCATGAGGACTAGGAATTTAACTTGCTCTTTACCTTTTTAGAAAGCCCCAAACACCTCAGATTCCACGGATACTAAATTCTTTGCCCAGTACCAAATCCTGCTCTGTTCTTAGCAGTGGGGAACAAAACCAGTCCTGTCAGGGCTTGTGGGAAAATTCCCTTCCACGTTGGTCTGGGACTTGTGGCCTGTGAAAGCCAGAAGACCAGCTCTCTTGTTGCCTATGTTGTATCTAATTTCATTTCTCCCTCCCCACCAGCCTGATCCCTTGCCAGTGGAGAGAGCTGTCGATGCAGGAGAAGACGTGGCTGATGCAAACAGCCAGCAAGCTGACCCCGCTGCTGGTGAGGAATTATCTTTTCTTTGGGAGAAAACAGCAAGCAAGGCCAAACTTCTTGCTGGGAGCAGCTAGGGCTCTGCCCCTCCAGCAAGCAGCTGGCAGGTCACAGCTTCCCATTTGCCCCAATGCTGTGGGCTGAATTTGTTTGAATTGGGGGGTGTCTTTGGGTCCACCCCTTTGCTTGGTGCAAATGTATATGGTCAAAATCAGGCATAGGCAAACTCGGCCCTCCAGATGTTTTGAGACTACAGTTCCCTTCAACCCTGACCACTGGTCCTATTAGCTAGGGATGATGGGAGTTGTAGTCCCAAAACATCTGGAAGGCCGAGTTTGCCTATGCCTGGTCTAAATCCACTTAGCTTTTCTTTAAATTTCTTGATGCAAATGTAACAAACAGAGGAGACGCCTGATGTTGGCTGCAGCTGCTGTTAGTAATTGCCATTCAGTGATATTTGTGTGTGTTTAGTGAACTGGCTTTTAAAATGGGTTTTATGTATTCTCATTTACTTGTTTTTGTTGCAAACTGTGGCTTAAAAATTGTTGAAAGGAAAAAAAACAGCACCAGCTCATATTATTTTTTATATATATATATATATATATATATATACACACACACACACACACACACACACACACACTCATACATATACATACATATATATATATATATATATATATATATATATATATACACACAAAATCAATCCTGACTTGTAGATTAATATAGGTAGTCCATATGTCCAAATAGATAGCCAAAGGAGATGGGCTGTAAATGTGGATATACATTCATTCTGCTCTTATGATTCTTACAGATCCTATGCTCGATATGGATATTCAAGAGCTTGCAAGCCTCACTGCAGGAGAGGGAGACCTAGAGAACTTTGAGCGATTGTTCTCTAAGCTGAAGGAAATGAAAGGTACTGCCCATCTTGTGTATGACACAGTCTCTTGCAAGCCTTTCTATTTGGGCCAGCAGTTCTTGGCCACAAGTGAAGTTTCCTATTTGTTTTTAATCGGGGAGTTAAGATTTCAGTATAGATTCTACTCTGCTTTCTGTTTTCTAGTGGTGGGTAAAACTCTCCTTGTCAGACTTAAGGGCGGAAATGTTTTCTAAAACTAGAAAGAAAGTTTGGTTTTAATCTGAGCTTGCTTCATCCCCAGTGATGTCACTGAGAGGGCGGTAGAATCTGACTCTTCCTCCTTGCCACTCTTTGTAGCTTTTGCAACACAGTCATACCTCACATTGTGTCCGCTTCAGGTTACGTGTTTTCGTGTTGCATCCTGTGGCAACCTGGAAGTACCGGAATGGGTTACTTCTGGGTTTCACCGCTCACACAGAAGCACTAAATTGCACCACATGCATGCACAGATGCGGCACTTTGGCTTGCGTCAGTTCCATGTTACAGACGGGCCTCCAGAACGGATCTCGTCCATAACACGAGGTTCCACTGTAGTGACAGCAAAGGAATGAAGTAAGGTATCTCCTCCTCCTACAGAGAAATGCAAGTGGCCCTAGGAAAATTGAATTTCCCAGTACTCCTTGCACCTGGCACACTGCTATACAGTGGTGCCCCGCAAGACGAATGCCTCGCAAGACGAAAAACGCGCAAGACGAAAGAGTTTTCCGTTTTTTGAGTCGTTCCGCAAGACGAATTTCCCTATGGGCTTGCTTCACAAGACGAAACGTCTTGAGAGTTCTTGCGAGTTTGTTTCCTTTTTCTTAAAGCCGCTAAGCCGTTAATAGCCGCTAAGCCGCTAATAGCCGTGCTTCGCAAGACGAAAAAACCGCAAGACGAAGAGACTCACGGAACGGATTAATTTCGTCTTGCGAGGCACCACTGTAACAGCATCTCAGGCATGGAGGGGGAGAGGAAGGATGCGGCCTGCCTCCTATTACCTTGTTAGCACAGTAAAGGTAAATGAGAGGTTTAGGAGAGCAAAGATGGAGGATTAAAAGCTGATCCAGAGATGAATATTTGGCCTCTCAGTGCTATTTTTATGCTTGAGATGAGCTTTATGTGCTATCCAGATTCTTATTTCTCATTCAGGAAATATGTATTTTGGGTGCATTGCTGGTTTGGTATCTGGTTCTTCAGCAATGAAAGAACCAGTGCATATTTTCTATTTTCAGGCTGGTCCCTTTTGTGTAGTTTTCTTTCAGCTTGGCCAGTTCTCCCCCCAACTGGAGAAACACCCTTCTGCTTTTTCTTGACTCTTGACCAGTTTTGACTGTAACTTTCTTACCTTTTCATTCCTATAGAAAAGGCTGCCACGCTGCCACACGAACAGAGGAAACTGCATGCAGAAAAGGTGAGGATTTCAGAAGAGCTCAAAACTGCCCTTAAAGAGCCATTCTTAGCCAGCATTTCTAAGTAGAAATTGCACTGCAAGCATTCTAAGCCAAAAATAGCCTAAATCAACAATTTTTTTTTGGGGGGGGGGAGCTTTGGTACTTTGGCTCATTGGCATATTATCAACTAGATTCTAGTGGCCTCGCCTTTCCCGCAGTTAGCGAAAGGAGACTTTATGGAAACCTGCTTAATTTGGTTTATCTTTAGAGAGAATTTTAATGTTGTTGTGTTTGAGACCACACATATTGGCCCTTGTGTACTTAACAGAGGACATCCACTCTTAACCATGGGTGTGTAAATGAGAGATGGTTTCTAGGACCCATGTACCTATGGGACCGCCTCTCCTGGCATGCCCCGCGGAGGACCTTAAGGTCCACAAATGACAACACCTTAGAGGTCCCAAGTTGCAAGGTAGTTAGATTGGTCTCAACTAGGGCCAGGGCCTTTTCAGTACTGGCCCCGACTTGGTGGAACGCTCTGTCACAAGAGACTAGGGCCCTGCAGGACTTGACATCTTTCCATAGGGCCTGCAAGACAGAGCTGTTCTGTCTGGCCTTTGGTTTGGATTGTCTGACCCTTATGTTTCCCTCCCCTTATGGTTTTGATCTATGGGCTACTATTAAAATGAGGCTGCATTTTAAGTTATATTTTATCTTGTATTTTAAATTGGTATTTTTTTTAAAAAAAAAAATTATTGTAATTTTATTGGTGTTAGCTGCCCTGAGCCTGGCTCTGGCCGGGGAGGGCGGGGTATAAATAAAATGTATTATTATTATCATCATCTGCTGCAGGAGTGTGGCCGTCTCCTGAGATTTTAACTTGTCTTGGTAACTCTTGAATTGTAGGTTGCCAAAGCATTCTGGATGGCCATCGGAGGAGACAGAGATGAGATCGAAGGCTTGTCTTCCGACGAGGACAACTAAGGCCTGTATGTTGTGACGAGGATTGTTTCTTGCGTACCAGCCATTGTTGGCTGCCATAGCGATTTTTCTTTGACGAAAGGCCTAGTTTTTTGCATTGGGTGCAGCAGCGGCTGGAGAAAGACCGACTCCTTGCTCAGTTCCCACCCACTGAAATGTGGATGGCCCCGTTGTTTGTTTCCTTGCCTGGATCTGTCGACGGGAACCTGGGAGCTATCAAGTCAATGAAGCAGCAGATGTGTTGCTGTTGCATCTCTGGAAGAAAAGAAAAAATCATGCTCCCTTCCCAACCCCAGCAGAGAGCTGTAAAACATCTCTTTGTGAAACACTCATTTGTGTACTGTTTACCGCCACACATGCACATCTTTTTATTTGCCGTCATTTCAAAGGAGAGACCAAGACCAAGGGCAGGGGGTGAGACAATAATCAGCAAGCCTTTGTTAGTGGGATGGGGGGGGAGTGATATTTCTGGATGTACTTGTACATGATGGGAAAATTTGAGACCAAATGGTACTCGCACAGGCTAAAATGCTTTTTGAATATTTATCAACTTTTTGTCATCACAATAGGCATGAGAAAGGTATGGTTTGAAAATGTTCCCTCCCTGTTCTATCCCCACCTCCAACCCCAACCCCCCAATTCCTCTTATGGCAGCTGAAAATGTAGGTGCAGCAGTAAACAGGCAGGAGAAAGGCTTGCGCAGTCCTTTAGTATTTTATAAGCCCAGTTTCCTTGCCCTGTGTACCAGCTCCCAGTAACTGGGCAAGGTGAATGAAGCTGAGTGTGGAAGATTGCAACCCCAACAACTCCATTAAAGAAGGACAGCTACTTCTGCAGTTTCTAGGGCAAATGATGGGAGCATCTTGCTGCTAGAGATGGGGGCAGGTGGGAGAAGAGAAAGAGGGTGCCCAACTAAGAGGCTTGAGGACCATAGCTAGTCTGTCTGGCTCTCATTTCACTGTAGTAGCGTATGAATGAGTGTGGTGCCCACCTCCTTCCAGAAAGCAGGGTTAGAGTGTCACTGTAGTCAAGAGTTGCTACATGTATGGAGATTTTCCCGATTGCTGCCTTCAAGTGTAGCCACTTGGGGTCAAAAGCTCTGTGTGCAATCCCCCGGGAGAGGGGAATTTTATCTCTGACCAAGCAATGGCAGAATATAGGATTAAATTCACTGCAGCAAAGGAAGAATTAAACTGCTTTTGGTGCAAACAAAGTGTGGATAGAAACAGCATAAAACTTGAGTTTGCAGAAGCACCGGCGTTTCCTTTTCTGCTTTTGAAGTAAACGAAGGCCACAATCCACTGATATTTCCCTGCATAAGGGAAAGCCTTGGTTGGTTTCTTACTCAGCATCATTTTATCACCGGGGTGGGGAGGGGCTTATGCAGGGGGATTTCCCCCGTAGATGGTGATCTAGACATTAATGGGAAAACCCACAGTGAAAGCCTAGTGTACCTCTTGTGTTTCTTTTGTGAACTGTAAATGGGCTGAATAAAGTTTGTTATCCATGAGCAGTAAATCTTGAACCCTGGCATTATAGACAGTGAGGAATAGTTTAGGGTCATAAACTAAATACTGTATTTTTCCGTGTATAAGACTATGTTTTTTGCTAAAAAAATTGGGTGTCTTACATACAGATAACGAATGCAGAGGGGGGACGTGCAATTAATGGTAGCAAGAGATTGGCTGTGGTGTGCGGGCAGACGATTGGCAGCTGCGGCAAGGTGTGCGATTGGCAGTGGCTGTGGCAAGTGATCAGCAGTGGCGGGTGAGTGATTGGTGGAAGTGACTCCCCCACCCCCCAAAAAAGCTAAACAACTTAATTTCTTAATTTTGGGTTTAAAAAATAGGAGTTGTCTTATACATGGACAAATGCGGTAAGCCTAACTATTTGCGTAGCTTTCTTTTGGGAAAAATATGTCATGCCCCAGTATATTGAAATTTCAAAAGCTAGTCACAATTTCATTCAAGCAGCATCTGGAGGGCCACAGGTGAACTACCCTGATCTGTTGTGCATAATAGGACCTCCCACCCCCAGGATCACAATGCCCATGGCAGAGGAAGGCAGCTAAGGCTACCATTAAGTTTTTATAAAACAGAAGGGATGGTTCTGTCTGACCAACCTCTCATTTGAATTACCTGCAGAATCATGCAGGGTGTTCATTATGCATGAGGGATTATTAAGCAACCTGCAGTTCACTATCAGCTCACTGCAGATAGCTTTCGTCAAAGGTGCCGCCCCCATAACTGATGTAGGTGTTATTTTAATGCAAGTACCCTTTTAAGAAGCGATCATTATAGATTTAACAACCAGAACACACACACCCTGGGGAAAAAAGAACTGTACAAGTTGCATATAAGAAATAAGAGGACATGGATATTACAGGCTTTTAATAAAAATAAGCTTAATAAGCTAAAGACCCATAGATGACAAGCAAAGGTTCATTAATACATAATCCTCAGGTATAAAATAGAGAAAAAGCAAATACTGGATGCAGACCAGATTGCAAGAGAAACACTTTTTTCAAGGAACTGATTGCTGAGCTACCTCCATCTAAAGACAGAAGATGCTTGAAGAACACGGCAGTCTCCTGAAATGAGCAGCTACTGATTGCAGGGGAACAGAGGTGGAAAGGCAAACCATACTATTTACTCCATATATGTTTCACTGATGATAATAGTAATTAAAAAAACCCCCAAACCATTTCAGGCTCTGGATACTTGAAAGCATTACAAGTAACAGCTCATCCATCTGAAGGTGTTAACCACTAACGAAGCAGGAGAATGCATACACAAAGCAGCCTTTACCAATGTGGGGCCCTCCAGAGGATCTGGGACTACAATTCCCATGAGCCCCAGCCAGCATAGCCATAGAGTGATGGGGTTGATGGGAGTTGTGGCGCAAAGCATCTGGAGGGCACCAGGGTGGCATAGTGACCCAACCACTGTCCATTTCAATAGTTCTCAATTCTAGCACATTGAAAACGGAGGGTACCTAATACCACTCAGTGTCTTGTACCAAAAATTATATACCACTTAATCAAACACAACATAATAGGGCTGGTGGGCGGGGTGGGGGTGGTGTTTACTGTGGGCATGATCCAGCCAAACATTAAGTACGTTCCCCGCTAATATAATTGGGAGAGATTAGTCATTCACTTAACTCTCCCACTGCTATCAGTGGGCTGTAAAAGTGCTTAATTTCGGGCTGGATAGGGGTCTTTTTTACTTTCCAAATCCAGCTCCATCAGGTGGTTGTATTTTAAGCACAACCCCCTCCCCCCACACAAATGAAATTCTCAACTCTTCAACCCCAAAATGTCCTTTTTGGACAAATTTAAATACCTGGTCCAATCTTGACTACTGAAAGAAGTTACATAAATATGGAAATCTATAAAGCTATATTAACAATTTTAACCCTGTGGCTCAAACTGGACTACTCTACAAAAAGAGAGGGGGGGGAGGGCTAATAATGTCTCACTCTACCCTAGAAAAGTTATAAGTTAGGATATTACCACTGGTATGTTCCCTATCACACAGGACTGCTAAAGCCCCAGGAGCGAGAGAGTCTTTTGTAGTTATCATCCCGTTTGCACCAAAACCTGCCATTAGGTGTAGGTAGGTAGATTCAAGAGTTTCCCCCCCAACTTTTCATAACGCTCGGCTTAAACCAGCCTCTTCCAGGCCATTCCTCCATCTTCTAACACACTGCCTTTTGTCGAGGTGCCCTGCCAGCCGCAGACCCATTTTCCAATCCCTCCTGCAAGTGATTGCTGCTAGTTAACATTTGATCGCACAGGCCTTAAAACTCTACAGCAGCTTCCGTGGACCTGGTAGCCTCCTCCGTGCTGGAAGTTGGTAGTCCAAAAGCAGCTGGAGGGCAACCAGACTGGGGCGGGGGAGAGAGTCTTCTCTACAGTAAGCTAGATGCAAAATAATACACATTGCAACTTGATTCAATACGTTAATTAAAACGAAAAACAGTTTCATCAGTCAATCACACACACACACACAAATACACACACATCAGTCAAGGCCACCTGGGTGTGCCGGCCAGCAGCCATGTTAAAGAAACACATGTGTAAGAGTCAAAGACCCAGCTAGTGACTCAATAAACCAGTTAACAAGATACCAAAAACTCCTTGCACAGAGGCTGAGGAGTACAGCTTAAAAAAGAGCAGATTCCAGTATGGGTACACGTATAAATCTAATAGCATACACTAGTGCTACATATCAAAATCCTGTACAAGTTAAAAATATTTTTCTTAAAAGCCACATAATCACAGTCACCCTTTTGGCATTTGGGGGAAGGGGGGGCAGAGCTTAATTGGAGCCAGGGCCCAGCCCCAGGAACCAAGGTGAAATGCCAGGAGCGTGTGACATCACTGTAAACAGGAGGGTGCCTCTGAGCATGCGCGGAGTTTTATTTGATGGAGCCTCTCTCTTTGCAAATTAAGCATGGCACATGGAAGTTACAGGCTACATTAAGCAAGGCCCAAGTGCTTTATGATTCCCTCTTAATTAGTGTCAACAAAGAAGCATATTTAAGACAAATGGGGGCAGAGAGTAAAGACTAGTAGAAGGAAGGAAGTTCTCCACAGCAGCCCCCCATGTGGCCACAGCCCTGCTCCTAGCACATGGTATCTCCCTTCATTGCAGTGGATGAGGTGGACCTGTGGACACCGCAAGACAGGGAAAAGGGGGTGGGGAGCAACTAAAAACAAAAGTTTATAATGTGGGCAATACTGAACAATAACCTTGCACTTCATCTGACCATCTGGACCAAACTACCACTTAAGTTGGGCAAAGCTCTTCTACAAAGTAACATATACCCAGCTTTAGGGCTTGTTGGCTGGTTTAGTATAAAAATAAACATCTGTGCCACTCAAAACCAAATCAGTACTGTGTGACATAATTAAGACGCTAGTGATGTGCGGCTCCAGCCAGAACAAGGAGATTGCAAGGCTGGTGGCTTTTTACACAGAATCATAGAACTGGAAGGGACCCCAAGGGTCATCTAGTCCAACCCCCTGCAATGCAGTAATCACAGCTACAGAATCCCTGACAGATGCCCATCCAACCTGTTTAAAAACCTCCGAGGAAGGAGATGTCCTTGCCAACACCCTCTTGCTCTGGGAGTGACAAGCCTGGGATTTGAGGAGCTATGCAACAGAGCATCTAAGGTGACATTTTAACCTGCAGAAGAGGATTTGCAAAACATGCATAGATCAGTGTCGTCTGTAGAATAAGGAAGCCCTGGCAGGCACGGAGGGCAGGGAAACGGGACTCTTCTTGCTATGGTGCTGCCTGCCAGTCTCTCCAAAATAACCACAGCTGAAACACAGGATGTCATCCTCCTTGCAGCCATTTCTGGTTCCTTCCTTGGTCCCATTGCGCACAAGCCCTTTTCACCTGCAGTGAGGCACAATGAGAGGGGGAGAAGGTCCACAAGGGGAGTGTGGTGAGGGAAGCTATAGCTGAGTCCCCCGTTTTGCAGCTCCTCTTCCTAACTGCTATCTGGCAAGGCACGAGGGGTCTCTGGAACAAGGTACTATGGATGCAATTCGGAGGAAGTTAAGTGCACTTGAGTACATTTGCCTGGATTCCACCTTATATCTAGAAACAAAACAAAACAAACCTCACTTTATTAAAAAGCTAAATAGTCTAACTCGGGAGGCGTGCATATCTATTATGAAAACAACAGTTTATAGTGCAGAAGTTTATAGTGTAGCGTGTAATCGTGTAAAACGCTTGGGGCGAAGGAACCCAGTTCAGTGGCAGAGCATCTGCTGCCATGCAGAAGGCCCCAGATGCAACCTGGCATCCCCCCAGGTAAGGCTGGGAGGCATCCCTGCCGGAAACCCTGGCAAGCGGCTGCCAGCCAGTGCAGACAGTACTGACTTGGTATAAGGCAGTTTCCTATGTCGAGAAAATGGGGGGGGGGAGGGAAATGCTGTAATTTTTAATTCTACCATTTGGATATGAGGCAGATTAACCACATCTGTCAGAAACCATTCCACGCCCCCATTGGTTTCAGTTGCATGTCTTGCATTCTGATGAGACTTGATAAATAAGAAAGGGGGTCTCCCTCCATCAGACGTTGAAACTTGGAGGGACATGTGAAGAGGAGCATCTCCAGTATGGGAAACAGCACAAATCTCTCTCACGCACAATCATTTGCTGGGCGTTATGGAGTGGGAAGCCTTCCTTGGTAGTGAGTGTGTTCATGTGGCACGTTTCACATGAGGAAAGAGGCACAGGAAGGCTTATCAAACGTGCTTGGGGTATATGCAATTTGTCTACAGAGAAGAGAGACCTAAGAAGGAAACTGAGTGTGTGTGGATCCTCGAAAAGCTGATGAGATGAATGTGTGTATGCTAGAAGGTAGATTTCTGAATTTTGAGGTTTCCTCTCCCTTGCTAATCGTTTGTGAATTAAAATGGGAGTCTGCATACAAAAGGGACAACAAACATTCCCCCAATGGCAGAGTATGTACAAACGACAAATCCACAAAGACCACACCATCCAGTTATAAATGGGGGAGGGTCCCAAGCTCCATGGTCGAACATCTCTGTAGTTCAATCCCCATCATCTTCAGAAAGGGCTGGGAGATAACTTTGCTTGAAACCCTGGAGAGTTAAGCAGTGTAGACAACACAGAGCAAGATGGACTAATGACCTCACTCAGCATTAAGGCAGCTTCCTATGTCCCTATGTTAGCAGGTACCAGACCCTACAGGCATTTAAGCATATGTGACACAGACTACGAAGTAAAGTGGTACCTCCGGTTACGATCTTAATTCGTTCCGGGGGTCCATTCTTAACCCAAAACCATTCTTAACATGAGACTTTCGACATGCACTTTCATTAATGGGGCCTCCTGCTGCTGCCGCACCGCCGGCGCGTGCCTTCTGCTCGCATCCCGGGGCAAAGTTCGCAACTAGGGGCATCTACTTCCGGGTTAGCGGAGCTCGTTACCCAAAGCACCCGTAAGGAGGATGGTACGTAACCCAAGGTTCCACTATAGTCCCATTGAACTTAGTGGGACTACTTTGTTTTCTGTGTGTCACATATATCTGTGTCTACAGGGCAAATAACAGTAGATGAAAAGAAAGGAATTTCCCTGATCCAGGAAGTTGCCCATCCATTCTGTAATGGCTTGTTGAGCAAAAACACCTCGAGCAAGCGCAACACCAGTAATCAGGGTGCACCTGGCAATTATATTTCAGTAACAAACACAGCTGGGCTAAAAATAATGATCCTCACGGTCCCGATTTCTGTTACTGCCAAGACTGGGCTGTCCATTTTGACAAAGGGCCGCTTATCTGGTTCTTGTGTATTCCCATTAACAGCAATGGAGCTTTGTGATGGTTTGGCTCCTCCTAGATTCGACAAATACCCAACCAAATTCAATATGTGAAACAGAAACGGCATCTTCAAACCAGCATTTACAGATATTTGGAAATCCACTATGCTGCAAAGGCAGAAAATCTATTTAGCACATTTTAAGCAGCTACTTGAGTCATCTTACAGTGGCCACAAGGTGTCTCAAATAGGGTTCTCAAGAGGAAGGTAGCCTTTAGTCATTAAAAATATTTTCACTACCTTCATCAGAGTAACAGCTCAATGACAGGTGCTTTAAGTGCTGCGCTGGGCCTCTTGCAAATCATCCTAGAACTGGGAGATTTAACCGCCTGCACATTCCCCTGTACCTGCAACAGGTCTTAGGTCTTGGCTGGGCACTGGTAATCTCACATTTCTTGATTAGTTCATATTGATTACCACACACTGCTTTTGCCCTCGTCCAAAATGCTGACCAGAACATAGAGCACTGAACAGACACACACCTGCCATTCTACAGGGCAGGAAGAATGTATGATCTATTTACAGCTCCTTAACCACTCTAAGAAGCAAAAGCTGTCAGTCAAGCAGTCTTGGTCAGATGCACATTTCTTACCAATTGCAGATGCTACCTGTCCTTGGCAGAGGAGCATATCAATTTATACAGGACCAGGGCTACCAATGGGCAGTGCCACAGCCTTGGCTGAATCTGCCCTGGGCCATTTATTATTAGCACCTCTTTTCCCTTATCAAATGAGCCTTTGACTGCCAGCCCGTTAAAACTGCTGAGCTCCCTTTCCCCCAGACTCCCCTAATGAACTTTCAGAGCCTTCAAAACAAGTTAGTCAAGGCAGCACATTGTGAGGACAACCCAAGAGTTAAATAGGTTAATGGGAAAATCGGAGGAAAATCAACAAGATCTCCCTGTGACAGAGAAGGAACACTGAAATATACACTGAAGTGGAATGTGGTGATGTTGTGCATATTACCACCTCTAAGATCATTGCAACTACAGTATAAATCAGGCCTTCAGCCACTGTAAGAAGTGAAATATCTGTAAGCTTGGAGCAATGCTGCTTCATTGAATTGCTACTCTCTCCTTACGCTTTCCTCACCATTCCTTCAAATGGTCTAACAGGGATGGGCCTGGCAGGCGAAAATGCGGGTACAGAAGCAAAAGCTTTTCTTTTTTTAAAGGAATGTAAAAGCAGTCCCTCTGCCACCCATTTCCCAAGCTGGATGTCCTCTAGTGAAGCGGCCAGGCTGGCGGTGGGATGACAGGGGACAGAGACAGACAGAAGAGGCCCTTCTCTTTGCTCTCCCCCATTCTGAGAACTGCTGACAAGGGCATCTGCGGACATCCGACGTGAGCTGCAGAACCTCTGCAAGGGAAGTCGCAAGTCTTGCTCCACTTCACTGGAACTCAAACCTGGCAGCGTGTGTCAAAACATCTTCTACCATAGTCCAAAATTTCTCTACGACTGAAGTGCCAACTGTCTGGGCCAGGTCCACGAAGCACTGCAACGGCAAAACCTCTGTTCGTTCAAGCAGCGCCAGAGCAAAATCTTTCACTGAGAGGAAGGAGCCATCACTACGTGGCATCGGGCCTCAATGTCACTAGCAAACCCTAAATGCTCGTTTTCAACGCGATCCGTAAGTTTTCTTTTTAAAAAACAAAGAGAGGTAAATTCTCAGGTGAGGGACTGACTTAGGTTGCCCTTTGCCAGGAGATTCCGCTTGCAAGTCTAGGCTTCTGCTTCCAGGCTTCTTTAAGACACGCTGGAACAGCGGATGCTGGGGGAGCCCATCTGGGTCAGGACTTTGTCTAGCCACTGTAAGGGGCCATTCAGATGAAGCTCGATCCAGCAGGGAGTGCTTGTAACCGTCTGCCGCCTAGAAATGAGGAGAAGGAAGAATGACAATCAGGGCTATGTGCTCCCCACACTAAAAATCACAAGAGAAGGTATCAAAGCTCTGCGCCAGGAATTCTGCAACCAGTACAGATTGTGTCAGTTCCAGAGCTGCATATTTTAAAGTGTGCACCCCCTTGTTCGGCTTCTACTAATCAACAGGGGCGAGGGGAGGCAGACCTGCACAGCCCCCAGAACTTGCGTGGTCTTTCAACAGCTGGGCAGCCCCCCTTTCTGCAATCTAAGGGAGGGAGACAGAAACAGGAGGTTTATTTGAGACATGGGGGGCAGGCAATGTTTCACTGGGTGGGTCTCCAACCGTGCAGACTTGACAAAGAGCTACACGAAGGTTTTAGCTGCCCCTCTGCCCACACACATGTAAGGCCCTGTCCATAGCCTTGAGGACTAGAAACTTATACTTAAAAACACAATAAAAAGGAAAGGGGTTTCTCGGGATGCCAATTTGTGTGCCAGAGTCCAAAGACTGAACCCTGTAGAGCTGTAAAGCCTCCCAGGAAGCTTTGCAGGTGTTAAGAAGCACCTCCCTTGTCTCTGCAAGCACAACCCAAAACCTATTTTGGCTACCCTGTAATTGTCAAAGAGAATCACCACACCCATTCCCAAGCCACTGACTTAGAGAGGGGTTGGGGACAGAATGGGAAGCTCGTTCTGTGCAGCTACATGGCTCCCTAAAGCACATCTTTTGTACAAATCAAAAGCCTGAAGAGCAAAAACAGCAAAGGCAAATGATTTGGGAAGCAGGGGTAGCTTTGTGCTGGGACAGAGACCCAACTAGACGCAGCAACCCTGGCGATGCCAAAGTTAACTCACTGGAGGACAGCGGCCATATCGCACCAAGAGCAAAAGGCACTCTGGACTGGAGCACCATCCCCGTATGAGAGCCAGTCCCTCCCCACCCAATGCAACCCACTCATCTGGATCTCATTAAGAGCCCTGGCCCTCGGCCAAGACGAAACACAGTCGGCAAGCAGGGAGGGAGGGAGGGAGGGAGCAAGCTGGTTTCAAAACAAAATAGACTCCAGACATCTGGAGAAGTTGAAGGGGGTAACCCGAGAGGCCTCGGCTCTGGGCTTCATCTCCAGTCACTTGCAAGGAGGAGGAGGCGGAGGAGGAGGAGGCCTGCAAAGGCGCAGCTGCAAGGAGACTTTGATGGGGAGCCCTGTCTTGAAGAAGACCAAGGAACAGGGACCCAGAATGCCCTTTAAGAATCTTCCTGGCTTTGATCCTGTCTGCACAGCACCTTCAACCAAGCAAGAATTAGGCTGTGTTCAATCCCCCACCTTTCCCCCCAGAGTTACTAGCAAGGGGGTGCACAAGCAGTAGCCATTAGCCACGATGGCCACACTCTGCCTCCATGGTCGGAGGCAGTAGTGCTTCTGAGTCTTCTCTGCTGGAAACCGCAGGAGGGGAGAGGGCTCTTGTGCTCGGATCCTGCTTGTGAGTTTCCCACAGGAACCTGGTTGGCCACTTTGAGAACAGGATGCTGGACTAGATGGGCCACTGGTCTGATCCAGCAAGGCTCTTAGGTTCTTAACTGAAAACACTCTCACCTCTCGTATGGTGCACAAAAGTTGCTTACTTAGAAATAATTCATACAATTGTGCAGTTGGAAGGGACCCTGAGCATCATGTAGTCCAATCCCCTGCAATGCAGGAATACGCAGTTGTCCCCTATGCATAGCTGTCAACTTTTCCCTTTTCTTGCGAGGAATCCTATTCGGAATAAGGGAATTTCCCTTAAAAAAAGGGAAACGTTGACAGCTATGCCCCTATGGGGATCAAACCTGCAACCTTGGGGTTATCAGCACTACACTCTTATTAACATCTCCAATCTCAGAATAGATTCCTTCCATCTCCTAGTCCCCAAGACTCCAACTCTAAACATGCAGAGCAGGGGTGATCGATGCAATGCCCTCCGGAAGTCACTGGACTCCAGTTCCCATCAGCCTCAGCAAGCATGGCCAGTGGTCAGGGAGGATGGGAGCTGTAGTCTAACACCACCTGGAGGGCCACAAGTTAGCTACCTACCCTTCCCCCCCCCATACAATGGATTAAAAAGAAGAGAGAGAAGACAGTCCCCATGCGAGATGGATTGAGCAGCTAAAACAGAAGGGGCCCTGACACTACATCACCACCAGGGCCCCAACCTGGAAAATTCAGCCATCTTTGCCTTATCCACAATGGAGAAGCTTGCAGGATTTCCTGCACTGATGTCCCCTCCCTCCCACAGCTCCCCTTTCTCAAAGGCATGTAAGCCAAGTCAGCCCCCACAAAAAAGTGAGATTTGGACAATTCCCCCCTCTTTTCTAGCCACCCCAGCACCACATACAGAGCTGCCTTGTTTTGACAGCACAACAGGACTTCGGGGCCTGCCTGTCTTAATGGATCTTGCGTTATCTTGCTGCTGGTTTTGCTTGCTAGTCTGTTTTGCTTTTTAGAGTAAGCCCCCCCCCTTTAGATTTTACTTTTGTTTTGTACAGTTGCCAGTCTCCTGCAGGCTGCCATATGTACTTTTGCAGAAAGGCAGGGTATGGATTCATTAACAACAACAACAACAACAACAACGAGGACCTGACCTGTATTCGGCCCCCCAGCCCTTGACAAAGCTCATTCGGATCGTGCACATTCTCGTCAGCTGGTAGACGGCTTCAAAGCCCTGGTTCACAGACTGGGCCAGAAGGGCAGCAAATTCCTGGTTGTTAAAAATCTTCAAGTTACAACCTGTTGAAGACAAGACCAGGGCAAATGTCAACATGCAATTGCTGAAATGTGGAGACACATGGACAGATTTGATTTTTTTATTTATTTATTGTTTTGCTGAATGAGATGTGACAACACACTCCTCCACAAGCCAGAACTTTGTAAGAAAGGCAGCAAGGGCAGTGAACACAATGGCAGGCACCATCCTGCAGACACCTGCCTCAAACCCCTTGCAAGGTCAGGAAGATGAGCCCCCTGATCGAAAGAGGAGGGAGGGGATAACCCTGAAAATGCCAGCCATAACCTTGTAATATTTACTAATAATGCAACGTGCTTATCCTCTTCCCCGCTTCCACCCCTCCCCCCCAAAAAACCCCCAACCCTGCCATTTTAACAGGAGAGGAAGAGTGTTTGAAGATTCAGGGCAGATAAAAGAAAGGACTTCTTCACACAGCACATAGTTAAATTATGGAATTTGCTCCCACCGGAGGCAGTGAAAGCCACCCACTCAGATGGCTTTAAAAGGGGATTTGGCAAATTGCTGGAAGACAATGGCTACTAGCCACAAAGGCTATGCTCCACAGTCAAGAGGCAGCAATGCTTCTGAATACCACCTGCTGGAAACCCCAGGAGGGAAGGAGAGACCTCTCATGCTCAGGTCCTCTTGTGGGTTTCCTTCTGGGGCATGTGGTTGGCTACTGTGAGAACAGGATCCTGAACCAGATGGGCCACTGGCCTGATCCAGCAGGCTCTTTTTTTTTTTGCATTCTAAGCCTGAAGTCTGCCCAGCCCAGCAGTAAATGATGCTGCAGACTAAGACCCAAATCCCTCCCCATGGAGGTTAACCTCCACCCACGCCCATTGCCAAGTGGAGACTGGGGGTGCCTGGGAGAAGAAGATGCTCTCAGCATCATGGCGGAAGCACCTGCGCTCAGTTCCGGTAGCAAGCTGCACAGTCAGTTCTTAATGCACACTAACAAACACAAAACACCGTTCACTCCCTTCGTCACCCACTCAACGTTCAGAGGAGCTCCTTCCTCCAAAGTCCAAGTTTTTGATGCACGGGCCCAGCTGCGAGCTAAAACTCCCTCTCTTTAAAAAAAGTTTCACAGCTGCTCTGGAGCGTAGGGAGGCAGGAAAATAAAAAACTTTTCCTGTCGGCTGTCAAACACATGACAGCGTAGCCGCGCTTTGCTCAGCGCCCCAACCAGATGAACTCCCAAGTCTTGGCAGGCACAGAGTTGCTGATCTAGGCACAAGCTCAGGCCAACGCCTACAGATACACACACAAGCACAGCCTTCTGATAGTGAGGTCAGAAGGCAAATGAAGGGGAAACTGCAATCCCTAGAATATATCCTGTCAAGTTCTTTCTACAAATCTGACGGTACAGGAGCTTCCCCAAGCTGGTGCCCTCCCAATGTTTGGGACTGCAGCTCCCAGTGATCAAAACACCTGGAAGGCACAAACTTGAGGAAAGCTGTTCCGAAGGACTTTGCCATGAAAGCCCAGTTAAGGAGCAAAATAAGTTCGGTTTGAGGACCTGTGCTCAAGTCCTTTCCCTTGCCTTGGACCCAAATGGAAGATTTGCAGAATTAATATCTTTGCATTGCCGCAAAAAAGGGATACTTCTTCCCCAGAAGCGGAGTGGGTGACATGGTGGGCTCTTGTGCTGGAGAAGACTTCCCCATCAATGTTGTTTGGACAGCTGCCATTGACCCATCCACGGGGGACCCGGAGAACTTGGCTGTGCTTGAAAACTGGTGAAACTTGGTCAATGAAAATTTTTCTGGAGAAGTGGATAGCACTTCCAATAAATGAGAGTTCTTGGGGCATTGGGTGCTGCACCCCAAATGCTGTAGTTTGGGTAGCATGGACACAGCCCTGCTCAGAAAGCTGGCAAGGGTTACAGGTAAGGGTTGGCACTTGTCTCCCATCCACCAAAAACAGACCACATCTATTCCTCCCTTGCAGAGTTTCAAAAGTCATGGCAGCTGGTGGATGGGGCCTTCATAGGGACAAAAGACATAGTGGCAGGCACGCAGCAACAAAGGAGGAAAGCCACTCGTGAGTTACCTGGTGGGATCTTGCACACAGTGGCCGGATGCCACCCATAGCGCTGGTTGCAGTTAGGAGACTGGACAAAAATGGCACTGTCGCTAAGGCACTCAGCAAACACCTCCCCTCCGATGTAATATAGCCTCACTCCTCTCCCTAGGAAAACACAGGGCAGCAAAGTCAGGGCAAAAGCAGTCAAAAGGCAAGGAAGGACACATTTGGAAGCAATGGCTCTCTCTCTCTCTCAAATGGCTTGGAAGCTATCCTGGGGGCACCTGCCCCGCCACTGCAGACAGACAAAATGCTGGGCTGGATGAGACACTTAGTACGTTACCCAGCATGGAAATCAGGTGTTTAAATTTTATCCCTGCCTTCCCCACCCCCCCAATAAGTCACTTGGTTGCTCATAATTAATTTTCACGGCCAGCCTCCAAGGTAGCCCAGGGTGGGTGGCCCAGCCAAATAATAATAATAATAATAATAATAATAATAATAATAATATTTTTTTATTCATACCCCACCCTTCCTGGTTTAAAAAACGGGCTCAGGACGGCTAACAGCAAATATAAAACATTGATTAAAATGCGACTTTAAAACAGCATAAAATACAACATAAAATGCAGCATCAATATCAATAAAATTCAAAAATTCAGGGGTCATTTTTTTGGGAGGGGGAACCTAGTCAGTAGACATCAAATGATCACCAGGGCTAACTGGCCAAGTTGGTCCTATTAGGGCCAGAAGGAGACCAGGGAAGAATTTAAATGTGGGGTCCCAGAAAGGGTTTCTTCATAGAAGAGGAAAGGGAAAAGGGAATAGAGGATCAGGCTAATTCAAACTGAAGGACAGGCAGAATAGCTCTGTCTTACAGGCCCTGCGGAAGGAGATCAAGTCCTGCAGGGCCCTAGTCTTGTGTGACAGAGCATTCCACCAGGTCGGAGCCATCACTGAAAAAGCCTTGGCCCTGGTGGAGGATAGTCTGGCTTCCTGTGGTCCTAACTCTCCACCAAATTCCACCACCAAACTCTCCTCGGATGCAACAAGGCAAGAGACGCTACCGATGTGTCGCCTGGTGAGCTCCACCGCTGCGTTGCGGTTGACGTTCGACAGCAACCCGAGGCAGAAGCGCTCAGAGTTTGAAGGGTCGGTGAAGCCGTCCACTGTCATGGAGGGCTGCGACGCATGGAAAGTTTCCCCGACACGCTGGTTGAGCTCGTAGTAGGAGATGGAACACCAGAAGGCAGGTTCACAGTAAGTGACTGGCTGGAGATCTGCAAGAAAGGAGAGGAGTGAAAATTTGAGAGGAGCAAATATTAATGCTTCGTTGGTTTTAAAAACTACACAACACAAAGTAATCAACAGAAAGAAAAAAGTAAAAAGTAAACAAACATTCATTCCATAATTAGTGCTTGTTGTAGGTAACAATTTGTAGTTGGTTTCCACATGACCTCCGATCCCCTCATTGTGGTTCCCAAGCTCCGTTCTTTAACTACACACTAAGCTTTGTCTCTTCTAGGTTATTTCAATTACATTGATTTTATCGAATTATCTTATTACACGCAGAAAGTCAATCCAAGCCTGCCAACGGATTTTTGTTTTTGCAATGTTCTTTTAAATAAACTCTGTACACGTCCCACTCTCTATTAAATTTTTGATCAGTAACTTCTCGAAACTTTGCTGATAATCTGGCCAGTTCTACATACTCTCACATTTTGTTTTGACAATTTAGTTTGGATGGGGTAGCATCTCCTTTCTAACCCTTTGTGATTAAAATTCTAGCTGCTACTGTAGCATACATGAAAATTCTCCTAAATTTCTTTGAGATTTCATTGCTCATTATTCCTAGCAGGGAGGCTTCAGGCTTCTTGGGGAATGAACATGTAAACATTTTTTTTAAGTTTGTTGTAGATTATCTCCCAAAATTCTCTAATTCTTTTGCAGTTCCACCACATGTGGATCATTGTGCCTTCTGCCTCCCCGCATTTCCAACAGGTGTTTGGCCTAGATCGAAACATTCTGGTCAGTTTAACAGGTGTTAAATACCACCTGTAGAGCATTTTCATGCAATTCTCTGTTAAGTCATAACATGCAGTCAGAACCTTCTTTCAAATCCAGCCTTAAACTAATTATTAAAACAAAACACTGCTTGCCTTTGCAAGACATTTCCCTGTTAGGTGCCCCACCCACTGGCTTCATATCACTGCCTAGGCCATCCCCGAAACACCTCTATGTGAATTTCAAAAAAGCCGAAGCAGCACCGTCCTTACCCAGATTGTTGTGTGCAGGGGACATTGGATTTGGAGATAAATTTGGAGAACCTGGGTGGGGAGAGAAAGAAGATACAATGATGGTAAGCTACTATCTGCCCAAGAAGAAACACGGAACCCTAGTACTGTCAAGTTGCAAGGAACCTACAGAATCATCTAGTCCGACCCCCCCTGCAATGCAGGAATTAAGTTGATACCGCTACTATAGTGCTTTTAAAATAGTGATGATATTCATATCCACAACAATCGCTTGAGGAAGTTCTTGGGCAAGTCTGAAGAAGAATTCATGAGGCACTTCTAACTGGGAGTTACCTGGGGTCCCACTGCTGCCCCTTCAGCAGGTGGGTGGGTGACACTGCTGGCACAGGGAGAGCAGGGCACCATCCTGCAGCTGAAGGTGGTGCCCGCCAGCAGATTATAGGGCAGCCAGCGGGGACTGTACTTGCTCCTTCTGCTGCCTAAAGCCTAGTGCAGTGGTGGCCAAACTTGGCCCTCCAGTTGTTTGGGGACTACAACTCCCATCATCCCTAGTTAACAGGACCAGTGGTCAGGGATGATGGGAACTGTAGTCCCAAAACAGCTGGAGGGCCAAGTTTGGCCATCACTGGCCTAGTGGGCTTCCCATGCCCAAAGAGACTGCAAGGAGGCTACCCTCTTTCTGTCTGAAATCAGAGAGCGAGATGGGGCATTTGCACCATGCTCTTCTGCCAAGAAAGGCTTCTCAAGTGGCTTACATACAGCAATCAAAACAAGAGACAGTCACTGTCTGGACAGGCTTGCAGTTCAATTTTTTTTAATGACACACAAGGAAAAAAGGACAGAGAGGGAAGAGGGACCAATAAAACATCAGACTTGGGCACCAGTTCTTAAACTGTTCTTACAATGACCAGCTGGCACAGCTCAGGGGCAGGAGGTGCCTGAAGGAGCTGGTCTTTGGGCAAAGCTGATGGACTGAACTCTGCCTTCCATCTCTCCCCATGACTGAATGGCTGATCCCAGGCGACAGCTGAGTTGCACTCCAAGACATCTGGAGCCCACCAGGTTGGAAAAGGCTGCACTAGAGGCTCACGCCTTCACCATATGGCATGGACCAAGACACCTGCTGCATGTCAGTTCCATGAGCACATGCCACTGACACCAGAGCCATTCTTCGCGTCCCCTCTACCTTTGTATTTTGCATGGGAAAGATCTGTTTTCAAATAAAGTTTTAGGAATCAAAGATACAGATAAAAAAAAAACCTATATGTTTTCCCACGCGGACAGGGCACTCCAAGGGTACATTCAAAGCCAAAGCCATTTCAAATAATTATGGCCCTGAAGGCATGCGCCGTATAGCGTTTCAGACAGACACCGACCACACAGCCAATAATTGCACACACCAATGGTGTTGGACCAAAGAGGGTTGCGCATGAGGCCTACCAGCAATCCCACGCCGGCCTCCTCCCACCTGTGTGCTTATGGCAAAAGACGATAAATGTGTCACTCATTCCCCTTTTAGAAACCCACAAGCATTCTTCAGCCCCAGCTATGGCGAGGGAGATGGCAAACGATACGTGGCAGGGGTGTTGGCGTGGATTGTCCCATTCTCTCTTTCCAACTCGCCAGTTCTCCCTTGACCAGCCCTTGTGTTTCCCCAACTTTTCCCTTCCTCTCCAGCTGTAAATGGAAAGAAGTGTGGAGCCAAGGTGGTGTAATGGTCAGAGTGTTGGACTAGCATCTGGGAGACCAGGGTTCAAATCCCCACTCGGCCCATGGAGCTCACTTGGTGTCCTTGCGCCAGTCACTGTTGCTCAGGCTAACCTAACCACGCAAGGTTGTTAGGAGGACAAAATGGAGATGGGGAAGATGCTGTTCCAGCCTGGAGGAGGTGCAGCAATCAGGCCAGATCAGGCATGATGCTGTCTCCTCAGTGCCCTGATATAGGGCTTCTGCCAGTGGGATTCCACACCTTTGACAGGCAGAACTGAGAACTGCATGCCAGAGGAGGGATGCCAACATCACTCCATGGGCATAGGCTGGTGGAGCTGTCCAGGCTGGGCAGAAAGAGATCTCTGTCCCTTCTTCCACTACTACCCTGCCCACCTCTAGGCATGATGAATCAGGGGTTTGAATGACAGCCTAAATAAATAAAGAGATATGGAAGACTCCAAGCCAGGTGGGAAAGGGGCAGTGGGTGGAATTCAGCTAGGTTTTCCCTCAAGTAAAGGTAAAGGGACCCCTGACCATTAGGTCCAGTTGTGACCGACTCTGGCGTTGCGGCGCTCATCTCGCTTTACTGGCCGAGGGAGCCGGCGTACAGCTTCCAGGTCCTGTGGCCAGCATGATTAAGCCACTTCTGGCAAACCAGAGCAGCTCATGGAAATGCTGTTTACCTTCCTGCCGGAGCTGTACCTATTTATCTACTTGCACTTTGACGCGCTTTCAAACTGCTACGTTGGCAGGATTTCCTCCAAGTAAACTCATTTAAATTAACAGACCTAACTTGGACTTCTTGAAATTAATGAACATGACCAAGTAATATGTGGCTCCATGCTACCCCCATATACAGAGTGCAAGAGACTGGGAAAGAGATCCCTTCTAAGGAGTTTTCAAACTCTGGTAGATTATTCTACTTAAAATGACAAGAGAGATGAGCACAATTCCATCAAATGTCACATATTAATTTCCAGCGTGATGTACCTGCATCCATGCTATGGTTCATCTGATGGTCACTGGTTTCTCCATCCTCACTCAGATAACCAGGAGGGGGTGTTTCTGCAAGTGGGGGGGGGCAGGGCATGGGGGGGGGAGAAACAGAGCTGTCATAAAAATCAAGCAAAATTCAGGAAATATGAGCACTTATTTATAAACAATGCTGCCCTTGTCCAATGTCTCGAAAAGAACTTTATAATCCATCACCTCTTTAGAGTAAATGCTGCAAGATCAGTAGCTACAGCTTCCCCTTTTACAGACGGGTCAACTGAGGCTTCTCTAAGGTCCAGGACTTACGAGGACCTTATCCTGAGCCCACTCTAGACTCCAGAGTTAATTTTCAGAAGACCTCCTTCCCCATGCTCCTTTATTCACTGGGAATGGAAAATGAGTTAAGACACACAGGCTCTTTCTCTCTCTGCTCGGAAGCAAGAGAAAAGGAACAAGAAGTTGAAAGCCCTGAGGCGACAACCTTCAATGCTAAAGTTACTTCCTTTCGATATAGGTAGATTGGCGACACATAGAAGCAGAAATGTTAATGTGTTCCGAGTGTCTAAGCTCAGAGGTGGGCAGAAAATAGGCCAGATTGACTGGAAGATCTTGGGGTGATTTGCTGTAGATCAAAGCAAGGATTTCCAATTCCCAGCTGCTTAGCAACATTTACTTATTTAATGACAATAGCAGCAACTGAAAAGGTCTCCCCACCCCCAACAAACCAGGTGGCTGAAAGAGAATACTCAGGCGTTAGAGGGTCACCAGACGTGGATATCTAGTTCTTAGTTCTGGTATTGATCACAAATTCCTGGATTGAACATGCGCTCAGAGGCACTTTGGGCTGAATCCAAAGTAACACTGAGTAACACACCCATCGCACAAGCAGAAATCCTTGAGTTGGATACCACCATCTGTTGCTTAATTCACAGCTCACCATTATTTTTGTACCTGGGTCTGGAAGACCTGGGGAGCGGGTGGTTCTAGTCAAAAGAGACAATGTAGATCTCCCAGGCCTTGAGCCTGATCACCTCTGGTCTTGCCAACAGAGCACCTAAGCTGTAATTCCATCCACCCAACTAAAAGGGTCCGCACACAACTTCTGTTGGGGCAAGGCATACCTTACCTGGAATGTAGTTGCTTTGAGGTTCTATGCCCGCTGGGAAGTTAGTGTTCTCTGGAATGGAGTGGCTATAATCATCCAGTGGAGGAAACTCAGCTGGGATCTCTGTATGCCTCGGAACCAATACTGGAGGTAGCACTGAAGAGGTAAGACAGCCAAGGAGCAAATGTCAGCAAGAAGTCTAACAACAAGGTCAGCAGTATTGGGTGCAATTCCTGTACAATGTTGGGTGCAATTCCACCACCTGCTCTGTCTTCCAGTGTCCTAGCCTTCTACACAAACACTAAAACAACAACAACAACAGAGGCCCGTTATAGTACCTGGTGTCTCCACTCTTTGATAGTGATACGGATTCACACAGACTTCATCCTTCTTCATGTTAAAGGCGTATTCACACATCTCCATGGCTCGCAGTTCGTGGTGGCTGTGAAGATCTGGCCACCGCCAGAGCCGGCAATAGATAACATGAGGGAGACCCTTTCGGTGGGATACCTGCAGCCGGCCATCCAGCGATCTGAAATGTTGGAAACGAAAAGGCAATATTAGAAGTGGAAAAGGCAGAGGGCTTTGGTTTGAGAGTTCTTCCCTATTGAATAAAAGAATCTTATGGCAATTAGAAGGAAATGAATCCACAGAGACAAGTTGGCTGGTTATTAATGTATCGGCAGAATGGCACTGCACTGTTGCCCATTTTGTTCACCAGCGGGGTGGGAAGAACAGGACAACCAGACGTTTTGATCTTGCTCTCCTGAAAAATCAAGGAATAAGGAATAACCACTGCACCTAGATCCAGCCTACCAGAGATTTGCTTTAGCATGTACAGCCAAGAAGGGGTAAGCAGGAAGCACATCACCCCAAGAACGAAAAAACAGGCTATTAAGCTTCTGTATTCTTGCTTGTCACTATTATTTAGGCACTCCTCTCTCTAACTCTCACACACTTACACGCATTGAATTTTTAAAGTGTTTCTCCCAACTCTCTGTACAGAACAGATTAACAGCGGGGAGGGCATTTAAAAAACACAAGAGCAAAGGGATGCAAACATTTATAAAGTAGCAGTAACAACAAAAATGCAAGGAACAGGCAAAAATTAAGATTACTCTGAGCTGGAAATCTCCGCTCCATTATTTATTTATTTTCCCTCGCATTGTACAGTTAAAGACTAAAGTATATAAAGTTTCTTAAATGATTAAAAAAACACACAGCCATGTCTGAAATGTTGAGGTTATAAAACTCTTCCCTGTAGCAAAATTACAGCTCTTGCAACATGAGACACCTTTTGCAGAAAGCTTCATAATAATTTTTGTTTTTAAAATGCACCGTGTGATTGGAAGTGAACCGCAGAGGATTCCTGGTTTAAAAGCAGAGCAATGTAGAACACTGGCAGAGAATTCCCCCAGGCGAAGAAGCCTCCAAGCACCCCTTCCATGCACTCAACAGAGGCTATTCCAAAAGAGGCGGAAACAGAACCATGGCAAACAAGGGTCTTCTAAGGAGGCCAAGCCAAGGAAGCAGGTGAAGGCAAGAATGGTGGCTTATCTCAGTCATGCCAAAATCTGTTAATCTCATTTTTCCAAGCTCCTTCTATTTCCAAACTTAAATTCAATTTTCCCCATTTCCACAACAATTCACTTTTTTTTTTAAAGTTCCCATGAAATCTCACTGGCATTTTAGTGTGAATGTCTCATAATAAACATATTTTTATGTGCAGCTTTGACCAATACACACACTTTTTGCAAGCAATTCCCCCCCAACATAATGCATTTTCAAACACACTTGTATATGCATTTTTGTACAAATTACTTGGCTGGAGAACAGCACTACCAAATTCAGAGAAGTGCAAAGTTTCAAAAGATGGCTGCATTTCAGTTTGCCTATTCTTTTTGAAAAGCACAACATTGGTTCAGCTTTAAAAAAAATTCATGTAATTTATTGAAAATCAAGACAGTATATACAACGTATTCCAAATCAGCAAAATCAGGCGCATCTTTAAATCTGAACTGAACTAAATCTCTCCCCAATCCTTACTCTCAGCTCTGCTTCACTCCCCCCCGCCTCCTGCGCCAGGATTAAAATTACAATCAAAGCCATATTCCAAATGGCTTTAAGAAGTCAGCCATCAAGGTCCAAGCCAGCACAAACACAGTGGCCAACTGCAAGTGGACACAAGTTCTGCCAACGCCCTACTGTGCCGCTTCCTTACCTACCATTTAAACAGCCTCCCCAGCACACCAGATCCATTTATTTGGGACAAAACCGATGCCAGCTGGGAAGCTTTCCCACGCCCATGGCTGACTGGCAAGAGCCCTGTTTTCCTACTCAAGCTCCTCCATGAAAGGTTGCAACGGTGGTCAGCCCCGTCCAGCATCAGCACTGCCATTTCCTGTGGCAGGAACTTTTTAAAGTTTGCTCTCATAGGCTAAAACCGAACCCAAGCAAACGTCCCAAACATCCTCCGCCCTTCTGAGCTGTGTCTGGGCAAGAAGAGATGGAGGTGGGCAGTGCTGTCTATGACACACAGGGGAAGGTGGAGCCCAGCTCAGTTATTCTGGGCTGACCCCCAACCAACATGAACTAGATGAAGGAACATAGCTGGATCTGCATTGAGAGAGAGAGGGAGAGGGAGGGAGAAGCGGGGATACACTTTGTGGGCAGGCCAAGGAGTAAGAAGGAGCTGGTCTGCCAGAAAGTGCACCCAACAGTTCCAGGGAGGGAATTGCAAGGCACCCAAGAACACCATCCATTATCTACACCTGGGCAATCACGGCAGAAGGGTTGTAGCTCTGGAGCAGCATTTCCCAAACTGAGGTCTCCAGCTGTTTTTGGACTACAACGCCCATCATCCTTAGCTAGCAAGACCAGAAGTCAGGGATGATGGGAATTATAGTCCAAAACCAGCTGGAGACCCAAGTTTGGGAAACACTGCTCTAGAGAATAAGACAAGCCTGCTGGATCAAGCCAATGGCCCATCTAAGTCCAGAATCTGGTTCTCACTGCGGACAATCAGATGCCTGTAGGAAACCAGCAAGCAGGATTCAAGCACAAGAGCCCTCTTCCCCTCCTGTGGTTTCCAGCTACTGGTGTTCAGAAGCATTGCTGCCTCCAACTGTGGCAGCAGAGTATAGCCATCCTGGCTAGTAGCCAACAATAGCCCTCTCCTCCATGAATTTGTCTAATCCTCCTTGAAAGCTGTTCAGGTGGAAGATGGTAGAGCATCTGCTTTGCTTGCAGAAGGCCCCAGGGTCCCATCCCTGGCAACATCTCCAGATAGGGCTGTGAAAGTCTCTTTTCACAAAAATCCTGGAGGGCTGCTGCCAGTCAGGGCAGACAATATTGAGCTAGGCGACTCAGCACAAGGCAAACCAACATGTGGCTACATCATTTTCTTTAAAAAGGTTCCATTGCCCCTTCCTCCCTGCCTTCCTCCTTTCATCTTCCAGGTTGTTGCAGTGAGTGTGGTTGGTGATTCAATTTCAGCATGGCAAAGACCAATCTATGCAAATTGAGAGAGAACGACCTCTCATCTCAAAAGCACTTTGGTGAGTAAGCTAATAATCCTCATTCCAGATCCACTGGAGTCGTGAGTCTCATACTGCTAAATTAAACACTCCTTTGAAAAAGAAGCAGCGATTCCAGGCATACCAATTCATTCACGTCTCAACACCCTACGTGATCCAGCAGGGAGTTTCATCAGAACAGGAAGAGAGCAGAATGTCAAGGAAATTCTCTGGCGTGCTGAAGAAGGAATTGCTTAATGCAGCCTTTGTCAACCTGGTGCACATCCACTTCAGCCAGTATGGCTGTGCTCCTATCAGCTCCCAAAAGCAGATGACTGTGCTGGTTAGGGCTGATGGGAGTTGCAGTCCAACACATCTGGAGGGAGGGCACCAGGTTGGCAAAAGCTGGCTTAAAATAAAGACAGTCAACTCTGGTCCAAGAAGGTCACCAGGAGACAGAGCACAACACTTGAATTTGCACATTGTCAGAGTACTGTTGCCTATTTGGGGAAGGGCCTTGGCTCAGTGGTAGAACACTTGCCTGGCATGCAGAAGGTCCCAAGGTTCAATCCTGGCACCTCCAAGGCAGGGCTGGGAGAGACCGCAGCCTGAAAGACTGGAGAGCGACTGCCAGTCAGTGTAGACAATTAGGAACAGAGGGAGCTGCCTTGTACAGAGTCAGCCTGTTGGTCTAGCTAGCCTAGTATTGTCTACACTGGCTTGCAGCAGCTCTCCAAGGCAGGGGACATTCTCAGCCCTACTTGGGAGATGCTGAAGATTGAACCTGGGACCTTCTGCATGCAAGGCAGATGCTCTATCACTGAGCTATGACCCTACGCCATAGTTAGGCCGATGCAGACCTAGACTGACCAATGGTCTGACTTGGAATAAGGTCAATGGATACCATCATTGTGCGGGCAAAGTTCTCCTTGGTCTGAGTTATTCCTCTTACAGAGTTCTTCTGAGTCTGTTAACAGGCCCATCCCTGCAGATTCAGAGACACAGAGGTAGTTTTAAAAGCCATGAGGTTTTCATATTTTTATGTTCTTCTGCATCTGATGAATAATCCAGACCTGTACTTTCTTCCTGAGGCGGTTTTATGACTGGATTGGCCCATTTTTGCCAAATACTAAATAATATATTCCACCCACCCCCCGCTGCCAATTACAGAAGCACTCCCAGGACTGGAGAAAATCTGCCATCTAGTCATGAAACCCAGTTTGCCAGCCCCCTCACACCAGACTCTGCTTTAGAAGGGCAGATGAGAGGGAGGGATGGGGGGGCAGGGGGAGGAAGGAAGGATGCCTGTACACACAGAAGAGACCAAAAGAGATCCTCTTAAGTTGCTCGCTATCCAACTGGCCTTGTGGTTTGGGGACTGAGGGTGAGGAGAAAGCGAGAGAATAGAGGTGACCGTCCAAGCCCTCTCAGTCCCAGGGCCCATCAGCTGCAGTCTACATCATTCTAGCTGGTCACCTGTGATGAGCAAAACCTCCTCAGGGCAACCAGGCAAGGAAGCCAGGATTTTTTCAGGCCACTGATATACTTCTGGTTCTGGTATTTGTGGCATGTGTGAGAAGGCAAGAGAGTGACTTTCGGGGGACCAACCTACGGGCTTGTATTTTGTACACCCAAAACCATGCACTTCCCCCAAAGGGGTTCAGTGGCATTTGCTACACCACTCCTGCCCCCTCCCCCCAAAAAGCAGTTCAACTAGGGTTATTTACAATCACACACATGTGGATAACACACACACACACAGCAAAGACTTGTAACAGGGCCTTCACAACGGTGGCCCCACAACTATAGAATCTGAGTGCTAAAGAACACAAGACACTATCGTATAGCATCCGTCCATCTGGCTTGGTATTACATGACTGGCAGCAGCTCTCCAGGGTTCCAAAGTAGAGTTTTCTCCAGCCCTACCCAGGACTGAACCTAGGACCTTTACGTAGCATGCAAAGCAGGTGACATAACACTGTGCTATGGATGCTCCTAATGAGCACAGGAACCTACCTGATGCCCAATTAGACCACTGGCTCATCCTGTTCAGTATTGTCTCTAAAGTGCTTTGCACCCACCTGGAAATGCCTTTGGGGATTGAACCTAGGACCTTCTCCATACAAAGCAGGTGCTACTGCCACTGAGGTATGGCCCTTCCCCATGGCTAGGCAGGCAGGCCCCATCCACTGAGCTTTTAAGTGGGCCTTAAGACCTAGGCCTTCCCTGAGGCCTTTGCTGCTTGAAATAAGGCTATAAAGCCAGGGCTCTGCTGCCAGGGTCTGGAAGAGTTCTATTGTTGCCGGTGCTTTAATTTACTTCTGCTCTGGTGGTCAGCCCCTAGTGTTATGGAACAGACATTCCAAGCGGTTTTGCGTTGTATTTGAACTCCGGTGCCGATTGCATTTTGCGTGGTGAGCTACTTTGTGGAGCACGGTTCTCAAAAAAACGCTGCAAATCTTTCAAATAATAAATAAGGCATGGGGGGAAGCGCCCCATGACAAAACTGGGACTTCTTGTGACCTGGAACCAACTCCCATTCTGGGTGTCCGGCCCTCCAGTTCTCGCTGACCTCGTTCAAAGCTGCTAATGAGCGAGTGCAGGGTGAATCATTTCCTGTTCATCCACCGCACGCTGCGTCCCAGGAGAGGCTCTCAAAGACTCCCCTTCCCCACGTTGAGGGGTGGGGTCCAATGCACCTGACAACAACAAGACTTTCCCTTCTTGTCCTTACTGAAACACTCTCAGAGTTTCCACAAGAAGGGGGGGGGGATAAAATGTTCATGCCTCTTGAGGGGGACGTGACTGACACGGCTTTCTCGGGGGAAAGGAAAGGTGAAAAGGGCAGCGGAGAGACAACAGAGTCGAGTTTATTGCTCTCCAACTTCCTTAATTATGAGTCACCATCGGCAGAGAAAGAAAACCCAGTTCCATAAACAGATTGAGAACGCAAATATAAAAAAGTGCGGGGAGAGGATGGAGGACCTGATAAGGCGTTTCTGAAAGTTACTGCGTTACGCAACGCAGGGTTATCAAAGATTACTTGCCGACATCTGCAGCCTCTCATTTTCCCAGAGAATGCAGTAAAGACAAAATCTCATTTGCAACCCTGCTCATCTGAAAACCAAAACAAAAGCTATCAGGCCACGGGTGCTCCCTCCTGAACAGAAGTCACAGAAGTGGCCAAGAGGATTTTGACATCTCGAGGTGGAAAAGACAAAAGGCATCCGGCCTCTTCCACACAAGCCTGGACCTGATGACATGGAACAGGAATGCTGTTCCTGGGTTTAATTTATTCATATTTTCATAGAAGTGGGAAATCCAACAAGATCTTGCAGTATGGAATGCTCCTTTTTAGTGTTCCAAGCAGCCGTACCTTCTTTCAGGACACTCTACAGTGGTACCTCAGGTTAAGTACTTAATTCGTTCCGGAGGTCCGTTCTTAACCTGAAACTGTTCTTAACCTGAAGCACCACTTTAGCTAATGGGGCCTCCCGCTGCCGCTACCACACGATTTCTGTTCTCATCCTGAAGCAAAGTTCTTAACCCGAGGTACTATTTCTGGGTTAGCGGAGACTGTAACCTGAAGCGTATGTAACCTGAAGCGTATGTAACCTGAGGTACCACTGTATTCCAGCCCCCTCCCAGTTTTATCTGGGGCTGATGGGTACTGTAGTCCCAAACATCTGGAAGACATCAGGTTGCCTAAGACTATTCTGCGTCATATTCACTCATAATGTTACTAGGGGTGGGGTGAGCAGATGATGATTACTAGTAAAAAAGAGAGATGATTTTGCTGCTTATTGGTTATATGTTTTTGTTGCTGAAAATTCTGCTGCTCTTTATGGGTTACTGTATGGTTTTCCTTATAACATGCTGTTATTTCTCAATTTTACGTTATACTTTATGTCCTTAAAAGTTTTGCAAGTTGTTTGCAGTTCCTAATGTGGCAAGCAATTATTGGTATAAAATACCATCCAGGGACAAGCAGTTACTTTCAACACTAGGTGTGCTGGACAGCTAAAAAACTAACCCTCGAGCAAAGTTTTCACAACTGCATATTGGCACATCCAAATGACATCACAGTGAGAGAGATGTGAGGAAAGAGAGAGACAGCCAGGACTGAGCTCATCGTGCTTGGTTTTCTTGCAAATATCACCATTAATAAAAACAGGGAAAAACAAGATAAATGGGAGAGAAATAGGGAACATTATCTTGGCAGAGAAGCTGGTGCCACAAGCAAACTGGTGGGACAGCTGCTCAACAGAAGACACAGAAACCAGAGAAAAACATTTGCCGGCTAGCTGGGGCTCATGGGAGTCTTGGTCCAAAACATCTGGAGGGCACCAGGTTGGGGAAGGTTGACTCAAGTCTCCAATGAAATGTCCCAATCATCCACCCACTGCTTTACTACAAATACCTGAGGACTCCTTGAACAGAAGGAAGGGGAGAGGAAGTGATGCAGATTGGCTGGTAAGTATTAACATTTTTGCAAGTAGTTCCCTTCTCATTCTTTGGCTGCTCCACCGTTGACTTTTCACTGGTAACCAGTAAATCAAAGAATCACACACAGAAGTATTCATCCAGCCAACCGATCAGCCTACCATCTGTCCATCCAACCATTAGCTTTTGTGGAAGGTCACCACCCCAACTGAACAGAGAGAATGCACCCTAAATTTAGCTTAAGTTGCATGACTCAGGACCCCCAATTCCTCCAGGGCTGCCTTTCTTATATGAACCTACTCAGACCCGAAGATCAGCATCAGAGACCCATTCCTTGTGACTTATCCTAGAGCGGGAGGCAACAAGAGGACGGACCTTTTCTGTCGTAGACACGTTTATGGAATTGCTCTCCCCCAGGGAAGCTTGTCTGGTTCAGACTCTCACCTTTTCAGCGCCAGGCAAAATGGATTTATTTTCCCAGGCATATGGACAACAATAACAGCCTGACTTTTACTGGCTGTGCTTTGGTGTTCATTTCATCTTGATGGAGGAAAGACATATATATTTTCCACTGTGCACGAGCAACTTGGTGTACACTGCATTGCTTTAAATGGGTAAGTTTGCCATATACTGTGTTGTTTGAATTTCAACCTTTGCAAGTCACTTCAAGAGAGGACAAGAGAGGACCAATACTGGTTTTCCACTTGCAGGAATTTATAATTGGGAAGGCGGAATTACATAAGGCAGCGTTTAAAAAATGCCATTCCCCCCACTTGCAATTCCCAGGAGGTACAATTCATTCTGTCACCTCTGGTCTCCACCACTTTATTTCCGCCTCCTTTCCCTGTATGAATAGGCCAGAAAAGCATGCTTGCTTTTAAAATCTTCAGAAATAAAAACAAAAGAGTGGCCACGTGGACCTACATCACTGGATTACTGTACGTGTGATGGCTTTAATCAACTGAGCTGCGGCTGAATGGATGAACCAACTCAATTGAGAAGCCCTGCATTTATGAGGAAACATCAAGCAATAAAGCAAAGGGTATCCTGACTTGTGGCAATCGATGTGCAATGGCTCATTCACACATGCAGCTCGCTGCCTGACATCAAGCGACACAAACCTGTGTGAAGCAAGCCATAGATTTCGACCACTTCAGAAGACGAAGACAGGGCTTCTATTCATTGCTGCCGGTCTGAGAGCAGGATGTGCTTTTCTGCAGGGCTCCCAAGTGTGTGGCAAGATGAAAGTGACCTGCACAAATGTTGCTTAGGGGGTGGAGATGGAAGGAAGACAGACACAGAGCTCTTCTTCCAAACCCCACATTTGCCTGTGACTAAGGACTTTGCTTTGCACACCCACTCGGCCCTCTGAAAGACACCCACATGCCCCTCGGCAAAATCAGCTAGCTCACTCAAAAATGCACATATGGGACACCAAATCACGCCCCCTCACCACAGCAGTAAGCCTGTTTACTAAGAAAGCCCGCACCCCCTAACGTCTGCTTCGTGAGGGGCGGAAAAACACCTTCCAACTAGTCTTTTTTTCCTCTTTTTTTCAATCACAAACCCAAAACAACACATTATGTTCCAGAAAGGGCCCGAAGCTCTTGCTGTTATTTTCTTTATTCCAGTTCCCAATTCCTCCCATTTACAAACCCTTCTGTTCTTGATTCTGCACTTTAGCTTGTCTCAAGCTCATGAAACGTTTTACGCCGTATTCAAGCTGCATTCAGTTAACCAGCCGCTGAGCCTGTGCAGAGATCAGGCAACACAAGTCCCTCCCAGTGCGCAAAGAAATGGACGTGGTTTCAATTTAGAATTGGTGCTGCCTATATAAAACAGCCTGGACAAACTAAGCCCCTGTAAATCTTCCAGCTCTCAAGAAAGCAAGCCTTGAGAGTGCAAAGTGGCATCATTTTAAAGGCAGCCTTGCAAACAAGTTCACGAAAAGGGATGGGCCTGCTAGCCTACATAATAGTTACATGGCAGTGCGGTGTAGTGGTTAAAGGTGCTGTACTAGGGCCTGGGAAACCAGGTTTCAGATTCCAGCTCAGGTATGAAGCTCACTAGGTGGCCAGTCACTGTCGCTTAGCCTAGCCTGCCTCACAGGGTTCTTGAGAGGATGAAATGGTGAAAGGGAGAACAATATTATGACCATCTATTGAGCTCCTTGGAGGAAAGGCAGGGTATAAATGCAAGACATCCAAGCAACAAAGTTAAATTTATACTGGCTGTCAGGGACTGGCTGGATGAAGAGGAGTGGTCGGAGGCACCAGCTGGGGAATCCCCAATGGAAACCTCAGAGGAGGAAGGCTCAGAGCCGGGGGATTGGTGGTGGGACATGGGTGAGAGGTCAAAGGGAAAAGATTGGGAGGAGGCAACAGGGTTTGTTGAGCAGGAGGAGCATAGGACAGGGAGCAGTTCAGACTCCGAGGCTGAAGCAGAGGATGGGGATCAAGAGGTTGCTGAAGAATCCAGGGACTCTCCCACTCCTGCTGCGACAAGCTCCCCTCCCCAGGGCAAGACCTGCTGGGAAGGGTTGCTAAGTTGTATGCCATTTCCCTGAATAAAGAGTTAACTTCGCTGACAGCAGAGCCCCGAGTCTTTCGTGTTGACCTGCATCTGGCTCCAGTTTCATGAAATCGGGGGCAGGGGGATGGGGGGGATCTGGGATCTGGAAATGCAACATGAATAAAGACAAGATAAGGTTTTGACAACATCAGCTCAGCTATGGATGGCTCCGCACAAGATAAAACATGCCCAAAAGCAGCAGATGCAGACAGATCCTACTCTTTGAACAAGGTAACTTGAAATGGATCGCTTTCCGTCTCCGCCAGCACACAGATTTCACACTCACTGGTATTACAGTCTGCCTTAAGACACAGATTGCTCTGTTCCAGCCCAAGCGGAGTTTTGGGACCGGATTTCATTTTTGAGACTTCCATTTCAAAACTCAGTTACTGGATGCAAACTAAAAAGAGGCAGCTACCTGCAGAAAGGTACAGCTTCATTGCAAATTGCCCAAATCAGCATATACCTCCCTCTGCATCTAAAGCAGCTCCCACCAATCTGCTACCCTCCAGATTTTTCGGACTACAGCTCTCTTCTGCACCAGCTACCTGATCGGGGCTGATAGGGAGGGGTTATGTGGCCAGCATGACTAAGCCGCTTCTGGCGAACCAGAGCAGCGCACGGAAATGCCGTTTACCTTCCCGCCGTTTACCTATTTATCTACTTGCACTTTGACGTGCTTTCAAACTGCTAGGTTGGTAGGAGCAGGGACCAAGCAACGGGAGCTCACCCCGTTGCGGAGATTCGAACCACCAACCTTCTGATCGGCAAGCCCTAGGCTCTGTGGTTTAACCCACAGCGCCACCCGTGTCCCTCTTCCCATCCTTACAGTACCTGTAAAAACGATCACTGAAGACAAAGGGAGGGAAAAATATTTTAACAGCACTTTTCAGGTTTGGTGTTGTTAATCTGAAGTGTTCGGTTTTTTAAAGTTTTAGTACTATTTTTATCTTTAGACTGAATGTGCATTTGTCCAGAAAAACAGCCCCAAAATACTTTACTTTTTTAAAAAAGGCATGGTTGCAACTCATGCAAGACATCTCAGTTCATTCTTCACATTTGCCAAATATCTACTTCCAGAATAACACACAACCTCCCCAGGAAACTTTTTTCAAGGCCAACAGCATCTCTCCAAGATCTTTTGCATCTCTGCTGCCTTTTTACTGGAGATGTAAAGGACTGCAGTTGAACCCAGAAACTTACAGGGGCAAAGCCCAGGCACTGCCACCACCCAGCTCATTTCCATGGACTTTCACATGCCATTACTTTTCCATAGGCTGCAAAGCACCATAAAAATAATGATGATTTAAAAAAGAAATATTTTCTTTAATGGCACTAATTTAAAACCCTTTAAAATGGTTAATGGGGGCCCAGTTCAAACATTATTTTGTTTGAGAACAGCAAAATAGTACAGTATTGTATCATCTTAACTATAGCAGAATGGGCTTTTAAGTCTTCTTTTTTCCAGCAACTGCCAGGGACAATTTTATTGGTCAACAGAGGCCAAACGGAAGACGCATTCGATGTTTAAAGAGATTTCCAGAGCTCCAGATCTGAGGTGAGTTTTGCAAAAGGCCGAAGAACAAAGTGCCCGTTGTGATGAGGTCTTAGAATCAGCAACGGCTGCTCAACCACCAATCATATTTGCACCAAAAATAAAATGTTTTGAGAAATGTTAGACTTCAAGCCAGTTTGTCCCTTCTATTAATGGCACATTACTCTCCACAGAGGCAGGACGTTTTCGCTGCTTAGGGAATTTTGCCGCAGACAAAGACCAAGCCATTAAATGGAAAGCCTAAAGGCCAAGATTTTCATTTTCCACTTTCCCTGCTGTGAATAAATCAATATGATGCAAGTGAGATTAATACAGATTTGAGATTAGCTTCCTTCTTACGAATATCGTTGCTGATAGAATCGCGCAGTGAAAATGGTGGGCAGTTAAGCTCAGAGCAAACTTAGAAAACCACTGCTGTGTTGTGTGAAATGATGCACATGTGGCTAGTGGTCAGTTTGGGTGGGGTTTTTCTTTTTTTAAGAAAAGGCTGTTAAGACAAATGTGTGAGGATGAGAACTACCTTGTGTTCAGCAGAGGCATTTGGAAGCAGATGAGGGCAAACAATGCAGATAGCATCTTCCGTGCCCTGCTTGGGACCTTCCAGAGGCCTCTGGCTGGAGCCTGCTGGAAACCAGACGGATTCCGCAAAGGCAATTCTTATCAGAAGCCAAGAAGACTTCTTACCCTGCTCCATGAAAGGGGTCAGCATCTAGTCAACCAAGAGTTGTAGTTTCCTTCCACCCACTGACTGCCCCATCAGCTGACTGTATGGATCAAGCTTCCTCTAGAGGCTGAATGAACAGCTACGCAATCTCCACCTCAAGGGCTACAATATCGGGTAATGCTCTCTAGCTGCTGCCTCTGCGGCTCAGGAAACTTCGCTGCGGTTTTCCAAGTGTTGTGCTTACACAGGAGGCTTGGAGGGAAGTGAGATCACCAGCCCCTTCTACTCGCTCAGCTAAGTAGAAACAGCTGCGCTCAAGACACACAGTTTTGTGTTATTTTTATTCTGCGCAAGCCAGTCCCCGTGAAGCTCCAGCCTTCCCTAACCGGGTGCCCCCTCCCCCCGCCCGTTGTTTTGGATTACAACTCCCATCAGTCCAAAACATCTGGGGGGCACCCGGTTGGAGAAGGGTGTTCTAGTACAGTTACAAATTGTATTAGAAGTCATATAAATAGAATCCAATGCAAACCTCCAAACAGTGACAGGGAGCACTAACAGAACATAAGCCAGTTTTAAATCAGGTACAACTGTTTGCTTTTTAATTTATAGCCATGACACGATAGATGCCAGCTGTCTTGGTTTTCACCCCCCAGCTCAGCAAAAAAAAGATATAGACTGACAGACAGAGGGAGAGGAGGAGGAAGTACCGTATTTTTTGCTCTATAAGACTCACTTTTTCCCTCCCAAAAAGTAAGGGGAAATGTGTGTGCATCTTATGGAGCGAATACAGGCTGCGCAGCTATCCCAGAAGCCAGAACAGCAAGAGGGATCACTGCGTAGCAATCCCTCTTGCTGTTCTGGCTTCTGAGATTCAGAATATTATTTTTTCTTGTTTTCCTCCTCCAAAAATTAGGTGCGTCTTATGGTCTGGTGCGTCTTATAGAGCGAAAAATACGGTACATCAGTGACTGTGGAGGGTCCGGACCAACTCTGATCCTTGTTCAACCAACAGAGAATAGATATAGGAATGGGATTCAAAGCACTTGCTTCGCAAGCAGAAGGTCCTAGATTCCATCTCCAGGCAGGGCTAGGAAAAACCCTGGGGATCAACTCCCAGTTAGCACTAGCAATTGGAAGATGCATTTCCCTGTAACCAGAAGTGAGCTGAGCTCACAGTCCTTTCACACAAAAGTCCTCTCCTGGTTTACTTTTGACAGTTCCACAGCCTCACTTAGGTGGGAAAAGACATTGTGTTGTTCATGGGTAGGCAAACTAAGGCCCGGGAGCTGGATCCGGCCCAATCGCCTTCTAAATTCGGCCCACAGACAGTCCAGGAATCAGCGAGTTTTTACATGAGTAGAATGTGTCCTTTTATTTAAAATGCATCTTTGGGTTATTTGTGGGGCCTGCCTGGTGTTTTTACATGAGTAGAATGTGTGCTTTTATTTAAAATGCATCTTTGGGTTATTTGTGGGGCGTAGGCATTCGTTCATTCCCCCCCCCAAATATAGTCCAGCCCCCCACAAGGTCTGAGGGACAGTGGACCTGCTGAAAAAGTTTGCTGACCCCTGTTGCTATCGTTAAACAATTGGAAGTCAGGAACCCTTGCAAATTTACTACAGATTGTGCAGAGATATATTGGTAGACAAAAATCTACCTTCTGCCCACCCCTGTCCTGCATGACAAGAAATATCATTTGAATGAAGACTGGAGCAGCAGTAACACAGGTGACGCCCCACGTTGGGTGAAATATGCTGGCATTGTAGGGGGTTGGACTACATGACCCTAAGGGTCCCTTCCAGCTCTACAGTTCTATGATGCCACCAGCACATGCACACAAAGCACACTCAAAAGAAATGAACTTTTCATAGCATGAGGAATGAAGTCTTTCTCTGGAATTGAAAGGGAAGGGAACACATGCAATGCAGGAAACATTTAGTGAGATACATCTAAAGCCAGCAACTAAACCTGCTTCAGCGGCATTTATTACCAAGACTGACACACAAGAGATTTCAAAATATGCAACGGCCATAAGGCTCTTCCCCCTTTCCTACCCCCCAGCAGCTGTCAAAGTCAGAACTGGTTGCATCTTGTGGTTCACAGTGTACACAGATTAGGACTTTCAAAGTGATGGGGAAAGGGGGAAGGAGCGAGACAGAGAGAGAGAGAGAGAGAGATTCCAAGGCCGAAGGAGAGAAAGTGTTATTCTAAGGCCAGATTCTTTCACTCTTTCAGGACAGCACCCAATAAAGCACCAAAGCAATTTCACTTTGTCCGCAGCTGAGCAGTAGCTGTCTCTCCCCCCCACACCCAGAAGTTAGGTTTCCAAAAAGAGCTTCAAAAGCCAATAGCTGATGTTAGAAGCTACTGAGTTTTACAGCTGGTTTCTGCTCCCTTTTGGAGAGAGGTTTACGTGTTCACACAGGCATTCCCCCCCCCCCCAATGATCTACCCACCTTTAGCGCAATCCTGACCATATCTACTCAAAGTAAGTCTCACATAATTCAGTGGGGCTTAGCTTTTTTCTGATAACTGATTTATAGGCATAGTAGACTGGAGGTATCTTTGCCTAGTGGACAAACTCAAATTTCCAAAACCAGGCCCATGGTGAAATTTAACAGGATGCAATTATTTTTATGTATCCTTGCATTTATATCTCATCTTTCCTCCAGTGAGCTCACAGCAGCGTTTGTGGTTTCCCCTCTCCCCATTTTACCCTCACATCACAACTATCCTGTTCAGGGGGTGCCAACTTGAATAAAATATTGAGGGGTACAAGTAAGTCCTACTCTACATAATCGATCACATATGTGGTGCACAAACACTATTTGAATGACAATGCCCATTAACTTTGGGAGGGCCTGGCCCCCTCAAATATTTTATTGGGGGGGCTGAAGACTCCTCAGCCCCTAGGAGTTGGTTCCTATGATCCTGTTAGGTAGGTTACACTGAGAGGCTGCGATTGGCTCAAGGTTATCGTGTCAGTTTAAAGGCAATGTGTGGATTTGAGCTCTGATCTCCTGAGTCCTAGTCCAACATGCTAACCACTACAGGACAGCAGCACCTGGATACGACTGTGCTTGTAGTCAGCATAATACAGCCTGCTTACCTGGATTTACAAAACAATATGAAGCCAGGAGAAACAGAACCTCCTCTACAGATTCCACTGAGTCCAAGTGGTACAAGAGCCGTTCCATGGACAACTCCTGCACACTTTCCACTTACCTCCTGAAAAATCAGCCCCATTAAAATAAATGGGTCTGGGGTGCAAAAAGAAGAAAGCAAGAAACTGGTGAATGCAACGCAATGGTGGCGTTGTGACTTGACTCTCACTCAGCATGTGCTATTTTTCCAGCTACTGCAAGCATGAAGCAAAACACTAATCTCCCTTTCCATAACAAAATAAACCTTGTCAGTTCAAACCTCTTCAGACTCGTGGCTAGCAGTCCCTTCCCTCACAGATGGTGTTCTTGGTTACACGTAAACCCTACAGTACTGTGCCTCATCCCCCTCAAACCACCAACTATTGCCCACACTTTGTTTTCAGTGAATCAAACCCACCTAGCAATGATATAGACTCAGTTACAGCAATCTGGGCTTCTTGTGACCCTGCTCATAGGCAAGCAAGCATATTTCAGATGGGCAAAAGCAATATGCCCCTTGTTTTTCTTTTCATTCTTAACATTTATTCTTCTGTTGATTTTATTTATATTTTGATAATTTTCTCTTTTTAATGTTTGTTTTTAATCACCATTCTAAATGAATATTTTGTATTATTTTATGTAAACTACCTAAGAAACTTATCTGAGGCACATTAGAGGCTGCCTGAGTCAGACCATTGGTCTATCTAGCTCAGTATTGCCTACACTGACTGGCAGCAGCTCTCCAGGGATTCTGGCAAGAGTCTTTACCAGCCCCACTTGGAGATACTGGGGATTAAACCCGGGGCTTTCTGCATGCAAGACAGGTGCTCAACCACTGAGCTACAACCCTTTTTGATTAAGCAGTATATAAATATTGCTAATCTTGCTAAATAACTAAATAAAAATAGAAAACTTCTTGAAAACTTCATTCCACCGAAACACTCTACTGAATATTTATGTATTACATATAAACTAACCAACAATTTATAAGTCATGCATCATGGAGGGGTTTCCAGATACCCCACTCCCTGCCTTTGGAAGCCTTATTATAAGGACGAAGATGAAACTGTCAAGCTCCCTTGTTATTTCTGCTAATGCCAGGGGGTGCAATGTTGCTAATGCAATCTTGTTATATATTTAGTACTGAAATGTGGGGGTTTTGCATGTTGTTATATTTGTTATTACTGTATGTTGTTGCTTTATTATATTACAAAATTGCTCTTGCAATAGTTGATTTTGAGATGCATTCCTTTTTTCTTCGTCGTAAGACGCTTTGGGCATTTGCAGAAAGGTGGCATACAAATGACATTATGATAATGAAAACAGTCTGATAAATAGATGGATCTCATACTTTTTTTTCTTTTAAGGTCTGCATTTGTTTTAACATAAGATCTACTCCAATCCCAGCTGTTCACTGACCAACTCTGGCCTATAAACCTCCAGAGGGAAGGATGTACCAGAAGACCGAGGGAGGGCAAAGCTGTCGTGAGCTCCCTTGAACTCTGTACAGCACAGAAACTCTGTTGAATTAATGCAAAAGGGGAGTGCAGGCTGTGGATTGGAGGCCTTATCAAGTGGAGCGCTGGGGGAGGGGGGAACCTTTCGAACAGGAAAGGAAAGGGGAAATCCAGCAAAGTCACAGGTAGAAATGCTTAGCACGAAGAATGGACCCAACTCGGGCTGTGTACACACATCCCTTGACACACGCAAAAAATCCTGGAAACAGAAGTTTGCCTGTCACAGAGTTACAATTCCCAGCACCCTTAACAAACCCCAGTTCCCAAGATTCTTTTGGGATGGGAAGTTTTTAATATTTAATGCTGTATTGTTTTAACACTGGATTGGACACCACCCAGAGTGGCTGGGGAAACTCAGCCAGATGGGCGGGGTATAAATAATACATTATTATTAATTATTATTATTATTATTATTATACCGAGCCTCAGATTTCTCATTAAGCAGAAGTGAAAGTCTCCCCTCTCTTTTGATTCACTTTGAAGGCTGTGTCTTTATATTAAAGTTCAAGGATGACAGGGGCTCTGTCCATGCCAAAACACGACCCCGGCACCAAAAATGGAGCGCAAAGTCAAATTCCTCCAAAAAGGTCAGGCCTTGATCCCACCGTCCTATTTCCAGAAGGATGCAAAAAGGGGTTGCGAGAGAAGGGGCCGCATCCCCCTCCCTTCAGGGGCTCCATCTGGCTCATCTCAGGGAGAGGCTTTTATTGCCTCCCTCCAGTCATGAGATGCAGACAAAGGTTACTAAAGGTTAAGTCTCTGGCCCAAGAGAGAGTCCCTGCACAGCCTGTCGCCATGGTTACAGCGTCCTCTATGGTCATGGTGTGCTCCCCAAGGCTGGTTGCTAAGGAAGGCCTAAACTTCACCCCCAGGCCCAATTCTGCACTTTATTTGGCTGGGCTGGGAGTTGCTGGTTTAATCCCCATTCAAGGAGTGGGGTGGAAAGAAAGGAAAAGCCTGAATTATGTTCTTCCACTGTAATATTTTAACAAGTAAACCCAGCCGTTGCCAACTTGGAACCCTCCAGAGGCTTTGGGTAACAACGCCCACATGTTCGCTGGCTGGGGCTGATGGGAGTTGTAGTCCAAAACATCTGGAAGGCACCAGGTTGGCAAAGCCTAATTTAAACAGTTGTTTAGCTTCCGTTGACTGAATTTGCACCCACACTTATCTATTAGTATGCTCAAGGCCACTAACAGAATTAAAAAGTGGCAGAATGGGATTATTAAATCCACACAAAGAGCTAGAGGACTGAAGACCTGCCCCTGCCCCTCTCTTGCAATGGCTGGTGGCATATGACCAATGTATGGAATGGCCCAGATCTCTGCTCCCTGGGTCCATGCTCCCTGGGTCAGCAGAAAGATGGCAACTGGAGAGAGTCCACATTCACACCATACATTTAAAACACTGTGATACCACTGTGAACAATTATGGCTTCCCCCAAAGTATTGTGGGAGCTATAGTTTGTTAAGGGTGCTAAGAGTTGTTAGGAGACCCCCTATTCTCGCCTAAGAGCTGCAATTCCATTGTTCCCTGGGAAGAGGGACCTGCTCACAAGGATGAAAACAGTAAAGGCCTTAAGAGCACCAATAAAACTCCAAGTGAACCATAAAAACACAGAGTGGGCAGCTGATCCTGAAGGGCCTTTAAAACCAACAAGAGGGTTATAAACTTGACTTGCTTGATTGTAGGACAGCAACAAGCCAGCAGATGGACTGAGCAGCCCCTAAAGCCACAACTCGCCTTTCCCCCTTCTATCTCAGTAGCCACTGTGAGCCCCAATGCAACCCCCACAGGACATGCTGTGAACAATCCTATGCATTGTTTTATCTCCATTATCTCCAAGATGTCTGTGCCACCACTGGTACAACACGCCTTAGCAAACACATCACAAGCGTGCAAAATCAGTGTGGATAGTTGAGCCCATGTCCAGCATAGATCTGCCTTTCAAAAACCCTTCAATTCTGGAGGAAAATCTGTCTCGTCTCCACCCTTGCATAAGGATTTATTTATTTAAAATATTTTTCACTGTGCTTTTTTAACTCTCTCACCTGAATTGCACACAAAGTTGCTTACAAGTAAGGCTGCAGTGCTAGATACACTCACTTGGGAGTAAGCCCCTCTGAGCTCAATGGCATTTACTTCTGAGTAGACAGGTTTAGAATTAGAATGCATATAAAAAAGCACAACAACAAAACCACCAGATCCTAGGTGTGGGTCATCATCCGCCAGTTGAAAGCCGCGGCTTTGGAAACTTGGGAAGTTAAAGCACCTTTGTAAGAGATTGGGGGACAGGGCCGGCCCTATCATTGGGCAAAGTAAAAAGGCTGACTGAAGCAACAGGTGGGCAGGGGCATAGAGTAGTAAAATGCCTTCAGTTGGCCCTGGAGTTGTCTTTTTGTCCTGCATTTCCAGCATCAGAGCTTGCCTTGTGGCTACCGTTATGAACTGGTAAAAATGTCCTACACCAGTTATTAGTTGCTACTCTTGTTACTCAGGGAGTAAACAGAGAAAGTTCCGTACTCCCCCCCCCCACACACAGAGTATGAAAATGATACATGCCTCTATAAGGTGAAGCTACCTTTTATCAATAGGTGACTCTTACTAAAAGTCCCTACGCTGAATTTTATTATGTCTGAAAAAGTGCTCTGAACCTTCTGTTTGCTCAGCGCTGCATGAAGTCGCTGTTCTTTGTTTCTTTCCTGTTTCTTTTCTTTGTATATAGTTATTTCTGAAAACTCAATAAACACATCTTTATTAAACAGAGGATGGAAAACTTAGCCCTGTCCCGGTCCCGCCACCTCCAGAAAAGACAAGCAAGACAAGAAGGGCCAGGGCATATACATCCTCAGTAGGACATTCCCACTTTGCCTCTCCATATATGGTTCGGCTTGGAGCACACCAATTGCCAGAAAATTGCAAGTGGGTGATGAAGAAGAGCTCACTTAAACAGATGACATCTACAAGAAGCAAACGAAGCTTCGTGCCATGTGATACTCTTGGCCTAAAACTAGTGTGCCAAGTTGATTTAAGAGTCCGAATCTTGTCCACTGTCAGAGAGATAGCGACTTGCCCCAAGACCACACAATGAGCACAGGATAGCTAGGGAAGAGTTCGGATCTAGGATTTCAAGGAATATATTCAGCACTCTGCCCGTTGGACTCCTTTGGCAAGCTCTGCAAATACGTAATCGTTTGAGCTGTCTTTCAGCCAGGAGTGAATGATTAAGGAACCGTCTGCATGAGATGCTTGGCCAGGATTTAAACTATGATCTAATAAGAGACTCCCATTCCAAACACTGTAGTATTAACTGTCCTGTGACCATATATAAACTACTCTTATCTCAAGTTTTTTAACATACACACACACACACAGCCTCAGCAGACACAGTTTGGGTTATCTTAATTCACTCAAAAGGAGCAAATTTTTAGATCAGTAGAACATGAGACTCTTTAATCTCACCGTTCTGGGTTTGAGCCCCACATTGGGCAAAAAGATTTCTGCATTGCAGGAGGGGGTTGGGCTAGATGACCCTCATGGTCCCTTCTAACTCTATAATTCTATGAAATAGCAGTTGGAATATCAGACTGGGACCTCGGAAACCAGGGTTCAAACCCCACTCAGCCATGAACAGCCCTGGGTGACTTCGGGCCAGTCACCGCCTCTGAGCCTAACCTACCTCACAGGCTCCGGCCTGGTGGAAGGCTCTGTCTCATGAGACCAGGGCCTTGCAGGATCTGATTTCTTTCCGCAGGGCCCGTAAGACTGAGTTGTTCTGCCTGGCCTTTGTCTTAGAATCAATTTGATTCCCTTCCCCTCTTTCTTTTTTCCTTTCTCCTCCTGTGAAGAGGCTGCATCTTAATGTTTTAATGTTGTATTTTAATCTTGTATTTTAAGTTGCATTTTAATCAACTTATTTTTATTATTGGTTGTTAGCCGCCCCGAGCCCAGTCTTGGCTGGGGAGGGCGGGGTATAAATAATTTTTTTTATTATTATTGAGAGGATGAAATGGAGAGGGGGAGAAGTATGCATGCCACATCAAGCTCTTTGGAAAAAAAAGTGGGATATAAATGTAGTAGTGATGGGCATGTTGTAGTAGCCTGCAACATGCCCATCCATCCCAGCTACGACTGGTGTGAGTTATAGGCCCGAGCATTCAGAGAGCTCCAGCTTGCTAAAGCCTGGCTTAGATGTACTGAACAATTAATTTGGGTTTGGAAAGATTCTGTGTGACGAATCTCAGAGGTTCCCTCCTCCTCCTCCTCCAGGGCACAGACAACCCACGTTTGACTCCCCACTCCACCAAATGGTTTGGGGCTGGCTTGCAGCACTCTGGCTCCCCCTTCCCAGCAAAAATGCAAGCCTGAGAGTAAGAAAATGCTTGAAGACTTTCTTTCGCTCAAGCAGAACAAATGATGCAAAACAAAACAAACACAGGAAGGTTTCCTTCATTTACGCAGCTTTTCAGAAGTCAGCTACTGTACATACACAAGGTTTTTTTTAAAAAAAACAACAAAACAAAACATAAACACAAACACAGAGTACAGCCTGCCTGATCAACTGATATGGAGTGGAAAAAGAAAGAAAAGGGCTCAGCTTCTGGGGGCCTTAATAAAATAGAAACTGCATATTTACCACAAAGTTTGCCAGCCAGGAAGGCACAATCTGACCAAAAACTGAACTAAATTTGAAAGAGGAAGCACAATGTTTTAAACATGCAACACATGTACACACATAAACACGTCAACAGCAGCAGGGGTTTCCCCCCACCCCCACCCTGTAGATCAGGTTGTACAAATTCCGCAGAGATTTGTTTTAAATATACACATAAATTGACGCTATGGGGGTTTTAGTTGACATTTACAGCAGAGTTATTTTTTATACTTTTTAAGATCCTGGTAAAGATGAGCTACCTCCCACAATACTAGGGAGCATTGCTTGCTTTGGTTCCTAGAGAAGCATCAAAGATTCTGCTCACTCATCGCACACAAACATTTCCCATGTGTATACTTTGATAAAAGGCCAATGGTATTTTTTGGGGGGGGCTCTTTCCAACATCCTTGCAACTGTGGGGAGGAGGGAGCAGAATCATGGCCAGCTATATATATATCCCCCCCCCAGCCCCACTCACAAACACAGAGTAAATGTCTGATGCACTACACACAAATCAGGAGTTCTCAAGTTCCTAATTGCATGGAGTATCTAAACTAGACCACCAATGTATGATACTTGGGTTGATGGCATTTGTAGTCCAACACATCTGGAGGGCATCACTGGAGTGCCAAGGTTCGCCACCACTGAGTTAGGGGAAGGCTGCTCTACATTGTTGATTGACATCACTGGCTTCCAAGCAAAATCCAGAAACTGATAATCACCACATAATTCCCGTTGAAAATCTCGAGCTGTTTTTAGCAGCAAAGACCATATAGATGACTTCTTCATTTGGTTTGTGGGGTAGAATCCACCAGGAAGAAAGACACAAGTATTGAGGGAAGGAGAAAACTTCAGAACTTTCTTACGTGCACACACACACACACACACAAATGGTTCAATCCATAGGAAGGTGCTGCAAACTCAACAAGACGCCCCCGCAGTCAAGCCAAAACATGCCTTTTGCATTCCCTGTTCTGAGCAAACAAGAGTCCCTTTGAAAGAGTCCCGTTTCTTCCCACTGAAGGACCTTGAGCAGACTGCAGTTCTAGAACAGCAGCACCTGACAGCTTCCACAAGGAAAAAAAAAATAAGAGTATCCTCTGCCTCTTCCTCCTAAAAGCCTTCTGCCGAAAATAAGAAGCTTAGATGCTGGCGGTTGTTTTCAGGAGCATAATGAGCTCTGTGAGACACTGAGGGTCTGGGACAGACATACCCCCTGCCATTATTTTAATCCATAAATAAAGGGAAGGAAACAGCAAGGATCTGCACTAGCTATAAGTGATGTGGAGCTGGGTTAAGCAGCAACTGAGGCTGCTCGTTTGAAGTCAGAACCAAAATTATTTAAATGGGAACAAAAAGTCAGCCAGTGATGGGCAGTGGTGAGAGCAGTGGACTAGGACCTAGGTTCATATCACCACTTGGCCATGAAGCTTGACTTTGGGTGGGCCAGTCACTGGCTCTCTCAGTCTGACTTACCTCACAGGGTTGTTGTGGGGATTAAATGAGGAGGAAGAGAACCACGTATACCACCTCAGGCTCCTTGGAGAAGAAGCTGGGATATAAATGCAATGAAATAGGTAAAAAAGGAATAAGGGATTGTTCAGAGCTCAAAAAAAGAGGCCACTCTAGATTGATGAATGGGCAGTAAAAGGGCAAAATGGTGTTCAATGTTAGTGATGCGCATTGAGGCCAGAAAAATCCTAACTGGCAGGGGACAACCAGGAGAGAGGGAGGAATACACAGAGGAAGTTGCCTCATACTGAGTCAGATCATATTGGTCTATCTAGTTCAGTACTATCCACACTAACTGGCAATGGCTCTTTGGAGTTTTAGATGTGAGACACTCCCAACACTACCTGGAGAAGCCTCCCTGGATTGAGCCTGGGACCTTCTGCATTTGGGATCAGCCTCATATAACCAACATGCCTTAACACTAATCTATGCATGAAGGGGTTAAGACCACAGAGTAAGCTGCCCTGCCTGGCTTAGCTAGGTCACACACCCTTACCTTGGGAGGAAGGGTTACTAAACCTCTTTGTTCTCTCACTTTCCACTATTCCACAAGTGATCTGACCAGTAAGGATGTCCATGCAGAATGCTCCAAGCTTAGACGGTGTGGCTTTAGCAAGCCATCTTTGTGTTTCTATGCAGATAACATAGAAACATTTATCACTTTTTGTTACCTAAGTGAAACTGCCTGTGTTTTCTTGCTGCTGTATGGAAAAACCCATGAATCTGACCTTTGAAAAGTTTTTAAGTACACCATTTTAAACTTACCAAATGTGTGGTTTCTTTCTATGCAAAGCAAAGTGGGGAGCTCTGGGAGCAACTTAGAAGGGGATATTTTAAAAGTCTAGCAACCTATATTTCCACACCTTACTTTGCTGCATATTTTGTGTTTTAAAACCTCTGCTGGGGCTCTCTCACCAAAGAGTACTTGCCCCAAACCTGAATCTAGGCATCTAGGGAATTCTCCTTTTATTCCTTAACCTAATTACCAAACTAAAAGACCAACACTGCGCGCAAACCAGATGCCCCACCACTGAGCCAAGGCCCTCCATAACAGCCAAAGGATCCACAGTTTTATAAGAACATAGGAAGCTGCTTTATACAAAGTCCATCTCACTCAGCATTGCCTACTCTGGCTAGCAGCAGCTCGCCCTGGTTTTCTGGAGGTTGAACTGGGCCCTCAACACATCTCTAAAGGGCTGTCACATGGAAGATGGAGCAAGCTTGTTTTCTGCTGCTCCAGAGGGCAGGACCCAAACTAAGAGATTCAAACAACAAGGTGATTCCAAATACAGTGGTACCTCAGGTTACAGACGATTCAGGTTACAGACTCCACTAACCCAGAAATAGTACCTCGGGTTAAGAACTTTGCTTCAGGATGAGAACAGAAATTGAGCAGTGGCAGCAGGAGGCCCCATTAGCTAAAGTGGTGCTTCAGGTTAAGAACAGTTTCAGGTTAAGAACGGACCTCCAGAACGAATTAAGTTCTTAACCCCAGGTACCACTGTAAACATTAGGAAGAACTTTCTGACATTGAGAGCTGTTTGACAGTGTCCCCAACCACCTCAGATGGTTCTTAAGGTTGGAGGTTCTTAAGCAGAGGTTCGCTGGCCATCTGTCAGGAATTCTTCAGCTGTGATTCCTGCACTGTAGGGGGTTGGACTAGATGACCCTCGGGGTCCCTTCCAGCTTCTGCAATTCTATGATTCTATTACTGAGTTATGTCCCTTCCACAAATACGTAGCAATGCTTTTTGAGGCACGAAATCAACACAGCTCCTTTCCCTCAGGCAACGAATAGAGTAGAGAGAGTCAACCTTGCCAGAGAAAAACTTCAGGCCACAGTGAAATTTTCATCCAGGGGGTGGGGGAGGGGAGCAGCAGCACTTCTGGCGCTCAGCCCACACTGAGCCAGGGCCCTCGCTCCTTCCCCAGAGAAAAAGCCTCCCAGCCGGGCCCCAAACATTTAAAGACCCTGCCCTCTGGAAGAGCCATGAACAGCTGCGAAGGGGAAGAAGAGAATGCAGGGAAGGAGCCCGAATAAAAAGCAAGCAGAGCTGGAGATTGAAAAGAGGCAGCTGCAAGTTCCCCTTAAGGAAGAGCAAGGATTATTTCTGCAATGTTTCCACAGGAGACACGGGGGTTGAGCCCGTTAGGATTTTTAAAAAATCATTTATTATGCTTGCAGAAAAAGATGGTTTTCAACTACTTTGGAACCATTATATATCACAAAGCAAAGGAGGATTAGGAGCTACAACTATAAACTGCACTTTTATCCCTCCGCATTTCACTGTTTTTCTACCCCAGCCTGATTGGCCAGTAAGGTCCTATCTTTCTCATTCTAGTGAAAAACAGTTTCTGAACACTCATCAAAACACACACACACAGTCAGTATCCCAATGACTGCAGCGAGAGCCAAAGCCAGAGAGCAGTCCTCATTTAATATAATTATATAGAAAAAAAGCTTATGTAAAGGATGTGAACCTTGCTCTTAGCCAAAGGCATTTGTTCCCCAGCTGAGCTAACAAGTCACTGGAGAAAGAAGGGATCCCAAGAGGGTGGGGGAATGAGAGGAATGGGCATATTTATGCTACAACTCCAAGCCAGCTTCAAGGCTGTGAAACTGTGGGCTGAACTTTATCACTAAACCATCATTTAGCCCAGAGGTGAGGGAATAAATGCCTGTGGTGGTCAAAAGCGGACGAAGCAATGAATACAATTGTTAGCTTTGTACGGTAGGCTACCTTCTATACACACCCCTCTCTGTCTTCCAACCGTGCAAGCAAGGGGCATTATCAGTGTTCTAAGACACAGTACAGTGGTACCTTGGGTTACATATGCTTCAGGTTGCATACGCTTCAGGTTACACACTCCGCTAACCCAGAAATAGTGCTTCAGGTTAAGAACTTTGCTTCAGGATAAGAACAGAAATCGGGCTCCGGCGGCGCGGTGGCAGCAGGAGGCCCCATTAGCTAAAGTGGTGCTTCAGGTTAAGAACAGTTTCAGGTTAAGAATGGACCTCCGGAACGGATTAAGTACTTAACCTGAGGTACCACTGTACAGTGGTTGGGGTTGGTGACATGACTTACAAACAAGTGTCAGGAGCGAGCTAGTTAAGTATTCATTAGAAGGAACAGGATCTGCTCAGGAGTGCCAGGCTTAATGAGCACAGCAACTCTTCTTGTCCCTATTAAGCAGTTGTGGAGACTGAAGGTCCCTGCCTTCCCACAGCTACCCACGGTAAGTCTCCTCCTCTCCCAGGTCCTTCCCAAGCAATGTGATACTATGCCGGCATGCCTGGTCTTTGCTCTTCCCCACTTCATACCTCTCCTGGTCCTGGGAGACCGGGGGAGAGGGTAGCTTGTCCAGCAGGAGGGGGGGACACCCTGGGCTTTTTCACCATCCTGGCTCATCTCTGCCTCTTGGCCTCCCTCCTCCCCTGCTTCTCTCTGTCACAGATTCTCCCTGCTCACTAAAGCCTGTTACCTCTTCAGATTCTGGCACCTCCTCCTCCCAGGCTTCTGATTACTCATTGTTGTCCCACTGCCAATCCCCCTTGGGCTTCCCCAGCTGGTGCCTCCCACCATTCCTCTGTGTCCAGCCTGCCCATGACATGAAGCCCAATTAATCCAGAATTCTACTTGCAGTACCAGCTGCTTGTTTTCCTGCCCACCACCTGTTTTTCCCATGTATACTGCCCATGAATAAGGAGGCTCCACTTGGTTCTTATGGCCAATAGACCCAGCTTCCATGAATTTGTTTACTCGTGGAAGTAAAACCCAGATGGCAGGTTTTAAACCCTACTGACTCACAACTATACTCAGAAATGTCCTGCTTCTTTTGAAGTGGCAAAGATGTTTGCGAATTATTAAAAACACACTTTCTCACCCACAGGACTGGCACGGTGAACAATCCTTTTGTATTTGCATAGCATTTCCTCTTTGAAACCATCACAGGAGTGAGTAGGGCAACTAATGCACAGTGATAATAATGTCTGGGATTAATGAAGTCAATGTTTATTGAGGTTTTTTTCAGGAGGATGGGACTGTAACTCTTGGGGGGAGGGCAGTGCCACCCTCTGGGTTGGTTGTAAGTAAGTAGGGAGCAAGGCAGGGTGGGGATGGCTGAGCTGCAGACAGAGATTAGCAGGGCAGGGCCCCATTCGCCCCAACCTCCACTGTCTGCAAAGTGTATTTCCAATAATTATAAAGTCTTCCTGGATGTTATTATGGTGAGCATTGCATAAGCTAAAATCAAATGCCTGTGAAGGGGAGGAGAGTAACTCCAGAGCTATTGAAAAGTGATGACACAGTACACAAAGCTTGCTGAGGCAAGCCAATGCCCTGGGGCCAGGGATCTCAACATTCACTTGTGCAGGCGTGGGGAGGGGAGAGAAAATGTGTCCCTGTCCTAAATTCACCTTGGGAATAAGTACTTGACTCAACAATACACTCCCTTCCACCACTACCCCAAAGAGAAATCTGCAGAAATTAAGTTTTGCTTGTCGTTAGTCTTAAAAAAATAAAAATCTGAAAGTTGTTGTCAACTCACCACACTAGGGAAAACTGTAGTTCAGAGGCAGAGTGTTGGGGGCTTCCAGAAGACAGAGGATACCCATCAGCCCCAAATCCGTGGTCTTGGTAGGGTGGAATGCTTTTTAACATCATCTTTGTATTTTTATCCCCTTTTTCCTCCAAGGAGCTCAAGGTGGCATGTACATAGTTTCTCCTCTTCCCCATTTTATCCTCACAACAACCCTGTGAGGTAGGTTAGACTGAGAGTGAGTGACTGGCCCAAGGATATCCAGTGAGCTCCACGGTCAAGTGGGGATTTGAACTCCTGTCTCCCAGGTCTAGTCCAATGCTCTTAACCACTACATCACGCCAACCTACTAGAGGAAGGCAAGTCAGATCCTTACAAGACACAGATAACGCTAGCTGGCTGGGAGTCTTGGGGCTTCTGTCACAGAACAGCAAGAGGCAGAAAGGGGGTTGACTTCATGAGACCTCGCTAAGGCTGGTCCAGTCACCAGGTCTAGTTGCCCTGGCTCTCAAATGTGTAGTTGTCCTTCTGTCAAAGAACTCAAGATCGCATACCTAGGATCACGCTCTTTATTTTATCCTCTGGACCACCCCGAGAGAGAGGTTGAGACAACAGATAGCAGCCACATTTGCACACAGTAATAAGTCAGGTCATCTCAACCGAGTCCAGTATTGTAGCTTATTGTGGACAAGCATGCTACCCAGGTCTGAGCCAGATAAACCAGCTGCGACAACCAAATCTGAGAAAAGGATATGCTGACCCCTAACAAGGCACGATCCCGGGTTCAAAGGTAGCAGCAAGCAAAATCTTCCTGGTTTATTTACCCCACTTGAGCAGGAAGAGGAGTGAAGCAGGAGCAATTGGTCAGCTTGCACCAGCATAATGCTTGATCCTGATAAACCAGGAATACTGGCTTATTAGGCTTGTTCACACACCATACTGAACAGAGGTACAATTTACTTATTTTTATTACATTTGTATACCGAACTATACCCACAGGTCTCAAGGTGGTTACCAAATAAAGTCACAATATAAAAACAGAAAACACATAATAAAATAAAAAACAATCCAATAAACCCATCTCTACACATGTACTAGCGTTTATGTGAAAGAGTGCACACTTGTTGAGGTGTGCAGCCCAACTATTTGTGTATGCAGGTGCACAAATTGTATGCTTGTTGAATGTGCAATGATTCAGCAGAGATTTGTAGCCAGGTCACCCCAACAGAGTCTAACACTGTAGCCACTCTTGGGTGACTTGTTTATTCAGATTTTACATGCAATCCCATCATGCAGGATGTGGATGGCTTACAAAGGGATATAAGAAGTTCGGAAACAAAACTAATAAGTGGTTTTCAAAATGACTCAGGAATGAAGCACCAACATATCCTATTTTGCAGAAAGCAGTCCCAAACTGAAGGGCTGTCCAGTTTAAAGATAAAGACCCCTGAGAAGGGAGAGCCTTGAAGTTGCCCATCAACACTTAGCAAAACCTGCATAGCAGACCAAGAAGGTCTATTTAGGTCACCTGCTCACTGTCTTGCTCCCTGGGATGTTGTATACAGTATTTCTATTTAAATTACACAGCTTCGTTGTAAAAAACAAACAAACCCACTTCTAAGCAGTTTGCAAGAAATATTAATACTGTCACTCAAAATAACAGCCAAAAACAAGTACAGTAATTAAAAATGTTTAAAATGTCATTAAAATTAACAGGAAAGGAGATTAAAACTTGTCAATACAGTATCTAAGTCTCTGAAATGTTTTATGGAGGTGTCAAAAAGAGTACATTGAAAGCGTTGCAAAGTATAGCTGCTGCCACATCGAAATAACAATTTCTTAAAACTACAACCTGAGTATTTTGCGGTAGCTGTAACAATGACAGTTTCACAGATCAAAGTAGTCAAGTGCGCAACATATGGCATAAGGCAATTCTGCAAGTTGTTACATTATAATAATTCTTTTAAAGTTTGCATCTGTTTGCAGATACTGTATTAACTTCTGCAAATTTGTTTCTTCATTTCTCCCCCTTTCAGCCAAAGCAAAAGTGGCTAAGAAGCATCATTCTCCCCACCCCAAGATAAAATTGCCCTCTTTGGGCAGCAAAAGGTTTACTGTTTCAAAGTCCCTTCAAAAGGCCCTCGGCTGATATTACTTGCACTTAGCTTAGCTCAGGAAGGGCTGATCCATCCATCAGCGAGCCAAGCCGTGACTCAAAAGCCTGAACACTCAGCAAAAAGCAGCAAAGTGACTCAGCCCCTTAATAAAAGCTTCCCACATCACTGATGGGAAGTTCTCCCAGATATCAGAAAGTGAATCACTTGACAAACAAACAAGGGCCAGAGGGCCCTTGTAACTTGCAAAATCTGGGCTTTTTCCAAGATCTGGATCCAGGAGGCTTAGAAAGCGCAGTTGTTTAACAAAGACAAACCCTGAAGGCAAGGTGTTTCTGCAGACCAGAGCCACACCCGAAGTGTGGCTTGTAATCTGTGACTGTGTGCAGGAGCGTGTGCATGGACGGAAGTGTGGCACACCCAACTCTCCACTTCTTCTTACAAAACGGCAGTGCTCAAAGTGGGTAGGTAAGACGGGACACGGGTGGCGCTGCGGGTTAAACCACAGAGCCTAGGACTTGCTGGTCAGCGGTTCAAATCCCCGCGATGGGGTGAGCTCCTGTTGCTCGGTCCCTGCTCCTGCCAACCTAGCAGTTTGAAAGCACGTCAAAGTGCAAGTAGATAAATAGGTACCGCTCCGGTGAGAAGGTAAACAGCATTTCCGTCCACTGCTCTGGTTTGCCAGAAGTGGCTTAGTCCTGCTGGCCACATGACCCAGAAGCTGTACGCAGGCTCCTTCGGCCAATAAAGTGAGATGAGCGCCGCAACCCCAGAGTCGGTCATGACTGGACCTAATGGTCAGGGGTCCCCTTTACCTTTAAGACAGGAAAGCCTCTGGTAAAAGGCTCAGAGCTGGCTCCAGATTCCAAGGAAAAGCAAACCTCGTGCTAGGTAATTTGTTAAGGAGAACATGTGAATTACCTGGCTAGACATTTATTTATTTGCTTATCAAGTTTTATACGACCCATCAGGCCAAAACAGCCCCCATCAAGGCAGCTCACGGCCCAGAAACACAAAATTGTAGAATTGGAAGGGACTCCCAACAGTCATCTAGTCTAACCCCGAAATGCAGGAATGACAGCTAAAGAATACCTGCCAGATGGCCATCTGACCTCTGCTTAAAAACCTCCATCAAAGGAGAGTCCATCACCTTCTGAAATAGTCAGTTCCACTGTTGAGCATTCAAGGGATAAATTTTATGAAATAAATAAATAAATAAATAAATAGGAGAGGGGAGGGGAGCAGAGGGGAAAAACCAACTATGTGAGTGTGTGTTAATTTTCAAAAGTTATATAGCCAATAATAATATAAACAAAGCCCTTTTTGAAATAAAATAAATAAAATCTACAGCTTTCTAGGCTTCTGTTTTGATCACTGTTCCACAGCAACTGCTACAACCAAGGTTAAAACAAAAACTGAACATAGAAGGCAAGAAGTTACAAAAACTCAACATTTCAAACCGTGACTTCCAAGGTCTTGGGATTGGAGATCTGACTGTAAGGCAGAACAGTAAACCACATGGATTGCTGAAGTGGGGTGGGGGGAGAAAGAGAGTATACATTATTTTTTTAAATAAAAAAAGAAGGAATTCAAGTAAGTAGGCAGGAACTTACTGGAAATGGAATACCTTTTGCCCAGAAAATTCATTAAGGGTGAGGAGAAAGAGGTGGGGGAAGGAGTCGGGTTTCATCCTTCTTGGCTTCACATCGTGTTCCACATGTGCAACAGCTGTACCCCTCTGGAGAGAAATATTCCCCATATCCAATATGCAGGAGGCACAGCTTCCGAGCTAACAAGAGCTTAGCAACAAGAACAAACCAAAAATGTTCAAGGAAGGGTTTTAAGCCCTCTGTGTCCATTGAGGAACCTCTGCAATCTGCAGAAGAGGAGTCAGAGACTATGTTTTACAACACACTCAGTCGACGCAAGACACAAGGAAGGTTTTCAACCCTTCCCCACTCGCCATGGCAAGTGTGACATTGCTCTTTGGCACGACCTTCTTCCTTGAGAGATGACAATCCTTCTTAGACTGCTATGTCCAGAACAGGGCACAGTACACCAGGTAAGGTTTCACCAAAGTAGAAGAGAGTATCTTAGGATCTGGATCTGACTTCCCCAATCTGGTGTCCTCTATGCATTTTGGTCTACAATTCCCATGACTCCAGCCAGCATGGTGAAGCATATGGGATGATGGAAGTTGTAGATCGAAGCACTGGAACCAACCAGGATGACAAAAGCTAATCTGGACACGATATTTCTGTTGATACAGCCAGGAATTGCATTGGCCTTTTTAGCAGTGGCATGTGGGGGCTCACATTCAGCTCATGGTCCACGCAGAAAGAAAGAAAAACCGTAGCTGCTTTTCACATGTACTGCTGTCAAGCCAGGTATTGCCCATCCTATATTTGTGCATTACTGCCCTATGCCCTGCGAGCAAAGCCAAATTCCTCTCCCCTGCATTTGCAACCAACTGTGGATGTTCAGGAGCAACAGGCAAAATGAGAACCTTGGGACAGCTTGGCTCCAACCATCCAGATTCCATGAAGTTCAGTAAGCAACACTGGGTCAACCAGTGTCTCTCCTACCTTGCAGGACAGGTGAGTGCATAAGTTGGATAACACTGTGAATACCACCCTGAGTTTCTTAGAGGAAGGATAAGACATAAAGAGAGAGAAATAAAGGAAGCAGAAAATATCAGAGAGGGTAGACTTGCTCCAGGGTAAAGCGGCTCCACAGCAGATCACAGCTGAGTGATGGATAAGCAATCCGTCAAAAATGGCCTGGGAGATGGGGTGTGCACGCAAGGAGCCCACGGAGATGAATGCTGCAGTATTATGAAGACTGGTTAAGGTTTACTGCCAAACATCTGTGGAATGCTAAGGCGTGCCCAGAGGTGGCACATAGCTAACTATAAAAAGGATGTTTTCAACTTAAAGCCAAAGTCAGCTGCCTTCCCTGCATTTAAAGACTGTTAAAACGATGCATCTGGAAAACGAGTAATAAATATTAAGTCCCTTCGGAAAGATCCTGATCTTTGAACCAGGCACGATTGGGGCTCACAGGAACTGCCCTGCTGGATCAAGCCAGTGGACACCTAGCCCAGGGTCCTCTTCTCATAGTGGCCAACCAGATTCCTGTGGGAAACCTGACAAGAAGCAGGACCTGAGTGCAACACCACTGCACTCCCCACTTGTGATTCCCAGCAATTAAGAGTCATCTCACTTCCTTTTTACATTGGGTGTTGTTGTTGTTGTTGTTGCTGCTGCTGCTGCTGCTGCTTACATTGTTTTTATAGCATGCTAGACTTAGCCAATGGTTTGCTATGGCCAGTACAGTCGTACCTTGGAAGTCAAAGGGAATCCGTTCCGGAAGTCCTTTCAACTTCCAAAGCATTAGCCTGGCAAAGCACAGCTTCTGATTGGCTGCAGGAAGCTCCTGCAGCCAATCAGAAGCTGTGGAAGCCCCGTCGGATGTTTGGCTTCCAAAATAACGTTCAAAAACCGGAACAGTCGCTTCCGAGTTTCAATCATTTGGGAGCAAAAACGTTAGAGAACTAAGCTGTTCGAAAAGGTATGGCTGTAGTTCCTTATTAAGCTGAAATATGAACCAGCTCCTTTGATTCTCCCCTCACATGAGCAACATTAAACCAGCAAATCTCTAATTAGCCATAGTTTACTGTTCCATCTGAACTGAGAAACTACAGGGAAACTACTGTTGCCCATTCAGAACAAGCCACAGAGCAAAACTTTGTTTTATTCATGGCTTGTTCCAAAGCTGGTAGCCATAGTTTTCAGGGAATTGATGATTAATTACAGACTTCCCAGCTTAAACATGGCTCACAGTAAAGGGAGGAGTGAAGGCGCTAATTGCATGGGCAAAAGGCTTGCATCTTGGCTTAACAAGCAAAGACACAATCATCAGGATACAGCCAGGCCCTCACACTCACAGGCACCACCAGCCCTCTTTATTTCATACCCTTACAAAGAATCTCATCACCATGTGAGTAGTCATGCATTATGAATCAAAGAAAAGATTCCGTGAATGGACTAATCCAGGAAGACTTAGGAGAAGAGAAAAATATTCAACAAATGGCAAAAAGATCACAATGCTGGGGATCGCTTCACATCTAGGGCATTCCAGAGGGCTGCTGCCACAGCACTAAAAGCCCATAAGCTAGTAGCAGCATGCTTTACTGTAGGGACCCCATCAACAAATCTTCAGCCACAGATCTGAGCAACCAGGGGGAGATACAGCTTTGCAGATTCCCTGGTTCATAATCATCAGGGCTTTTTACACAAGTAATAAAACCTTGAAACGAGTGCAGTAGCTAACCAACAAGCAAGTGACTGCCCTCTCATTGCCCCTTATCTCAATTTGAGGAAAGATACTAGCCACCTTCAAAGGGCTGTTGTTATTACTGAGATAGCACATGCAGAGGTCCTCTGTAATATTACAGCACAAGGAAGAATGAACTCCATAATTATCTTTGAATATAGTTTATGGGAGTCACACTAGGAAAATTATACCCTGCAATGAACATTACAAAGCTATAAACCAGCCTTTGCCTGCCTGGCGCCCTCCAGACATTTTGGACTACAACTCCCATTTGCCCAAGGCAACACAGGCTGATGGGAGCTCCAGTCAGAAACATCTGGAGGGCACCAGGTGGATGACGGCTACTGTGAATTTATCAATCCCCCCCTTGCCCCTCTTTCCACTGCAAGGTGCCCTGAAGGCCCTTCTTTCCATCTTTAAAATGGTGCACAGCCCTCTCCCATCCCTTTGCCTCCAATAGCTGTGTGGTGCCAAAAACATCCCAACATATACCAGGAGATGCAAGACACACAGGTGTTAGCAATGGACTCCTGCTCTCCTCGGTTTCCTGTTTGCAATTCCCCAAGAGATCATAATCCGGTTGGAAGAATGCAGGCCAAAGATTCCAGCATCCACAACCTTTCCTAAGAGGAAAGTTTACAACTTTGGGGGCTGTTTAATTCAGAGAAACGGAGAGGAAGAGGCAACGCAATAGCAGTGTCTAAAATTATGCGTGCAGTTGAGGAAGTGGGTAGAGAAAAGTTTTTTCTCCTTGTCTTATAAACGCGAGAAATTGAGGACATCCAATGAAACGGAACGTTGAGAGACATAAGAAATAATTTCCTTACACAACGCATAGCAGAACTATGGAAGGGTCTCCCAGAAGAGGCAGTGATGGTCACCGGCTCAGATGGCTTTAAAAGAGAATTGGGCAAACTCACAGAGGAGGATAAGGCTATGTATGACGTTGCTGAAAACTACAAGAGGGGAAAGTGTTGTTGTTGCAGTCTGGTCCTGCTCGCAGATTTCCCATAAAGCATCTGGTTGGCCAATATGAACAGGATGCTGGACTAGGGAGTCTCTGGTCTCACCCACCAGGACTCTTATGTTCTTAAGCAAAAGTGGGATTACAACAAGCATTTGCTAAAGTTCAAGGGAGGAGAGCCTCATCCAGACACCCACATTCTACCAGTGCTCTAACGCTTCCTTGCTGTCTCCAGCTTTTCACGGCCAATCAACACAAACACCTTTGAACTGGAATCCCCTCTCCCTTTTTATATTTTTAATCCAACACATAAAAGCAGGCAAGGGCAAATTGTTTATCTGGATGATCCAGAAGTCCTGCAATCTATAGCTATCTTGCAGATTTTGTGCAAAATTTCACAGTGGAAATGCTACAAGTCCCACCAGGGCAGAGAGGTGGATGAGCAAAGGCAAGTCTAGTCATATTTCCTGTCTCCTTCGTAAGGGTTTGTGCCCAATAGACTCTAGCAGTTATACTGCTGAAGATAGAATTTGGGTTTGGGTTTGATTTTTTTAAAGAGAATTTCAGGGTTATGTCATCAGGTATGGGGCTGGAAATCAGGAGCCGTTTTTGATTAACTGTTGTTGAATTATTACAAGTTTGCATTATTTGTTTACTGAATTATTGTTATACTATTGTGCCTATAGTTAATATATGGATGTAAATCTTAAATGCTCATTTTAATGTTCTTTTATTATCATGAGCTGATTTGGGCTCAACATAATTATCAGAGAATAAAATCAGAACATTTTGCTCCCTAGAACACCCCCAGAATCTTCTGTAATGTAGAGCAGAAATCCCACTGCATATAAGGCCCCATACACACCATACATTCCTCCTGCCAATCAATCATCAGAACTGTAGTTAAGGGTTCTAGGAGCTGTCATTTTGTGTGTGTGTGTGTGTAAACTATAGTTCCCATATTTCTTGGGTGGTGCTTTCAATGGATGGTATGTACACAGCCCTAGTCAATACAGAAATCATTCCCTGGGGTTACAAAATCCAAGGCTCTATAGATTTCCCTAACCACAGTTTTTTATTACTCCCCTCACTGGAAGTGTTTCAACTGTTTGATACTTCACCACGAAGAAAAAAAGAACGGTTTTGCCAACTTGCGTTCTTACTGCAGAAATTAATTTACAGTATCTGCTGTGACCCTGTGCTTGCAGCCACTATCATTCTCCTAAGGCACTTGCAAGGTATCTACATTTAAACACAGACAGCAAGGACTTCATCAGGCATCATTAATCCAGCATTGTTACACATTATCCAACTTTAATTATCTAACCACAGAAGTCAATAGAATGACTCTGAGGACCCAGCTAAGGCGTAAAGGAAGCAAAAGAACACTCTGGGCAATTCCCAAAGCACAGAGATTTATTTTTAAGTCACTAGGCCCATTGTGTTCATAGAAGAACTACACCCATTTCTTTGGAGAATGTTTGTTTCTTGAAACAAAAAGAGCCAGTCGCAGCAATACCCAAGATTTATTTAAATTGCAGACTCCCTCCACCCTCTACCAAAAACCAAGATCACTATGGTGAAAGTTCAAGAACACGTTTTAATCAGGCTGTCCCTAGAAGCAAAAACTCTCCAGATCCTAGTTGCAAGGCTGCACACATCATACATTTAAAAAACAACAACTCCTGGGACATGTGTGTGTGTGCTTTCAATGTCCTTTAACAGTATGGTGTGTGTACAGTTTCAGCCGATCTACCTGCAAAATCCAAATTTATCATGGTACAAACTGATACCTAGCAATACACTCAATGGTACTCCACAAGACTCCGTTGTATTTTTGGAGAAGAGGTTTCTCATTCAAGGCGAACCACCACCCACTTGGCTAAAGGGCTCCAGTAAATGTACGTCCTGCAGTGACCGTTTCCTAGCCTGGCTCTCAGGATGCATTCTCCACATTCTCCGAAAATTTAGCTCTCTTCTGGTTTACTTGCTGCCTCGCCCATATTGTACCTTGACCACAACATCCCCATCCAAACTGTGCGTCTGATGGAGCCGCCATCGCCACCCTCTTCCTGCGTGGAAAACTATGTGGTTTTAGGCAGATCCAGACCAACCGTTTAACGCACTTCCCATACACATTTAAAACACACGACTTCCCCCCAAAAAACACCTGGCAGCTATAGTCTGTGAAGGGTGCTACGAACTGTAACGGGGAAACTGCAGTTCCCATGATTCTTAGGGGAGAAGCCATGTTCTTAAAATGTGCATAGGGAGTGCTTTGTAAATTGTTTTAAACTGTTTCTAATACAGTCGACTCCTCACTTACGCAAGGGTTATGTTCCCGGGTACCGCACATGTATGTGAAAACATGTATAATGGAGAACACCATCTGAAAAGCCTGTACATACCATCTAAACCTCTGGAAACCCTTGAAAAGCCTTTTTAAAAACCAGCAGCGCTTACTAGCCCCCCCCCCGCTCTTTTCATGTTTCAAGTTTTCACACTCTTTTCTAGCCGTTTCTGCCCTTTCCATGCCTTTTCGCAGTTTAAAATCCATTTGTTTATTTTCCGCCACCGTGCATATACGCAGCCACACACTAGTTAAACACACATTCAGTGGAGAGTCGCCTGTACTCTTTTTAGTGCTGTAACCCATCCTAGGACCTTAGAGTGCAGGGCAGGAAATAAATAAATAAATAAATAATATTGATTATTCTGGATGGTGTGGATGCTCCCCGACAGTGGGAGAACAAAGAGCAGGCAGTACTCTCAGAAAACCCTCAGTCTGGAAGCGCCACAAGTCTCAGGGTGCTGCAAGACTGAACGTCACATGCACTGTAAAAGCAGGAATATAGGAAGTGTCCTTATACAGAGTAAGACCACTGATCCGTCTAGGTCAGTACTGTCTCCAGGGTTCTAGACAAGAGACTTTCCCAGGGCCTTCTGCATTCAAAGCAGATACTCTGCCACTGAGCTATGGCACCTCCCCACCCTCTCTACAGATCAAGGTGCTTTATTGAAGCCTGCAACAATACAGTGGAACCTCGGTTTTTGAACTTAATCCGTTCCAGAAGACCGTTCAGCTTCCAAAAAGTCTGAAAACCAAGGATCAATGGGCTGGTCAATTGGGGGGGGGGGAATGAAAAACACGGCTCGGAAGCCATTCAGCTTCTGAAAATCGTTTGAAAACTGGAGCAGTTTTTGGCATTCAGGAGCCGAAACATTCCAAAACGGAGGTGTTTGGGAACTGAGGTTTGACTACACTTACATATTCACAGCCCTTCTGCCCACTGCAAGAATTTAGAGGGCATTGGGCCCGGTAGGTAAAAAGCAGGCAGAGATAAAAAGAGATGAGAAAGTGAAGCAGTAAGAAGGAAATGTATTGCAGTCTGTAACCAGAGCATATTGGGATTAAAGGTGGATCTGTATGTGAAAAGGGCGGACAGCTATTGGTCTATATTATTTCCTGAGGGGCAGCTGGGTTTGTCTCTTGCAGTAAAAACAATCAAAGGAGTCTTGAGGCCCCTGACCAGACTCACACATGTATTATAGCAGAAGCTTTTGTCAGCTATAGCCCAATTCACCAGATGCATGGAGTGAAATCTTAGCTGGAAGGTATATACAAGAGACAATCCTAAGGTGGGAGTTGAATGGCAATGAGATGCAAACAATTACAGTCAGTGGTAACTGGGGCCTAAATGTAGGTTTAAACAGGCACATATTTTACAGTAGCAGGTTGGTGATAATTACTCAGCATTGTGGAGCACTGACTGTAGGAGGGCACAAACCACCCATGACGAAACTGGCTTAGATAACACAGATACTGTAGCAAAGATAAGCCACTTAACACATGTAATGTGATAAAAAATACCTTGTCTCAGTATAACCCACAAACTCTACCTTTATTCCAAAGGCAGCAGCACAGTACGTCAAGTCCCAGGGGAAGAGGGAGGAAGACCCAGAATTTAGAATTTAAATGTGAGCCTAGTTGAGTTCTGGGCCTCAGAACAAATTCCTGCGCTCAAAATTATTTTTGCACTCCAGTGACAGTTGGAGGAACTCATGGTTCTAGTTTTGTTTTTGGTTTTTAAAGTGTATCTTACAAATTGTATATCATAGACTGACCACTTCTGTCCTAGATTAGCACCCTGCCACCCACATCCACACAGAAAGATGTCAACAAAGATGGCAGGTGGACCTTGCTGGGGAGAGCATTCCACAGACAGAGAACCACCAATGAAGAAGTCTTCTCCACCCTTCAAGCCTCCCTCAGAGGGACCAGGAGAAGTGTCTCATATGAAGATCTCAGGGACCGGGTAGGTTCATACTGGGAAAGGCACTCCAGAAAAATACTGGAGTCATGAGCCGTAAAACACTGTAATAAACCAGCACTCTGAATTGGGCACAGAAGCGTACAATGCATAATACATGTACACCCATGTTAAAAGGGATGCAGCAACAGCATTTTTCACATGGTGGCAACTTAGGCAACACAGGCACACCCTGGGATCAACTACAGAAAGCCTCAGAGGCACTCCCAGCTGGATTCCCAGTTAGAATCCAGAGCAATGTATGTACTCTGGAGAAAAGCATCTGCACTGCAAATACCTCCAGACACCTCAAGAGAGAAAGAGAGTATCCCTGACAGAGGAACAAAACACACACATACCAAGGTCATGGGCCAGTTTGAACAAGGGGGACAAGTCCATTTCAGCCACAAATAAAGTGGTTAGTCAAGACCCCTGACCAGGAGCAAAGCAATTCCACAGAGAACACTTCCTACCCAAAATGATGCAGGAAGGAGGTCAGCCTCATCTGTAGTCACTCCCGAAACCTACCAGCATAGGACACCACAAACTGATTTGGAATTCTTAAAACTTTACAACGGATTTACTCACATCCTGGAAAAGCGGCCTACATTTCATAAAACAATTAAATAAAGCGAAATAACAACGGGGGATGTCAGGAATCGCCGCCCCATACAAAGAAACATTTCAGTCCTACACGATACTCTCCATCTTCCCAGAGGGGCCAAGCGCAACAGATGCCCCTTTGTGCAAGCCAGCCACTCCATACTAAATCATTCTGACAGCCAAGACACACATTTACAGAGCGTTAGGAAAGCAGGAGGCAAGGACGGAAACAAACAGGGGGAGAGACACACACACAGAGAGAAAGCACTATTTCAGGACTTTCTGGACTGTATAGCATGAACTTTAGCCTTTTTTAATGAGAGAGAGAGAGAGAGAGAAGCAGTGATGATGCCTTATAGCTCAAAAGAAAAGAAAATTTTCAAAGCTGCCAAACAGCTCAGTTTTTCCAGTTCAGCAAAACCTCATAACAGAACGCTAAGCACAGCAGCTCCCACCCCTCAAAGACACTTCTGAAACTTTACAAACTTCCCAGCTCATGCGTGCAAAACATGAGTGGTGTGTGCCTGCACACGCAATGACAGCCACGCACGGAATGTAAAGAATGAATGGCCAAAATAACAACCATGATTAATTACTTGGCCCATATAATAATCCCCACCCTGTTCAGCTTAGGTGTTACTGCCCTGCCCATAAGAAAGAGCTGACGTCGCCTGGGCCCACCAAGAGTCCTGGAAAACAGAGTCGTGCTGGTTTCAACGCAGTTAGTTACGTGCAAAGTTTTTTGCGTAGAAGTGGAAGGAGGAAGGAACACCAGCGTTTGGCACTAATGGGAATAAAGCAAGAGACTCACACTGTTATTTCCAACCCAAGAGGAAAGTAAGCGAGATATGGATGCACAGACCCCAACAGAATATTTGCAGGCTCCCCAGTTTGCATAACACACCTACTGTATTCTACAAATGCAAGTTAAGGAAGGTTTTGCTCTTAGGCAGCCTTCGCCAACCTGATGCCCTCCAAATGTTTTGGGTTAGAATTCCCATCTGCCTCGTGCCTGCAGAAGCTGAAGCCCCTGACATCTAGAGGACATCAAGATGACCGAGGCTGTTCTTGAGTCCCTTCTTGAGCCCAATGGTTGCCATTAATTTGATTCTGAATTTATTTTTGAATGTATTTCAATTAATTGACTGTGATTTTATGTAAATTGTGCTATTTTTACTGTTGTTAGCCACTCTGAGCCCGGCTTTGGCTGGGGAGGGTGGGATATAAATAAATTATTATTATTATTATTATTATTCTGCTGCAATCGCAAGTCCACCAGTACCTCTGTGGGTTGTGAGGCAAGAAATACACAAGGGCTGCTATGGATCAAGACTGTCCATCACTTATCCAGACATTCAATGCTTAAAGGTACACTGTTTCTCAACAGTGAGGTTCTATTTCTTTCTCAGAGGAGGTCTGCATGAGCCTGTCTTCCAGTACAGGGGGAGGGGTTTCATGTATCAGAGTGTCTAGCTGCCTGCATACAGATATCTAGTAATGAGTCACTTTACACCTGCTTCTAAATCAAGGTGTATGTACCTCCCTCATATATATGCCTGAGCTTAACTAACTGCTAACTGCTTCCAGGGAAGACCAGATCTTTCATGCTCCTCAGTCCTACCCAGAGGCCCACAGGTTCCCCATCCTTGTTTTGGAACATAGAAACCTGCCTTATACCAGTCCAGACCCTTGGCCCATCAAAAGCAGGGTTTCAGACAGGGGACATTCCCCAGTGATTCCTGGAGATGCCATCAAGCAAAGCAGATGTTCTACTGCTGAGCTACTGCCATATATGTGAATGTGGCCTCTTCATTATACAGTGGTACCTCGGACTAAGTACTTAATTCGTTCCGGAGGTCCGTTCTTAACCTGAAGCACCACTTTAGCTAATGGGGCCTCCTGCTGCCACCGCACTGCCGGAGCACGATTTCTGTTCTCATCCTGAAGCAAAGTTCTTAACCTGAAGCACTATTTCTGGGTTAGCGGAGTCTATAACCTGAAGTGTATGTAACCTGAAGCGTATGTAACCCGAGGTACCACTGTACAGTTTTTGACGAATGCTGAAGAGACACCTCTTGACTCTGGCTTTTGACATTTCAGTTCTGTATGTCCCATCTTATCTCTTGCGAGCTGTTTTGAACTGTTTTCAACATTGTGCTTCAATTGCTGTAAGCTGCCCTTGGACCTTATGGGGATGGGCAGGTAATTAATAATACGGTAATATTAATAACAATACATGGATACAGCTGCAGCAAGTCTTCTGGGAGGCCTTGATGAAAGCACTCTCACTCACTCACTCAGGCTTTCTAAAATGCCAAAATAGAACTATGAGCAGGTGAGCTGACCTTCCAAAGACAAGACTATAAACAAAGATGATAAAGCAGCTTTCCACAACCTGGTGGCCACTAAATGTTTTGGTCTACAATTACCACCAGCCGCAGTTGGCATGGTGAGCCCCAGGTTGGGGAATGTCACCAGAAAGTATTTCATTATAGAAATCAACTTTACATTTAAAAGATAATATTCTATTTATAATTTTCACAATATACAGTGAGATTTAAAGAATTCAAAAGCTGTTTTAGAAAATGCATGTGTATAGATTTGCAGGACATACAGTTAAAAAGCAGTAGATACTCTCCTTGCATTTCCAACTCCTTAAGGATGCTCTGAGGTGTGGAGAGGTTGTCCCCAAAGTGTCCAGCTGTGTGCAAGAGGCTCCATCAGCCTTACCCAACCAGGCACCCTCCACGTGTTTGGGAGTTGTAGTTTAAAACTTCTGGGGGGCACCAGGTTGGCAAAGGTGGCTTACACAGCACCTTGAATGGATAAAGGAGATCCCACGCCTTTTACACTGGGGCACGTCTAAGAACTACACCACCCTTTCATTCGGACTGACAGATCCAGTTTTTTAAAAACTCTCAGCACTATCCTAACCATGTCTACCCAGAAGGAGGATCTAGTGAATTCAATGGGGCTTCTTCCCAGGTATGGGGTGCTCGGATCGCAGCCTTAACGCGCTGCACAGGGGCAAGGAGGAAAAACAGCCGATCCCCCACTTTTTTGCTATTGTTCCACCCCCGCATAAGACCAAGTCCAAATGCACGGTTACAAGCGACATGCCGGAGATCCCGCTTAGCAACCCACTTTCCTCGCCGCGTTGCGGAAGAACCGGTCGGCGTGGTTTCCTGTGGGGCCACCAGGTGGTTCGAGGAGGGGAAGGGGTCCCCAACCTAACCAGAAGAGGTTTCAGAGGGGGAACCAAAAGCAAAAGCAGCGGGAAGTGTGGCAGGACCCCAGAGGCACCTGCTTCCCCGCCTCCGCCTTGGCCGCACGCCGGCCCTCTGCCCATGCCCAGAGGCGCCCTCTCCTCACCTGGGGATGGTGATGCACTTAGTGTTGACGCTCTGGGTGGTGATGGCCTTCTCCAGCTCATCCAGCTGCCCGGTCTTCTTGAGCTTCTTCACCAGGCTCTTGACCGCCTTCTCGCACCACTTCTCCTCCTGCCCGTTCTGCTCGCCTTTCTTCCAGCCCAGCAGGCGCTTGACGATGGGGGGAGTGAAGGGCAGGATGGACGACATGGCTGCGCCGCCGCCGGCCCCAGACGGGGAGGAGGAGGAGAGACCGAGACGGAGAGACGCCGGCCAGCCGGCGGGAAAACGACGGAGAGAAAGCGAGAGAGGCGCCGCCAAAGACCCAACAACTTCCCTCGACAAGACGAACTTGGCGGCGGCGGCCCCCGGGCCGACCCGCTTGGTTCCGGCGGCCCCCGGGCTGCAGCAGCGAAGAGCAGGCGGCAGCGGCTGCACAAAGGCGGCGCGCGTCGGGGTCGAGGCTGCAAGGGGCGGCCGCTGGCCGGCTTGGCCCGGGGACAAAGCCGAGGAGAGCGCCGCAGCTGCTGCAGCAACCTCCTCCTCCTCCTGCTTCAAACTTTCTCCCGACTTCTTCTCCGGCTCCTCGGCGAAGGCGCCTCTGGCGGCGGCGAGAGCAGCGTCTGCGTCGGCCGGGCCCTCCCCGAGCTCCTCCTTCTCGCTGCGTTTTCTTGCGCGCGTAAAAACGCGCGCTCCGCGGCCCGTCTGAGTCTCATGCAAATGCGCGGGCCGCCCCCGCCGGAGGCGAAGCGAGGGGGCGGGGAGAGGGGGCGGAGGAGGAGGAGGCCGCTTGCCGGCGGCCCTGGCACTCCGGACGCCGCTCCCGGGACGGGCCAGGCGGCGCGGAAGGGGAGCAAACAGGGGGAAAGTTTCCTTCCACCTCCCCGCGCAGCGCACCACCTTCCGACGGAGGCGGGGGTTTTGCCTGCTGCGTCTCAACCTCCCTTGGCTGCTGGTCAAAGCCACAAAATCAGGAGAGAAAGTGTGCCGTAGTGGTTAGAGCGGTGGCTCCCAAACTTTTTTGGGGGGGGTCAGCCCCCTTGGTTCCATCAACTCTTGCCCCCACTGCCCCCGCCCCTGCCCCATAGCAAGGATTATTCAGAATTTGGCTTTGCGCGGCCCACGAAGGAGGATAATACTGTAACACATTGAAAGGCAAAACAGTAACAGTTGCACATTTATTCGAAATCCAGTTAAAGCCATCTAATTCAACAAAATCGATGAACTTGATCCAGGGATAGCAGCTTTCGCCTTGCCTCTTAGAGCCCTCCCCAAGTAATCCCTCCCTTCCCACGGGGACAGTGCTTTGGGAACGACCGAGTTAAAAGTGTACCTAGGAGAGTCCTAGGTCCCAAGAAATTCCCACTCCGCCATAAAGTTCACCGGGTGAGACATTTTAGTAAGTCACTACCTCTCTAGCTCTAAACCTACCTCACAGGATTGTTGTGAGGATTAAAGGGATAGGAGGGGGGGAAAGAACTGTTTGTGCCACCTTCAGCTCTGGAGGAAAGTTAAGGTGTAAAGGTCATGTTTACTTACTTCACTGATGAATCGCATTTCCATGAGGTGTCTGGAAGTGATCTACAATATAAATATTTTATTTATTTATTTATTTATTTATCTATATATATATATATATAAAACAGTTACAATTAGCAACAGCATATATTTAAACCATTTAATACATACATACAGTTTAAAGCTGCAAATGACACACACATAAAGTTAAATCAGATCCAAGACAGAGACCAACTAGGATAAATATTTTAGAGGAATGTCTTTCACAGGTGCTGAAGAGATAACAGAGGAACCTGCCTGATGTGCAATAGGAGGTGGTGGTAATAATAATAATAACAGTAATGATAATGATAATGATAGGCTTTGGTACTATTTATATTGTTATCTATGATAAAATAATAAATTCTTCTTCCCACCAGGGGGTTTGGCCTTGAAGCCTCTGTGGAATATCAGAGCTGGGGGCTGGAGTCGTAGAAATATAAGCAAACGTGCCTTGGAGCGTGTGCAAGGTGCCTTAATAGCTCACTGTTTCGTTCTTTACCATATTTTCATCCTGCTTTTCAGACAAGCAGCTCACATCAATTTAAAAAAGGACAGAAAGCTGGAGACGGAAAAGTCAGGGCACTCAAGGAAACTGCAGCTAGCTGGGATAGCTTGTGCTACACCCAGCCTATTTGCTGCTCTGAACTCATTGCAAGAAGAGGGAAAGAAACAGAGTGGTGCAATGGTTAGAGTGTCAGACTAGGACCTGGGAAAGCAGGATTCAAATCCCCACTAAGCTAGGAAGCTTACCTGGTGACCTTGAGCCAATTACTAGCCTAGCCTACCTCACAGGACTGCTGTGAGGATGAAAGGGGGAAGTACTATGTGTGCCACTTTGAGTTTGTTGGAGGAAAGGTAGGCTACAAAGGTAATGAATAAATACAAATAAATAATGATAAGAAATAGTCCTGATGCTATTTCTCATTTATAGATGCAAATACTTTGTATTTGCAAAGCACGTGCCAATTTGCCCTTGTGACAACCCTGTGAGGCGGGACTTCTGTTATTTCAATTTTAGCAGATGAAAGGTTGGGTGAGAGTGACATGACCAAGGCCACACAGCCAGTCAGTGGCAGAGGAAGAACCTGAGGGGAGTTCTCCCGACCCACCCAGAGCCAATTTTGGGAGGTAGAAGGCATAGGGGAAAGAGGGGTGGGAGCCCCTTTGCTTAAGCAGAAGTCCTCATGCAGACCTTCTGTTCTTGGGGTTCATTGGGTGATTCCCACCCTGTACCTTTAAAGCACATTTGAAGCACATTCTTGCCCTCAAAGAATTCTGGGCACTGTAGTTTGCAGCTCACAGAGTTCCATTTCCTGGCAACCCTTTGCAAACTACAGGGCCCAGAATTCTTTGAGGGAAAGAACGTGCTTCAAATGTGCTTTAAAGGTATCATGTGTATACATAGTCTTAGCTGGTGGGGTGTAGTTTACGCCACAGAAGCCGCTTGAGTTTCTGAAGATCTGGCTGGATCTAAAAGCACCGTGACTGCAAACCTCACCTTAAGAAAGAGTAGGACTCCAGTCAATAGCATAATGTGCCCACCTGCAGCACCTCCATCTTGTCTGGACTGAGTTTTGTTGTTGTTGATAGTGATGTTTTTTTGGCCTGCATCCAGTCCACTACAGATCACAAACAACAATTCAGCACTTCTACAGCTTTTTGAAACTGGTGGAAAAGAGAAGTAGAATCTGAGTGTCATGAGCATACTGATGAAAGCTCACTCCAAACCCACAGATAATAGTGAGTGGGTGCAGGGCTTTTATTAAAGCCAGAACTCGCCAGAACTCAGTTCCAGCATCCCTCAGGTGGGCGCCATTGCCATTACAGTGGTACCTCAGGTTACATACGCTTCAGGTTACATACGCTTCAGGTTACAGACTCCGCTAACCCAGAAATTGTACCTCGGGTTAAGAACTTTGCTTTAGGATGAGAACAGAAATCGTGCTCCGGCAGTGCGGCAGCAGCAGGAGGCCCCGTTAGCTAAAGTGGTGCTTCAGGTTAAGAACAATTTCAGTTTAAGAACGGACCTCCGGAACGAATTAAGTACTTAACCCGAGGTACCACTGTATAAGAGAACGAGGGAGGCATTCATGGTGAGTTCTGGCCCCTCTTTTTCTAGAAAAATAGCACTGGGTGGGTGAGGTTCTTTGGGGTCAAGGGCGATGTTAGACGATAGAGGTTAAGCCCCTGGTGGCCATATGGGGTCCTCTGAACCTCTAGTAGCCAACCCTTATTGTACAACTTATGGTTAAGCGTGGCTCCCATAACTGCACAATGTATTAGACTGGATTTTGACCTTGTTTTCATTCATTTGCTTTGGCCTGGTCAGAACCTTCCTCACCAATCTATTTCAACTACAAAATTTGCTTGTAAATTTTCTATGGTTATGGGAGTGTTAGGATTACTCCAAAGGCTACCTGCAAACCCACAGATCTGTCTCCAAAGCCCTAGACAGGCTTGCTTTCTGGCAAAGAGTTTTGGACATTCTCATAATGGAAAAATAACCGAAAGGAAAAGGACAGAGTCGTCCTAATTTTATACGGTCTGGATCCCTTTTCTGGCATAATAAGAGTCTGGTGCCTTACAAGCTTCCTTCAGGATTATGTGAATCGAATAATGTGCCCTTTTAAGTGATGAGAATGGCTTTTCAGTGCACCCCCCCAATAACAAACTACTAGAAGCAAGGCTCTTTAACCCAGAGGTTTTATTTTCTGTTAAATATTAATATGCGCCAGTGTCTGTGATCTGGAGGTTGAGATGAAAGTGCACCATTCTCCATAGTTTATGTATTGGAAAAACACTTGAAATAATAATAATAATATTTTCATGGGTAGCATGCGCCACTCAGTCCCGTAATAACAAAACCATGAGATCCTAGTAAATGTTTTTATGTGTCTAGCTAATTTTTAAAAGCCTCCTTGGGGGCAATCCTATCCTAGAGTTATGCCAGCTGAGAGGCTTTAGGATTTGATGGAGTTCCCACAATACCAGTGGCATAGCAGCTAAGCTAACAAAATCCATCCCCCCAATACACCAGTGCAACGACTGAAACAAGGTAGACATGTGGGTGGCACAAGTGAACGCTGAATTCTATAAACCCGGGGAGGGGGCTCAGGCCTGGGGGTCAAATGTGGCCCTCCGTGCCTTTCCATCTGGCCCCTGGAACTCTCCCCGGGACACACCCATCACTGTCCAGCATTACACCCTGGCTGGAATATGTCCTTGAACTCTTATCTTGCTTGTCTGGATGGAGGAAGCGGATGGGTAAGATTTAGAGAACTAAAAAATTGAGAGAAACAAACAACAGTACAGTGGTACCTCGGGTTAAGAACTTAATTCGTTCTGGAGGTCTGTTCTTAACCTGAAACTGTTCTTAACCTGAAGCACCACTTTAGCTAATGGGGCCTCCTGCTGCCGCCATGCCTCCACCGTGCGATTTCTGTTCTCATCCTGAAGGCCGATTTGGGCTCGCCCGCAGAGGCTGATGGACCCTGATAGATTCCGTCAAGCCTTGCGGGACCTTGCTCCCCCTGGCGACTCATTGACTGAGCTTGTTGAGGGCTGGAATACCCAGCTCCTGGCAGCCATAGATGAGATCGCACCTAAGCGCCCTCTGCGACTCCGCAGAAACCGGGCTCCCTGGTTTACCGAGGAGCTTCGGAAAATGAAGCGGGACCTCAGACGGCTAGAGCGAGTATGGCGGGGTGCCCGTGACGGAGCCTCAAGAACATCTTATAGGGTTTTTATGAAAACCTATGAGATGGCGGTGAAGGCCGCTAAGAAGTCTTACTTCTCGGCCTCCATTGCATCCGCTAGCTCTCGCCCGGCGCAATTATTTAGTATAATTAGGTCTTTAACGTCCCTTGAAGGACAGCCAAATTTAAATAACAATCTGACACACAGCTGTGAGGCATTTGCGAGCTTTTTGCGGAGAAGGTCCTGTTGCTCCGCCATGACCTCCCTGCCAATTTGGATACAATAAAGGAACTGGAGGCCCCTCGACTGTCCTCGGGTCCAGTATTGGACCACTTTGATCGGATATCCCCAGCCGATGTGGACAGACTCCTCCGAGCTGGAAAGCCCACCACCTGTCCTCTTGACCCGTGCCCGTCTTGGCTGATTAGAGCGTGTCCAGACGAGGTGCGGG